GGACTTTGTAGATTATATATGGTTGGAGATTTTGGTTATTTTTTGTGGAGCTGTTCGGTTGTTCAGGAAGTGAGTTAGAGTTTGCTGATGAAGTAGACAATACATGATAGCACACAAGTATCTGGTGAAGCCCAATATTGGATGTTCTCTGGATGTTGTGTTTCCTTTTGCTGAGGCTTCTGGGTGGATTTTGTTGTTGGTATATGGTTGCAGTTCTGGGTTATTTTTTGTGGAGCTGTTCGGTTGTTCAGGACGTGAGTTAGAGTTTGCTGATGAAGTAGACTATGCAAGATGGCCCAGAAGTATGTGTTAAAGAGCAATGTTGGATGTTCTCTGGATGTTGTATCGGCTTTTGCTGTGACCCTTTGAGGGGAGTTGGACTTTGTAGATTATATATGGTTGGAGATTTTGGTTATTTTTTGTGGAGCTGTTCGGTTGTTCAGGAAGTGAGTTAGAGTTTGTTGATGAAGTAGACTATACATGATAGCACACAAGTATCTGGTGAAGCCCACTGTTGGATGTTCTCTGGATTGTGTACCTCCTTTTGCTGAGGCTTTTGGGTGAACATCGTTGAGAATATATGGCTGCAGTTCTTGGTTATTTTTTGTGGAACTGTTCGCTTTTTCAGGACGTGAGTTATAGTTTGCTGATGGCTTAGGCTATACAAGATGCTACACAAGTACCTGGTTGAGCTCAATATTGCATGTTTTCTGGATGGTATATCTCCTTTTGCTGAGACTTTTGGGTGGTACTTTATTTGCATGGCGTGGCTTTCGTTTGATTGCTCAGCTAGTGAGGCATCTAGAGACGTACTAGAACTGCTGTAGTGATAACACTGTTTGCGGTGCACGCCGTTGTTGTCAATTATCCAGCATGGCTTTGAACACAAATTATTGTTTTCGAAGGCCATCTAGACGGCGGCTACTACGTCGGAGTCTCAGCAACCCGGCGATTGCATTTGTGACTTCCTTCTCAGGGGATATTAGCATAGTCACGGCATGATTCTAGAGGTATTTTGCTCATGGGGAAGATATATTTGGTAGTCATCAAGCAACGCTTTCCGTTTTCCCAGGCCGTGAGTTGACTAGGGACACGGGTATTTCTTAGCTCTAAAACAGACCATTATATAATACGACTCGGTCAGCATGGGTGGTCTTAACTAAGCATGTAGATTTTTGGCACGACGTGGTTTGTTCGTTGCTTCTCTGAAGGGCAGCCTCAGAAGTGCATGATCACGGTCTCCCCTGCGCAGGTAGTATGCACCGTCATGTCGGGAAACGACGGTTTTCTGCTGCAGCATATAAAGCCTCTAGCTTTTGACAAATATGTCCCCTTTCCCGGTTGTTAGCGTTGGTGGGTTTTTTTTGCGGTGCTGGTTGGACGTTCAGTGGGTATGTCACCTTGTCGCATGGTCAGCCTTCGCTTCTTTGTTACTTTCTGGAGACATCTTTAGCTGGGTGGACGGGTTAGATGCGATCCAAACACTGTGTACCAATTTTGCGAGGCGTGGGAGTTATGTGGTTGCAGAGAGTGCGTTTCTAGCAGGTTCTTGAGTACAATATTGGCGCTCGGTAGTGTTATCGTTTTTTTCATTACGTCCCGATGCCAACTGTTCACGCGAAGTGCCTGGTATCCGTCAACCCGTTTGTTCTGTTGTTCGACATTCGTAGTGGATCGGAAGTTGGTGAATACTCTGATGTACACGATTTCGTGTGTAAAATTTCGTCCTTGTGGCATCAGATGTGGACAACGAGGGGCAGCATGTGATGGAAGGGTGCGGTTGCGGTTATGCTTTTCTGGTAATGTAGCTGTTCGCTTGTTCAGCATGTGAGTTTGAGTTTCTCAGTCAGGCTACACAAGAACGTGCGGAAGTGCTGGGTAGAACGAAATTCTGGTTGTTGTATTCTTTATTGTGGCAATTTTGGCTGGCTTGCCTTTTGTCGGACTACTTAGGGAGTGAGTGATCCGCCATTTCGCACGCAAGAGCTGCTGCACAGTCTAGTATAGCCTTTTTGGTGTAAACTTCCCTGCTGGCAGCATCACCTATGGACGGTGGCTAGTGCCGTGCATAGAGCTGTATGCTGGTTCAGAAGGTGAGCTTCAGTTTAGCTGTGCGTTGAGATGTTGTATACTATGGGCTGTTTCTGGGACATTTTGGAAAATTGTGTGTGCCGGTGTGTTAGAGCAATCGTTTTGTTGATTATTTGGAGCCGTTCAATCAGTTTTGACATTTTGTTGCGTAGAGAACGCTTCGCTAATGTGCGTGGTGTGGACGGAGAGTAAGGTGTTTTGGTTGGTTTGTGCTTTTTATGGGCTAGCAGACGGAAGCATGAGGCATATGCTTACTATTATCATGTTCGGCTTTGTGAACAGCTTTACCGGATCGGTGTCCGGCCCCTTGTGAGTAAAATTTCATTCATATGCTGGTGGCTAGCTTCTGGATGGTTCCCATGGATACTTTCCGGCTAGTTCGTCGATTGAACGTATGAGTACTGTATAATGGAATGAACGCTTGAGTAATTCGCACCAACAGGGCGCGTCTGTGTGTAGCCATTCTGACGGCTCCTCTTGTCAGCCCAACAGGGACGAGTGAATGAACAATTGTGGACCCCTTGGTATGGGTAAGGCTCTCAGTGGGTATGTCTAAGCTTTCCTTTTCTACTGCTGGTGCTCTATTCCTTCTTACAGCCGGTGAGCTGCGGTAGTCAACGATGAATTCTTTAAGTAAGAAAGTCACTATGTGGTGGATGCATCTGGCCATTTCCTCGTAACTCCATTTCTGTCTCATAGTGAGTGAGTTCCAAGTAATCTGCTACCCAAAGGACGCCAATTAGCCGTTTCCAAGTCGCTTTAGTATAAAACTTTTGTGTAGAATCTCACAGCCCATTGGCTGCATTTGTTTTGAACAATGACTGACTGTTTTTGAGTTGTTTTTAACACTGACAATCTACCGTTATGTCTACTGCGTAGCAGGGAGTGCTTCAGTCACTGCTTATTGCAGTTTATATTGCAGTTTATAGGTAGTTGGATTGGAACCACGCCAGTACACAGATATGTGCTCCGCACGAGTCTTACATAGGTAGAATAACCAGATGCTCTATCGGAGTTGACGCAGATACCTCCAGCTACTGCACCGCTGTCGCCTGACATTCGATGCTGCCGCTTCCTCGAACGCTGGAATTCCTTTCGGGACCTGCTCTCCCTCCTTTCTGTAGGGAGGAGAATGATCTGGTGTCCATGCCAGTATTGTCCCTCCACGTGGGATACCCATCGACGCATTCTTAACCGTGGTATATGCAAGCGGTTTCCAATTGTTGTGGGTTCGGAGGTATAGTTAGTTTACGCCATCGCCTCATGCAAGCACAGCACATCCCCGTGGCTAGCACAGTTTTGACACAGCGCACCATTTACGGGGGTTGCAATGCGGTAGAGCAACCGCCAGTAACGCTCTGCAACCATGTGCTGGTGACACTTCCGTATGTCTACTTCAATGCTGTCTATGGTAGGTACAAGCCGTAGCCCGTTCCAGAGTTGCAACGAATTCACTTAGTTTAGTTAGATCTAAAGTACGGGACGGTTTGTGGTGGGTATGGAATTCCGAAGTGTGCCTCCGTGTCGTCCTCAGCTTACATCAGGGCATAGCCGTGGCGCCGCCAAAAATATTGCTTCTACTGCCTGCGTCAGGCCTTGTACGTGTATGAGGCCACTATACACCAGACGCCCAATCCCACTAACGCACCCATCATCCCTCCAACTATCACATAGGTGTACGGGTTTGTGTACCAATTGAACATACCACGGGTTTGCTTAGATTCTGTTGGCAACACCCAACTACCTGCAGAAGCAAAGGCAGCCGCAGCACAAAGATATGCATGTACTACGCAGTTGCTGCTAGCTACGGATATTAAGTAGTTCCCCTTTAGGTCAATAGTCATTTAGCCACTCACCATGCTGGAAGAACGATGACGCCTTCTGCATGGATGTCGGCGAAGGGCCAGACACCGAGGACGAAGGTCTTGATTCTTGGTGCTGCTGCAGCGACGCAAGCGAGAGTGGAACGCAATCTGTACTGTTGGATTTTGTATTGTCCAGGGCTTCGGGCTGTACGACTTCCATGTAAAGTTGTTGCTGTGGCAGCTTGCGGCGGAGTGCATGCGAAGTCACAGCGCCCAACACTAGTACCAACAGCAGCAGTGGCTGCTGCTGGTTGAGGCATTTCCAATAGCGCATTATTGGTAATGTAGAGGACTTAGTGTGCAGTGGAACAAGATTATCCAGATCAGCGGCTGTTCCCTGCTGCTGCTTGCGCGTGTCTCCTAACGTGGATTGTTCGCGCTGTAACCGAAGATGGCTGTGATAACGAATTCAAGTACATGCGAGATGAAATATGCATCTACAGCGATAATGAACTAGAAACTTTGTATAGTAAAAGGCGGCGCGCTCCTAAGCCATTCAAAAAACACAGGGCAACAGGACAAGCGGGCGCCGCCGTCGGTCCACGGCTGGTCAGCACTACCACCGAGCGGGCCAACGAGCATTTTAACTTGGTCTAAGTATTCCCTTGGCCCACATCCTTGAGCTAAATGAGTATTAAGAGCTACAAAAATAGATAATCCCAAAACTAGGCGAAACTTCACCATAAACTTCACTGGGTTTGCTGTTCCATCTTAAGCTTTTCCCTAAGCCTAGTGACCCCACCTAATGCCAGCCCCCTTCAGCCAAGGGTGCAACATCAGCCATTTCGGGAAGCCCCAACAACCACAAAGCTGAAAGTTTTCAACACAAAAATTTGAAATAGGCTCTTCTGGTCCATTTCCCTACGGCCAAAGCAAGAGCTGCCCGCTAGAGCCCTACGCTGGTGAATCTCGAGGTATGGATCATTCTCAAAATGCGTCCCTTTGAATGCGCGGTTGCGGATGGGATCGCAGCCATCCAATTACGCGCTCCGTCAGGGACTTCTGCCGCTGCTGAAGCGCAACCCCGCATGACGGAGCAAGCGAGCCTGCGTCACCGGCACACCAAGCGAAAAACTCATGCACAGACATGTGCAACAACGCACCGCTTCTGACCCTGTTGGTTCACCCAACAGGGTGAGAAGCGCTCCCGTTCCTGCTGCAGCAGAATGTGCAGGAAGCTGCAGAAAACTACTTTTAACGTGCATCTGCAGAAGCATCGTGCTTCATTTTCTGCTGCAGCAGGAACGGGAGCGCTTCTGACCGACCCTGTTGGGTGAACCTCTGAATCTTGCCAAGGATGTGTACCGCGGCTCCAACAACTGCGTATACAAAAGCAAAGAAAGGACCTGGCAATGGTACCCCAACAGCACTGACAGAATATGTTGGCTGCTGCAGGAGCAGAAATCCTAGCAAAGGTCGAGCGTTTAGCAGTAGCTGTAGCAACAGCAACAGCTGCTCAAAAGCAAGGGTCACGAGTTTAGCAGTAGAAACAACTACAGCTGCTGCCGCACGAAATCACAGCAAGATGCCGTGGGTCACTGTCCCCGCGTGTGCGATACAAATACGCAAAAACTTACCTTCGAGGGATTCTGTCCGCAGACTGCAAGATCGAAAGCCTCTTCGAATATCTTGCAGCAGCTGCTCGGCAGCTGGGGAACTCGTGGCTGCTGCCGCCCTCGCAATAGCTGCTCGTGCTGTCTGCGGCATGTTCCACTCCACCGAGGCAGCTACTGTTTTCCCTGCGCCTGTCGGCAGCTTCTGATGCATACAACCCTCCAGAAGGAGCGAATGGCATTGAAGCAGCACCAACACCTGCAGGCGGAGGCAGCAAGCCACACAACCCTACACTTGTAGCAACAGCAGCAGCACAATCTGTGCGCCGACAGCATCGGCTCCCCGTGGTGTACCAGCTGCTGCTGTTGCAGTGGTAACACGCACTGTAGCACCGGTATCAAGCTGACCTGCTCTGCAGTTAAGGCTACAGGTGCGTGTACCGGGGCTGCAGCGTCTCGGCAGCTTGAGAAAAAGACTGCAGCAGAGTCATACAACCGAGCAAGAAGACCAAAAACACCCCAACGAGCCTGAACAGCGCAGCAGCAAAACCATCAGCAGAAATCAACACGTATCGGGTGTACTAGCCGCAGCACTGCGAAGATCATTATTAACTGCAGCACCTGGAAGTGGCGCAGCACCAGTTGCTTTATTTGCTGCAACTGTCGCTTCCTTTGACGCCCCTAGAAAGCAAATAGCAGCAGCTCTAAGGAATGTAGCGGCAACGACGACAACGGCAGCAAGCAGCAGAATGCAGCAGGAACAGCAGCAAGGTTAGCTCTGTTGAAAACCTGCACCACCTGGTTCTCGCGGGTGTTACAGCCTTGCAAGCACCGTGTGAGAGCAGCAGCAGCAAGGACCAAACCATTGGAGTGTCTATGCACTGCTGCTGTTGATACACTGCCAGAATGCTGGTCCTGCTGATGTCCACCAACTGCTGATTCTGTTGTGGAGGCTCCTGCTGCTGCTGCGGCAACGATCTCCCCTGTGCTATGCAGCATATTGATCATCTCGCTCAGCACTTGCAGTAGCAGCGGGCTGCACAAAAGACCGTGGAAAATGTCTGCTGCTGCTGCTGCTGCTGCTTTTCCACCTTGCCATGCTTCATCACATCCTGCTGCTGCCACAAGCGGAGCGCTGTTATCTTCACCCAGCTGCAGCAACTGCGGAATAGAAACACCAGCAACCGCAGCAACAGCACAAAAGAAACACCCGAAGCAAATCAAATCTCTCGGGGCTGTCATTCGGGCGGCCGCCTAAGTGTTAGAAGCAGCCGCCAAAGCAGCTAAAGCGGGGCAGCTGCATCAACAGCAATAAAAGACAGCAGGCAAACCACCAACAACCCACAGAGTGAGCCCCAGAGACCATCTTAAGGACCGCAAGCACAACTTGCTGCTGCAGTTCCAGCCGCTGTTCTATGGCCAGCCGCTGCTGGCGTTGAAGCAGCTGGATTTCGAGAAGCAGCTGATCAACAAGAGATGACGCTGCAGCAGCAGTAGCAGAAGATGGAGGCCGCATATGCCTTCTTAAAGACGGGGAAAAGAGAACGTCTGCTAGAACTATCAGCCTCTGGAGTCTGCTGCTACTGGTGCTGTCATGCTGGTGAGGCTTCACATTCCGCTCGATTGCCAAGAGCAGAGCACCAACGAAATTCCCCAAGTCAAGGGCCGGAAAAGGCTGCTGATGTCGTTGTTCCTGCAGCTGCGCTGTTCGCTGCAGCAGAAGTAAAAGCTGCTGCAGGTCGCAAGCAGGCAGCACCTCCCGAGAGACGCAATGCAAGAAGTCGTTTAACTGTTGCAGCCCAGGAATATCGGCAAGCAGAAGCAGCTGATGCAGCAGCCCCAGCAACGCTGCCTCTGAGTCAGTTGACGCTAGGGGGCTTAGAGCACGTGTGCACACTCCAGCTACTGTTCTTGCTGCTGCTGGCTCTTCTGCTGACACTGCGGCTCCTTGTGCTGCACCAGCGCCAACACTGAAGGGAGACAATAGAGAGGGACGAGGCACCGGATGACGGCGATGCATCACGTCGTCCTGTTGCTGCTGCTTCCTCCACAATCGCAAAAATGTCTCCTGGAGAGTGGTTACTGCAGCAGTTAATTCTTCACTGTGCTCTTTTCGTTGTTGTTGCTGCCGCTGCTTTTGTTGTTGAACCAATCGCCGTATGGCCCTCGAAAAGAGCTCACTCCTCGGGTCTGGAGACTCAGGTTCGTCTCCTGATCCTGATGCTGCATTTGCTGCAAACTCAGCCCGCTCACGTATCAGCACAAGCGCCGCTGCGGCTGGCTCTAACATGCGTGCTGCAAGTCTCACCGCTTCCAGCCCTCTTTCCGGCTGCTGCTGCTGCAGTTGAAGGAGAGAACAACAGATGGCTGCCTGTACACCTGGGAGCAGCCGGCGCACGAGCGGTAGCTGCTGCTGTTCCAAGCACAAGGCAGCGGCTACGTCACACCAAGCTGCAAGCTGCTGCTGCTTCTGCAAGAAGAAGTTGCTTCCCGGAGGGGACTTAGCAGCAGTAGCAGACGTAGCAGCAGCAACCGGGATAAGGAAGTTGGCGATCGCATCCTTTACATCTTTAGGCGGCGCAGCAATAATAAATGAGCGTAATAACGCCGCTGCAAGCGCCACGCGAGAGTTATTGCTGCCGACGCTGCTGCTGCTGCTGCTGTCACACATGGAGTGTCTAAGATATTTCGCTGCTGCCTGCTGAAGCAGTTGCTGGAGTCCCTGGTCGGAGGCCTGCACCAGCGCTCTAGCAAGCAGTGACTCCCGCACCAGCACCGGCTGTTCGTGTAGAAGCAGGGTTGACAGCAGCTTCATCGCAGCCATAAGCGCCCTTTGTTGTTGTTGCCGTGTTTGGGGCGCCTGCAGAAGCAAAAGCTCTTCTATCTGCTGCTTCTGCTGCTTCCCACCTAGAACGAAGCTGCGCGGCTGTAGCAACAGTGCGAGTTGCAATATGTCCTCTGCCGCCTGCCGCTGCTGATGTTGCTGCTGCTGACCAAGCAGCAGCAGACGGTGTTGATGCTGTTGCTTCTGTTGGATGGTCTTCTCCGCAGCAACATAGAATGCATCGGCAAGCGGAAGGAGTAAAGATAAATGCAACGAATGCTGCTGAAGTGCCTGCAGCAAAGCCTGAATGCACACAACAGGGGCTGACGCAATGGCTGCTCTTGCGGCAAGAAGAGATGTCGTAGACCCTGCATCTATCCCTTGCTGCTGCTGCTGCTGCTGCTGCCGTTCAAAACTTCGGCAGGCAGCGACAAACCGGCCAAGAATAGTAGGAACAGCATCAGCCCTAGAAGGCTGATCCAGCCCACGGTGATGCTGCGGTAGTTTCTGCTGTTGTTGATGCTTTTGCAGCTGCTGCATTTGCTGCTGCGTCGGCCTCTTTGCTACAGAGTGTGCGCTGCTTTGGCTGCAAGAATACCGCCGCTGCACCAGCTGGTGGTGCGGCAGCTGGTGCTGAAGAAGCCGCTGGTGCAACGCAATTGCTCCCCTGATCATGCAGCAGCAGGGACATCGAGTCCCACTGGCAAGCATCCTGGCTGTATGCCGTGGCGGCAGCAGCTTCAGGATGACTTAAAGCGTGTGGTTGCTGGTGCTTCCGGTTCTGTTTGTTTGCGATTAGCGAAGAGACAGCTGGTCAATTGTGTGTGTTCTGTGCAGCAGCTGCTGCTGCTGCTCTTGTCTCCGCAAAAACAACTGATGCCCCCCGCGAAGAGCCCCAATTAGTAACAGGCCCCCGGCTCCCAACAACCCCCAGGGCTAGACAACGAATTTCCCTGCTAAAGTTGAGGGTTCAGACTTAACAATTTGTTTCCAAGGTACTTAGGCCCATACATTGATTGGCTGTTGGTCAATGGTTTAAGGTTTAGGTTTATAGATGCTCATGTACTTCGCGACAATATAGGCACCGAGAGGCCATAGGGTCCATCATACACAGGTAGCCCGTCAAATAATGTTTTGAAAAATGTTGAATACTTGTATAAAATCTTAGTTATTTAGGCCTCATTTGATATTCTCAGAAAGTAAGATGGCCCGACCCTGACAACAGGTGACCCTACAGACTCGAAGCTACCCACAGAAGAATGCCCACGGAAGAAGACAGGCCTAATTGGTGATGCTGCTTGAGCAGGAGGAAGTTGCTAGTGCTGTAGCAGAAGCCACGCTGGTCCTACACCAGACATGTACTGTCGTTAAATTGCAGGGTACTGGGACGCCTAACCCGTAAACCCACAGATTCCGTCCGCATGTCTGTATCTGGGTAGCCCAAGTTCATATGCACTGCACCTTCATCAGGGCTTCTGTATAACACTTGATAAGGCCTACAGGGATGCATTCGCCTACATTAAGCATTTTCCCGTCCTACAGTTGAGCCATGTACCTTCTGACGCTATTACCTGTGTGATCGGCAGTATGTATATATTCCGGCTCCACTACTGGTGCTGTAGCGGAACAGCAACAGCAGCTGACTCTGCAGCTACTGCCTTTCTAGGGTTCTTTCAGTGAGCTGGGAGACGCCTGCCATCTGCAAGGTGAACTCACCAGCACAAGTCCACACGATGCGTTGCCTAAAAAGCAACCGTAGCTGCAGCTGCACCAGCTAATAAAGCAACCGTAGCTGCAGCTGCACCAGCTACTCCAGCTCTAGGCTAGATGCTGCTGCTGCACACAAGCTTTCCCGCAAGATCAAAACTCCCCTTGATCTCCATAGAGAAGCATCAGGTGCTGCTCCTCCAGCTGTTCGCCCAACAACTCAGCGGATGCAGCTGAAGTGTCGGATTGTTTGCTCCCCCCAAGCCATTGCTGCTGCTTTTTGCTCGTTTTATGCACTGACCAAAATATCGAATTGCATGCATATCCAGCTCTACCTAACCGTGTGCGCTTGCTGCAGCGGCGGCGCGGCAGGGGCTTTTGCCGATGACAAGCTATGCGCTTCCGCGCTTAGCTTGTAGGCACAGCAGCGGAGGCAGCACAGCTGAAAGTATCAGCAGCAGCAATAGAAGCAGAACCTACACATGCCCACGGCGACCTGGTGCTGCTCAACCAATTAAACTGCAGGCGAATTGCAAAAGTGCGCCGAGAACCCGTGGGCCTGCTTAATCCACATGGGTCGTCAAGAAGGGCTGTCTCGAGAATTTGCTGCAGCAGCTGCTACTCGTGCTGCCGCTGCTAATGCAGCGGCAATTGCTGCTGCTGACTGCTCCACTGTGTAATGTTTACCTCACGTTGTTCCGGCAGCTGCTCACGGCTGCCTCCCCGTGCTTCCGTTAGTGTTGCTGCTACTACCAATGCTGCACTTGCAGACACAGTAGCTGAACGCATGCAGGACTTCCTGGTCGCCAGAAAGTTTCAGCAGCATGCGTTCCTGCAGGTGCTTGTAATGCTAATGCTCCTGCTGCGTGCAGCGAGCCCAGAACCGACTGCCTGGTCCCAGCGAGGTAGCCCGTGTTGTTGAGGAGCCAATGGTTCTGCGAGAGTGTAGAAGACGGCGCTGCTGGCGCTGTTCCTGTCGCTGCTGCTGTTCTTGAGTGGGTGGGGTTCGCTTGCTGCCTTCAAATGCAGCAGAGTGACACAACCTTTGCCTCGAGAGGAACTTTTTGGCAGCGGCTGCACCTGCTGCTGCTGTTGGCATTCTGTCGCTGCTGCTTTTAACATATGCAGACACAAATGGACGGTGAGAAGCGTTTATACCCCTCCCCGCTACCGTTGCTGCTGGAGCAGTACCTGGGCCGGCGATTCTAGGCGGCCTTGATGATTCCGAAGCCCCCAAATCAGTAACAACAGCGACAGGACCTTCTACTACTGCTGCTGCACAAGCTGGTTCGCCTACGTTCCCCAGACGCCTCGTTAGTTCAGACGCTGTGGGAGGAGCAGCCGAACCAGTAGCTGGGGCTGCTGCTGATTGTGGCTCTGATTTAGGCAATACGTTTGCTTTGGCAATAGACTGGCGTTGCTGCTGCTGAATGTGCCTGCAGGCTAGAAGCAGTCGCCTGTGGATCTTCGCTTCGGTTGCGAGAAAAGCTCGTGCTGCATTGATGCGTTCTGCTGCAGCTGCAGATGCTGCATCCGATGCCGCTGTAGACACAGCGGTCACTGCTCCTGAATCTGAGCTGTTGGCCCTGAGAAAGTCAACGCTCGTTGCTGCAACCCCAGCACCACCCGCAGCTGGAGATGCCTCACCATCCGAGTCGCCAAAGAAGGCCTGGGGGAGCCGCACCTTCGCAGCGTTCCCTTCTGCTGCTGGTGCCACGGTTGCTGCAGAGTCAGAGGCGTCTGATGCTGCTGCTCCTGCAGCAGTAGCAGCAGCAGCTGCTGCTGCTACTGCTGCAGCACGGGGCGATGCCCTTGAAAGACTGCTGCCAGCGCCGCTTCCCCCTTTTAGCTCCTGCGCCTTCTCTGCAGAAGGATCATCATCCGTGCTGCTGCTACTGGCTTCTAACCTGCTGGAGCGGAAAAGTCGTAAGGATCGATGGTGAAGTAGTGGCTGCTGCTGTTGCATTGAGGAAGCAGCATGCTGCATTACAAGCGGCCTCATGAGTCGCGGTTCAACAGAGTGGTGACGCTTGATGGTGCTGCTGTTTCCACTGCGTTGTGCTGCAACCGGAGCTCTTATACAATGCCTGGTTGAAACGCTACCTGTTGCTGCTGCCTTTTCAGATTGCTGCAGCCGCCCTTGCTGTTGCAGCAGCAGCTCCTGCTGCTGCGACTGCCATCTGCAAACGCAGCTTGTCCTTTCACGAAGCAGACGGGAAACCTGTGGCTGCAGGTGTCCCACAAGTGAGTCCGCAGCAGCCGCAGCAACTGCTGTTGCTGCGGCATTCGCTGCTGCTGCTCTCCTTGCCTGGGCCTCAAGATGCTTCTTGTGGTGCAGCTGCTGCTGCCGCTTCAGGCGGGCGGCACATCGCACCTTCCGAAGAAACAGCAAAAGCGGCTGCAGCACCTCCTCCTTCATTGCTGCATCCACAAGCAGAAACAACGGCAACAGGAGCAACACCATTGGCAGCACCACTGCAGTAAGACAGTTTCGGCTTCCACCGTTGTGGCCGTCAGTGAGTCAAGGCAGCGGCAGCAACAAATGCCAACAGCAGCAGTAGCAGCAGCCACAAGTAACAGCAGCAGTAGCAACGGTTACAGATGCCAATAGCTGAAACAGCGCCGGCAACAGCGGCACCAACGGCTGCAGCGAGAGCGGCAGCATACCTGCGGGATCTAGGCCTACTGAATGGTTGGCATGGGGCGGGAGGTGGGATACGCGCAGAGAAGCTGAGTTCGGGATACTCGACAGCAAACGCCGCGAGTGCGACACCGGAATAATCTCATCCTGTAGCATAAACAGAAGCAGCAACAGCCGCAGTAACAGCAGACGCAGCGGCGGGCGGTCCAATGAAGAGTCCTACGTGAAGGCCCAACCGAGGCATAGCAAAGTTAACTACAGCAGCATCATAGGCAGTAGCCACATAGCACTACAGCGGCAGCAGCAAATTGATCAGTAGAATAAGTTGCAATCGAAGCAGCAACGACAGCTTTTTCATCCCAAAGCAGCTGGACGGCCCAGCGACCCAAATAAGACAGCAGCAGCAGCCGACGGACTTGCTGGCCATGAATGATGCAGAGGGGCAGCCCCTGACACTGCTGAAGCGCGGCCTCTGTGTCCCAGTGATGGGTCACCACCAGGCGAGCCAAAGATTCCGGCAGCTCCGCCATATCCGCCGCCAAAGCCTGCAGCATTGGGGTGTAAAAATACATCGACGGACGACTCAGCACTCTTCTTGTGTAACATCCGTACGCACGGCCAGCTGGCATTGTCTTCTACAGCTAACTAGGATCGCTTCCAGTGGCTCTCTGGGAACGCTTCCTACGACTAGCTAGGATCGTCTTGTGCGAACAGCTGGGATCGTCTCCTGCCAGCGAGAGTGCCTGCAGTCGCTTACCGCCAATGAGGCGAAGGGCGAGATGAGGACTAGTCCCCCCAACTGCAAATTACATTTAGCCAAACGGGAGGCCAAATAAGCCGCAGGACCCGTGCCTATAGACCTGCCAACACACCCAGAATCCTAGGCCCTAGACCCTAAACCCCACAAAAGCGCAAGCCAATCAGTTTGGGTAACGCATGCAGTTATCTCCTTCGAGCCGCTCTGCATGCGGCGTCCGCTGCCAAGGGTGTATTAGCAACTGTGGAGGCTTTTCGATTAGGGTTTACTAGTGTTAATTTGAGTTTATCAATATGGGCTTATAGGTACGGACTACTGACTAGGGTTTGCTTGCTTGGATTTATGGGCTAGGGTTTGTCGTATTGGCTGTCACCAAGCAGGGCTTCTGCTGCAGGGAACTGGAGCTGTTCTAGGCGGGTTTGCTAGTTAGGGCTTGCCAACAAGGGTTTATTGATTAGGGCCCACTGGTAAGGGATCAATGGTTACGGTCTACTCATTAAAATTTATGCATTAGGGTTCAATGATTGCCGTTTATTTACTGGTTCCGGTCTGCTGCACTAGGGTTTGTTGCACTACCTGCCACAGAGGATGATTTTTTCTGGAGGAAAGTGAAGTTGTTCTACGAGAAACTCGAGGGCGACTTTGGCGCAACGGTCGACACCAACAGAAGATGAAGGGAGGCCGGAGAGGAGGCCGTAGCCGGGGTATTCAAATACCAGGATAGGAAGACCCAACTGGCGGAAAGAACAACACAAAACAGCAAATACAAGACGAAAGTGTACGCAGGCTCTCAAAGCAACAAGCAAACAACAGCAGCAAGCACAGCAGATGGAGACAGACCATCAGCTGCACCTGAAGCAGCAGAAATACACCTCAAGCCACATCTGCTGCAGCACGCGCGCATCGGACAGCAGCAGCAACAGGAGCAAGAATAAGCAACAACAGGAGGAACAGCAACAGTAGCAGGGGAAGTAGCAGAAGCATCAATAATATCAATTGAAGCAACGGCGCCAACATCCGAAACCAGAACAACAGCACCGCTGGAGGCACCGTCAGCAGCAGCAGCAACACCAGAAACACACCTCATCTGCGACCACTTGAAGCCAACCCCTAACCATATTCGCATCGCATGCATTTCCGTGGAAGTAGATAATGCAATAATCGCTTCGGCTTAGACCCCCTGTGGCCTCCGTATCCCAATAGCTGCCAGCTGCTGTTGCTGGTGCTGCGCCTGGCATTGCTGCATCTCCTGCAGCAGCTGCTTCTCCTGAGGGGCTATCGTCTGGGGCCGCTGCTGTATCGGAGCTTGTGGAGTCGGCCGCTGCCTCGAAGGCATCTGGAGCATCAGCTCCTGCTGCTACTGCTGCTGTTTCCGCCGCACATCCTTCTACACACCTTGCTGCTGCAGCTGCAGCTGAGCCCATTTCATGCGGAAGCACTGCTTTGCGAGGCTGCCGCCGGCGCAGCACCCGTTGTTGCTTCTGTTGGCGGTGAAGCTGCTGCAGCAGTAGCATGTGCTGCTGTAGCTCTTTCCTCTTCTGATCCAGCTGCTTCAACAGCTGCTGCGTTCTCTCGTTCTCCTCATCACTCGCGGCTGCTCTTTGTGCTGCAACAGCTGCTTCTGTGCATGCTCCTTCAACGTTACTCCGGCGGCGATGTTGCTGCAGCGGCGGAAGGCCACTAGCAGCAGCTGCCGCTGCTGCTGCCGCAGAAGCAGCTGCTGCAGCAAGTCTTGCTGTTCGCAGCGCAGCAGCATGCTTGAGGTGAGACTGTGGAGAAGGGACAACAAGGAAGGCCGGCACAGCAGCAGGAGTTCCAGCAGCAGCAGCAGCAAAGCGAGAGCGCAGCAGCAGCAGACCGTCACTGCTGCAGCTGTAAGACGACGGAGGAGCCGGAAAAACCAGGGAAGAATCTATCAAGGGGTGCTTCCCAGGACTCAAAGCCGCCCCCATTTGGCCCTTGTACTGCTGTTGATCTTTCCACTGCTCCTCCTGCTGCTGAGCGTGCTGCACCTGCTGCTATGCCGCGTTCCGGTGATGCAGCCGCGCCTAGCGATGCTGCAGCAGCAAGAACTGCTGCTGCTGCTGCTGTTGCTTCCGTTGACTTCTACGCCCAACCTTCTATGGCCTAGACTGCAGAAGTACTTTCTCCCCCGTGTAGGGCTTAGACGTTGCACGTGTGAGCTTTTACTGTGGCTACAGCTGTTGGCGTTGACGCCGCTGCTGTTTCTGCTGCCGCCGTTGGTCTTGCTGCAACACCTGCTCGCAGTGATGACCCTGTCAGAATGAGAACAACTGAAAAAATCAATCCATCTACTGGCATGCGCACAAGTCATTGGTACTGCTGCAATGGGTGTTGCAGCTGTTGCATTACCTGGTGCAGCAGCGCCGGCTACAGCAGAAGGGCACGAACCCGTGTCCTACCACACAGATAGATAATATGAAAGTAAAAAACAAAACATAGAACTGAGGTGGACACAAGCTGCGAACACGCAGCCAAACCATTGACTTGCTGTTGCTGCTGCCACTCCCTCCGCTGCTAATGGGACAGCAGCAGAGGTCGACCAGCAGCAGCTGCTGCTGTTTATTTACGAGGACGTCATGAAGATCAACAAATACAGACGACAGAAAGAGGCACAGAAACCCATCGGGCCGACGACAGCAGAGGACCGGCTGCAACAGCAGCTGCAGCCGCTTCTGCTGCTGCTGCTGCTGCTGCTGCTGCCATGCTCACATGCATGGGCGGGAGATCGGCACACTTGTTCATTTACAGTGAAGTTGATGCTGCATTGGAGAATTAAATTGTAAGAGGGGCTCGTAAGGCGTGTCTGTAGGAGAGAGGAGAGTCGTCGTTGCTGTTGCTGCTACTGTTGCTGCCGCTGCTGCTGCGTGCGGCTTTGTACTGGTCTCCTCTCTTATTTAGACGGGACAGACGACTGCGGGAGCACCGGAATTTCAGCTATGGAAACAGAAGAAGTAGCAGCAACTGCTGGAAAGTCTCAACACGATGGCCCGCAGCAGCAGAAACAGCAGCTACCTCAGGAGCAGCAGGAGTACCAGGAGCAGCAGGCTGCGTTCCTGCGACACCGCGCAGCGGCACGGCAGGAACGGTTGCTAGCGCGGCAAGCACAGCGCATGCGCATTGTGCAGGGGATGGAGACTGCTGCTTCTGCCTCTAGCATCAGGAACTGCACAGACCCAAGGAACAACCAGGAGGGCTGTCAAGATGTTGGGCCGAGTGACCCCGCAAGGCTCCCCTCGCCTGGAGCGGACTTGCAGGCTTCATCCAGCAGCAGCAACAACAAGAGCAACGCTAGCAGATTGAAGCAGCGTGTTGATTTGTTTGCGGTTTGCCTTGGTATCGGTGCAGGTGTCAACACGATGCTGCGAGAGGAGGTGTCTCCTCACCGTTTGTTTGAAGCCCTCGGCTTCCCCTACGGCCCCGCTAGTTGGAATGTGCTGTGTTGGATATGCGGCATGTTGCTGTATCTCCCACTTCCTCTTGTGCTGGTGGTGTCTCTAACCGAGCAGCTCTCGAGGAACTGTAACAGCAGCATTAACGGTAGCATAAAAGGTTTCTTGTGCGCAGCAGCAAATCGCATCTCCCCAGCTCCGCAGGCTGGCAGCTCTGATGGGCCTAGGCCAAGGAAGCTGCAGCTCATTTTTGCGGCAGCAGCAAGGACAGCGGTTGCTGCACAGCCCCACTTCACGCGGCTGTCTCTCTTTCTTGTAGCCTTTTGTTGCACCACCACCCTCGTCAGGATACTTGCAGCAGTAGGGGGCTGCTGCAAGTAACAGCTGCAGCTGTAGGAGGAGCAGCAGCAGTAGTAGACACCGCACCGCGAGCATTCGCTGCTGGGCCAGCACCAACAAGTACGGGCGTGCAGTTGCTGATGCTGCGACGGATTCAGACTGCTGCAGCAGCAGCTGGCGCTGTTGCTGCCGCTGCCCATGTGGTGGGTACAGAAAATGCGATGGCAGCTTGCGCGCTTTGGCCACCGATTGTAGACGGGTCGAGTTGGAGTCGGTAGGGTGAAGAAGGGCCAGGGCTAGGAACTAGGAACTGCCAAAGCCTTCCTGCCCGTCGGCTGTTGCTTAAACCTTCGCCCTGTTGGGAGTGCAGCACACAGCAGCTGCTGCAGCAACCTCGTTTCACCAATGCCGCAGTCTCTGTTCCAGCTCTAACTAGCGCTGATCCATAATCAGCCAACACAGACGCCTGCTGCACCCAGCTGCTTTATGGTTATGCTGCACCCACCTACTAAGTTTTGCTAGTTTTTATTGCTACAGGGCAAACGGCCCTCGATGTATGGGTAACTGGCATGCTGTGTAAGTACTATATATTCACACTCATGTACTTATTTTCTAGGACGTACCCGCCTCCCGTTTCCTCCCGTGAGGGCGACGGCGTCGCGTTGGCTGCAGGCAACACCCAGTCGTATGGCTCAGAGCCACGTATTTGACTTAAAGAACAGTTGTTGTGTCGCTGCTGTTGTTCAGTTGCCTGTAGTCAAAAAAATGGGACGAACGAACAGAGAGCAGCGGAAGTAACAAGATGAGCACTGAACACCACGAATAAAACGAGAAGAAGCGCGGGAGGTACCGTAATACAATAATACAGTAGGGGGCCTGTAGAACTTCCCCGTCAGCAGTCCATTGTTCGTTTTGGATCTTGAGTAGCCAGATATATCCTATAAGTTGCTTAAAACATACCAGTCTATTCTATTGTTCTGTAGGGTGCACTAACTCACTCCGTTTTTCAGTAAGAGCAACACAACGCAATATCGGCACATGCAGCTCTGGGCCCCAGAGCAGGAGGGGTTTGGGGCCCTGTTTCTTCGGCGGGTTGCAGGTGTTGTTCGTATCTTACATTAAAGGCGACTCTTTTCCATTTCTCTAATTCCTTTTCGGCTCCTTGTAAGGTACAACCGTCTCGTTCCCCCGCACACTACATACGAGACCGACAGGCTCCGTCGGTGGTTCTCTCCACATCTTGCCAGCAGTTTGCAGTGTTGAACAGGTTCTTCCATGGTTATGACCAGCAGTAGAGCAGCTCATTATGCACCACATGCGCTGTTGGTATTCTCCTCATTAACTTCCGCTTAACGCCACCACCACTCTCCGTGCAGCCGTCTTGCTTCACTGTCGGCTGCATCCCTACTCCTCCATTTCCGATGAGTCGACTAATTATGCATCTTTTTTTCTAGTAGCAAGGCTATTTCGACACCTCCCCTGATGCTGCTGTGCCTGCAGCAAGATGGCGAGCACCGGTATCTCGTTAGATAAGATCCCAACGACCGATCTACTGGAGGAGCTGAAGCGCAGATACAGCTGCCTTTCCAAACCCGAAGGCCGGTAGGATTCAAAGTTTATGGTTTAGGGGTTGCGGTTAGGCCGGTAGGCGGAAGATCTGCTATTGACATATTGCAGCCACAGCAGCAGCAGTAGCACCAGGCACCAGCGGCAGCATACAGTGCCGCTGCAACGAGCAGCAGCCCACAAGGGCCCCTCAACGGTGCAACATTGTTACATAGTTCTGCTGCTACTGCCGTCCATGCTGCGCAAGAAGGATGGCTCTTCACGCAGGCATTGCTGAGTGTCCCGTGTTTGAGGAGGTTGTTGGTTTGAATCTGTTTTCCAGGTATATTTTTTTGGGGGCCCCGGGGTCGGGTAAAGGCACACAGAGCGCGAATCTGCAGAAGTCGCACTGCTACTGCCACATATCTACGGGCGATATGCTGAGAGACGCAGTGGCGGCAGGCACAGAGCTGGGCCAGAAGGTAGACGGTTTCGTCGTCTTCCCGTGATTATTATCCTTGTTCTTGTTGTTCTTTCTGTTCTCCTTGTTCATTCTTTCCTTTCTCTGGGTCGTGTTTCTGCTCTTGTCGTTACGCTCCAGCTTCTTAACCTTCTGTCGATTCTTTGGGTGCTCCGTCGTTCTCCTTCACAACTTTCTTCGGCGGCGTTTAAACATTTCGGGATGAGTTCCTGAAAGCGAACTCACGGGAGACAAGCTGTGTTGTTTTTTCCCCCCTGTCCCTTGCTGCGACAATCTTGTAAACACCAGGCTCAAGGAATAATGGCTACTGGGCAGCTGGTCCCTGACGATTTGGTCCTTCAGCTGCTTTCTGAAAGAATGAGAAGCCCAGAGTGTTCCCGGGGGTTCATCTTGGATGGATACCCAAGGAATCTGGAACAAGCGAAGGCGGTAAGTTGGCGGTAGCCGGTGTGTGTTATATGCAGCATATATATGCATATTATATGCAGCATATATCATATAGAATACGCAGTATTAATGGATGTTAGTGCATATACATGTGGCTCTTGCCGCTTTTTACACAGGTTGAGAATATGTCAACAGTGCATCTCTTTAAGATGTACTGAAGAGAGCGTTTTCAACCATGTATTGCCAGGGCTGAATGATATTTCTGGTAGTTGTGCCATTCTCTCCCCTTTTCCGTTCCTGTTCAGCTGGACAAGCTGCTGGATTCTCAAAAACAGAAACTCGACGGTGTTGTGTTCTTCGACACCCCAGAAGAAACTCTTGTGGAGAGAGTCTGCGGGCGCCGCATCCACCCCTCCAGCGGCCGCGTTTACCACACAGTTTTCCGCCCCCCGAAGGTTGCAGGCAAAGACGACGTGAGGCATAAAGTGCTGCAAAGATGGAAGAACACAATCTCCGCTGAGTTCAGATTAGTTAGCCGTTCTGTCGTTGTTCTTTAAACAGTACGCCTTCTGATTAATCGGTGCGCTCTCTTCAGATTACTGGGGAGGATTTGATTCAGAGAAAAGACGACAACGAAGAGACGCTGCGCAGCCGTCTGCAGGTCTTCAATCAGCAAACGCTGCCGCTGGTCCAGCGCTACGAAAAACTGGGGCTGCTGCACCGCATCGACGGGAGCCTCCCTGCTGCTGCCGTGAGCGACCAGCTGTATGCCTTCGTTCAAAAACGCCCCCATAGCGGCAAAGCATAAACCGCAAACTTAGTACTTCCTACTGCTGCTTCCAGATGACACCGACGCATTGCCAGAGGCCACCGCCTCAACACCGGCAACAACCCGCTTCCTCTTCCTTTTTTTTACTTCTTCACCAACTCTCCTACCCTTTTGAGTTTGAATGATATGCAAAGAAGGCTTCCTTCGCTAACTTGCTTAGCCTTACGAGTTTAGGTGATAGGCATAGACGGCTTCAATGCCTGTTCACTGCCTGCACGGCTTCCTACAGTCTCCTCGGCAAAGACGCTACTAGAGGTGCCACAATATAGTGGGTGGACCCAGATATGTGTGAGTAAAACTTAACTGCATGTTCTGACTAGAGGAAAGGGAAAAAGACGCGGGTTGCTCCTTCCTCCGAGGACGCCACGGGGGTGTGGCGTTGTGGTGTGGTGCGTTGTGTTGTGGCGTGTGGCGGCTGTTTTAAACCGGGTTAAACAATGAGCATTCCCCCTCTGAAAGTGTGTGCTATGCGGCACTATACTTGCTTGAGGAGCATCATAATGCTTGGGCAGGGTATTGCCTAAGAGATCTTACATACATAAATATGCGGCCTGGACGGAAACACTGCAGCCGCGGGCAGCCAAGAAGATGAACTTCCGGAGGGTGATGCATAAGCAGGGAGTACTGCACGTTGCAACAGGCAGAGGCTCTCGGCTCCACTCCTTCAGCTGTCCAGCTACTGTTGTTGTTGCCGCTGCGGGCTTCTTCGTCGTGTCTTTTCTGGCCCCTTCACGATTGCACGCGGTAGTCTGTGCGCGCCTGATTTGCGACAAAGAAGAAGCCGAAGAGGGCGCCGACGGTGCCCAGAGCCACTCCCGCTAGCACGTCTCTGACGCGGTGGAAGTGTTCGACCACTCGTGTGGCGGGTACGTACACCGCAAGGAGCAGCAAGCCGAACTGGATGAATGGAACGGCCGCCTGGGTGATCCAGTAGAGTTGTTCCACAGCTGCAGCGCATCGGCTTTGTCTTGGGCGCATCTGTTTCTTCGGCGCAGTGGTTTGCTGCTGCCACAGCAGGCGGCACTGCAGGTAGAGAATCGCAAACACCATCCCGCAAGCAGTGCAGCTGCTGTGGCCTGAGGGGAATGAGCGTCGCGCCTCTTCCACCCGATGAGGGTCTCCTGTGCAGAAGAAGTCTGGAATATAAACATCGTACAGGCCGCTGCTGTCTCTGCATGATACACGACTCCAGTCTGGCCTGCACACGTCAAGGAAGTGAGGCCTCAACGACCCGACCGCCGCCTTTAGCGAGTTCGTCAGGAGGAATACAGATGCCACCGACATGGCCAGAGAACCGCAGTAGGTGTACAGGTGCACACAAGTCTCGGGAATTCTTCGGTCGAGCACCACCACCACCGCCTGCTGTTCCCTTTCGCTCTTATCCTTTTCTTGAGTCGCACGCACAGCCCACAAAAGCACCTCCACTACCACAATGATGAAAGCGGGCAGCATCGTGCTAATCCAAAAGGCACCGGCAGCAGAAATTGACGCGGGCATGTAGGGAAGCGCTATGTCATCCTCGCCGCAGAAGGCCCCCCTCTCAACCGGTAGGCGAATCAGCATGACGAGGCCCCAAATCAAGATCGCAGCACCGCTCACCATGTGCACCCACAGACGAGAGAAGTACGCTGGGTACACTCGAGATTGAGCTCCTGCAGCACCTGCGGCTGTAGACGGGGGCCCTCCTCCTGGAGAGGCGGGAGGGCCCCTTGAATTCCCGCTCTCCACATCTCCAGAGGCCCTCGTACACACAGACTCACAAACCTCCATTTTCACAACTCCGCTACTGCACAGGGCGGCCCCTGACACCCCAAGGAGAAGAAATCAGCCGCGCTTGAGCCGGTGCGCTGCGGCTTGTTGCGGCGTCGCCGCATGCAAGAGGAACGAATTGCTGCAAAAATGGGCTTCCTCGTTCTCTTACTATTAGTTTTGTTTAGAGGAAAGGCAGAAAAAGGAAACGCACGAAGGGTGGAAGAGGTGAAAAGCCCCAAACCTACAGCCGCTCCTCAGCAATCCAACCGACGAGGACAGCTTCAAGCTTCCTCTCAGCAGTCGTCGGGCTGCTCCGCTCTACCCTGCAATAAACGGAAGATGATGGTAAAAAGAACAATATTTTAAGGTCTATTTAATATGTTCCGGCTATCGGCTTTCAACTTGCGCTTCTGGGTTGAACCAACCTTCCGCTCCCTGGCCCCCACACAGCTCACGCAGCTCTGCCTATCACAGCCTCGATAGGGCTCTTCTTTGCTGCTGCAACACTCGGGCAAACAAAGCAAACAGTAAACCCTAGACTTCAGACCATGAAAAGAAATCAAATTACTTGTTTTCCCTTTCAAATAAATGGGGTGATGAAAAGAGACTGTATATAGTGGCCCTTCTCAGAACAGGAGGCAGCCATCTCTAACAGCTCGCCAGAGTCTGTTTCCACACCGATCGATACAATGAATACACACTGCGCATTACCTACATAGATGCGTGCATATTAATTAAATTAGTGCACACGTAGAAACTTTTTGTGCGTACATTTGCCTACAAAACACGCATAAATCCATACATACACGACACAAATATATGAACACACTAGTCTCGAAACAGAAAAATGGCACAAATCCACACACCAGGCCAGCTCCTCGTCCCCGGTCCTCCGAATAGTATCCCAAGAATTCCATAAACCAACGACGGATAAAACTCACATATGCCGTCGTTCTCACCGATGTTTCCCCTGTAGCTGTCCACAAGTCTAATTCAACTATTCTAGACCTATGACCCCGAGCCCACCTCAATCTCCGGTAACACTCAATGGGCCGGCTACCCATAGGTACATCTTTGACTACAATATAAGCGAAAGACCTAAAAGAAATAACTAAATCTTAACCACTAAGCGAAAGACCTAAAAAAAATAACTAAATCTTAACCACTTAAAAAAAAAAAATGTCCGCTATTCACTGCACCCGGTGGAAACAGCGGGCGGTGGTGGCGAAAAAAAAAATGGCCGAGGGGAGAGCCGTTAGGGTGCGGCGACCGCCTCTGGACCCAGCACTTGAAAAAATAATTGACTGCGCACTGCACTGAGGAGAGTGCATGGGTTGTACATACAGGCACAGGCCCGTGCAGCTCCTGCTGGGCGTTCGTTGGTCCGCACATTCCGCCGAACGCATACATAAATGTTTTATCCCACACATTAATATCGGCGGGGGAGGGGGAGGGACAATGCCGCGCGGCGCAGCACAGAAAAAAAAAGACGTTGGGCTCCCCTCCTAAAAAAACAAGGGCACCGGTCTAACGGTGGACAGGCAAATAACCCGATAGGCGCCCCACTCCCCTTGTATTCCCGCGGCATAATGTGCAGTGAAGGCTAAATGCACACAAGCCAACCACTGCACCCTGCGCGTGTACAAAGACATTACCGTTACAAGGAAACATACGCAGGCGGTGAGTACGAGATGCTATCTCGTTAGGTAGTACAAAAGATGCAGCAAAAAAAGAAACAGAAATGAGGACCTGCTTGATAACAAGAAGTAAGCAGAAAACCAAACAAGAAGCATCCCGCCGTTCGTCCCTGCTGCTGCCGCCCAATTTAGGGGCGCAAGTCGATGATGAAGAAGGCACCGAATATAGCCACCATGCCGCCCAGCAACATTCCCGTGCAGACATCCCGGACGTGATGGAAATGTTCCAGCACGCGCGTGGCAGGCACATACAGGGCGAGGAGGAGCATTAAAGCCTGCAGAATGGGGACCAGGGCCTGAGAGAACCAGAACGTCTTCTCCATGAAGGCACCGAAAACCCCCTGTCTGGTCCGCAGCCGCCGCTTAGGTGCCGTTTGCTGCTCATGCCAACGGAAGCGGGCCTGGAGATACAGAACGCCGAAGAGCATGCCGCACATGGTGTACGTACTGTGGCCAGAGGGGAAGGAGCGGCGGGCGTCTTCAACGCGGTGAGCATCGTTCATACAGTGGAAATCTTCAACGTAAACATACTCGCCATTGCTACCCTTGCATTTCACCTGAGACCAGTCCGGCTTGCAGGCGTCGAAGAAGTGGGGGCGCAGAGAGCCCACAAAACACTTAAGAGAATCTGCAAACAACCACGCGGTTGCCATCGTGAAGCCAAACCCTCCGAGGTAGGTGTACAAATCTACAATCCACTGCGGCACCTCCCAGCAGAACATCCTCACATTGCTGCTTTGTTGTGCTTCCTTGTCCTCCGTTGCCCGCACCAGCGCTATGAGCAATTCCACCAAGATGATAATAATGGAAGGCACAACGAAGGAAAGAACCATCAGCTGCCCCAAGTTAATCGATCCCTTCTTCTTCGGCAACGCGATGTCGGTGTTATTACAAAAGGAACCCCGAACAGTCGCCGTACCGGTTAGGGAATTCGCTGCTATTAAACACACAGCCAACAGACTCAATATGTGCATCAGCACGCGAATAGGGTAGGAGGGGATGACACGGCCCAAAGAAAAACCCAAGGACCGCTTCAACGAACTCGGAACACCCGCAGCATCCACCTGCACCTCGCAAACCCCGGTTTTGGGTCCTGCGGTAGCAGCAACACCCGCGCTGGCGCTATCCATCTTGCGTCAAAAACTCTGGAAAAAAGTCAAATGAAACACAATCAGATGACCGACAGGCCGAGAGATACGGACGCAGTGACCCGAGCCACAGCGTCACTGAGTAGCAGCAACCTGTACGGGATGAGAAAGGCAGGCAAGTAGGGGCGAATGCTCTGCTTCGCTGCAAAAACCAAAAAGGCAGAAAGACTGCACGCCCCACACCTCGTCGGGCAAAAAATCGGACTACCGACTATTCAAAAGCACAAAAAGAACGCTTCCTTCGAATTCAGGAGAAAGCAACGAGGAAGGGGTAGGGGAACACCAGCGGGGTGTTCACTCAAATCGCAGAACCTGATTGGGTGACAGCCGGTGTGGGGTTGCTTGCAGACCTCAAGGTCAGCCCCAATATCAGTCGAGGAAGGGTTAAAATGCATGCAAGAGAATCAATCTGTAGTTTTCGCGATGCTTTTTGTTGTGATAGTTGATTACAACACCGGAAGAGCCTTAACCTACCCTCTAGCACCGGCACCCGGCGGGGGGAGCAACAGCACGAGCAGCAGCACCAGCCGCTGTAGCAGCTGCTGCAGCTGCAGCACCAGCAGCCCCAAGTGGCTGCAGCAGTTGCAATATGTAGAGCAAATATAATAAGTTCTCTAATTCAGTAGTTGGCAAATGCCATTATCACATACAGTTAACCAGGTTAATTAATCTTACCAGCAATTCCCCCTCCAGGCGCCGCGCCAAACCCTAAACCCGACACGCTATGCCCTAAACCTTCAACTGGTCGGAGCCCTCGCCAGCCAACCCCACACGGCCTCCTCTGCTTTGTGCGCACCAACTCTTCCTGCGCTTGTGCCGTTATCAGCAGCATAAGGAGAGCAAAGGGCAGCAGCAACAGCAGCAGTGGTGGCGGCAGCAGCAGTGGCAGGGCTGCCGCAGCGGTAGCAGCAGCAGCGGATGGCCTCGTGACTGTTCGGACTGGTTGTGCGTTTGTTCACCTTACAGGAGCAAACGGGTGTCAATTTCTGCTTTTGTATTACTTATCTGGGGCCTCCTGTAGCAGCCCATACCTACAAACAGCACAGGGGCCCCGCGGGGGCCCTCGGGGGCCCCTCCATCCAGTAGTTGCAAAAAGACACGCAGTGGATCCTTTTTGCATGCAACGGCCGTTCTAGTGGGCATGCGGCCGCGGCAGCCGCACCGCCAGCGACTTCCTCCACCCCATGCGCCCTGGGTATAGTGCTGTTCCCTCTGCTGCTACTGTTGTTGCTGCTACTGAAACTGCAGGTGCCTCTGCTGCTGCTACTGTGGCTGCCACTCTCTGGGGAACGCATATTGCAGTTTCACCTGTACCGTTGTACAAAGCGCCCCCTCGCTGTTGCTGTTGTTGTTTCTGCTTCTTCTGGTGCAGTCTTCCGGCCCCCGCGATGGCAGCGGTGTATCAGAGCCCCCTCCCGCCATGCCTCCAGACCGCTGGGGACCCAGGGGGCCCTTAGAAGGCCCTCCATACGATTACTATGGGGGCCCCCGCGGGGGACCGCTGGCGCCCCCCATGTACTCCTTACGCCGGTGTAGTGATAGCCCAGGACCACCGATGCTGCGTATCGCCTATTATGGAAGAGGGGAGGAGAGGGACGGGGGCCTTGGGGGCCTGTCCGACCCCAGGGGCCCTCCCCGTTTGCTGCAGCGGCGAGTGCCTCCAGACCAACTGCAGCAGCTGCATGCGCACGAGCAGCAGCAGCAGCAATACTACACAGAAATGCGGAGGCGGCCGCCGTCGTCTGCATGGAGAGCCCGACGCAGGAGCTTAAGCAGCAGAGGCAGCAGCAACAGCAGCAAAAGCTGCGGGGTAGATAGGCAGGGGCCCCCTGGCGCCCCCCGAGACAGACGAGGGTCTTTGGGGGATAGAGAGAGAAAAATGTGCGCTTGTTTGTCTGCACTCACAAATAGAAATTATTGTAGCATTTGCTGCTTCTGCCACCCCCAACCAACTGGTGCTGGTATTTATTCTGTTGCTGCTATTGCTGTTGCAGGAGCCGAAGCCGAAGCGTGAGCACTATTAGCGTCAACGAGGCGTCAGACTCGTCCTGCAACGAAGGGGGCAGCAGTTCGTATGAGCAGCAACAGCAGCAGCATCACCGGCCCCAGAGGTCGTGGCAGGAACGCCCCACTGGACCAGCAGCAGCAGCAGCCAGCAGCAGCAGCAGACCGTTGGAGGGGCACTTTCGGAGATCTTTCTCCAGGGCAAGCGGAGTTTCCGCTGTCTCCTCCCGCCGATCCCGTTCCCGATCACGATCACGATCTCGATCTCGATCCCGTCGACGCTGGCAACAGCGGGGAATGGTAATGCTCATGCATCCTTCAGGCTCCCACAACAGCAGCAGGTGGCATTCGGAGCAGCAGCAGCTGCTGCTTCAACGACAACGGCAACACGCGTGGCAAAAGCAGCAGCAGCAGTTTATGCTGATGCAGCGGCGCGCTACCAGGCGCAGCAGGAGCTGCAGCAGCTCTTGCCGCTCGGCCTCTTGCAGTAGCAGCAGCAGCGGCGGGAGGCGGCGGCGGCAGCAGCACCAGCAGCAGCGGAGACAGCGGGACATGTCTCCTGCTAGGTGGCGGCATATGCCCTCCAAACACCTCCCCAGGCAGCAGCAGCACCAGCAGCCTTCACCAGCAGTACCAACTGCAGCAACTGGCGCCCCCAGTGCCCGAGGCAGCCACCCAAGCAGCGGCGACGCCCTGCATGAAAGTGGAAGCAAAACGGTCCACGCCAATTGTGCAACAGACACCACCGGGGACAGCAGCAAGACCAGCAGCAGTATGGACAGCTGCAGTAGTAGCAGTAGTAGTAGTAGTAGCAGTAGTAGTAGTAGTAGTAGTAGTAGTAGTAGTAGTAGTAGTAGTAGTAATAGTAATAGTAGTAGCAGTAGTAGTAGCAGGCCAAGCGGCGCTGCTGAGACGCTGCCGAAGAGGTCCGAGGCCCACGGATCGCCACAACCAGAGGCTGCAGGTATCATCGCCAAGCCAAGCAGCATCAGCAATACCAGTAGCAGTAGCAGCAGCAGTTCAAGCAGTGAAGACAAACCTCACAGCAGACCAACAGGCAGAGCTGAAGCTGCTGGCAACAGCATCATCGCGCAGGAACCCAGTAGCAGCACCAACACCAGCAACAGCAGCCAGCATGCCGGCGACGTTATGGAAAGGAAACGGACGGCTGAGACGCTGCAACCCGCTATTGTTTCGAAAGATCTAGACGCGTGTAGCAGCAATGGCGGCAGCACCAGCAAACGGCCCCGCGCGAGCGGTGCCGCAGGCGAGGCCACTGGCAGCAGCATTGGCAGCGATGGCAGTGAAACAGCTCAGCAAACCTCAGAGCCAACAGCCGCAGCTCCCGCTGCTGTTACTGCTGCTCCAGAGGAATTCCAGGGCATGGGAGTGGCCTCAGGTGATGGCGTAACAAAGTTGGAGGTGACCAACAACCACAGCAACAACAGCAGCACATGCAGCAGCACAGCAAACAGGGAAGACAAAATGCGGTGGAGGCAGCAGCGTTTCAATGAATTCAAAGCGACCCTAAGCAGCAAAGCAGGCAGCCCTGTAACAGCAGATGCTGCAGTGGTGCCTTCTGCGACCGTTGCTCCTGAGGTCCGCAAACGGACCAGCCACGAAGCGCCTCCCTCTCAAGTACCCGCTGATACATCTGCTGCAGCTGCTGCTCATCCAGCCGGCGCGATGCAACATCAAACGCACAGCAGCAGCAATAGCAGCAACTTGTGTCAGGCTCCTCCCGCCACAAGCAGCAGCAGAGGCTCGAGTGTCGTGCAGGCTGAAATTTCCGCAGCAGCCGTTGCTGCTGCTGCGGCTGTCAGCTTGGAAGCCGCACACGGCCCAGGAGATGCAGTGAAAGCTGCAGTGGCAGCAGCAGCAGCCGCAGCGGCAGCGAAAGTAACAGCAGCGGCAGAAGCAGCAAAGGCAGCAGCGCCACCCAAGCAGTCGAGCAGCCGGTGGGACAAGTGCCCCGCGGGGAAATTGAACGGTGCCCTGCCTGCTGCTGCTGCTGCCAAGCAGGCAGCAGCAGCAGATTCCCGAGCAGGCAATAGCAGTAACAGCAACACTGTGAGAGCTGAACAGCAGCAACAGCAGCGGCAACAGCAGCAGCAGCAGCAAGCGGACTCAGATGAGGAGTACACTGTCGCTCTTTCTGGCTGCATACCGCGGCCTCTGCCCTCTAGACTTCCCCCTCCTCTCGGCTGTTCTTATGAAAACCACAAGCGGTTCCTGTCTCTTGTCAGAAGGTCTGCTGCTACTGCTGTTGCTACTGTTGCGGTCGCTCCTGTTGCTGCCGCAGAGGTTATTGCTTCCTGGCCCGAAAAGGGGAGGGGATTGAGCGCTAGCTGTTGCTGCTGCAGTGCCATCCCCTCCTGGTGCTGTTGTTTCCATCTGCTAATGCTGCGTGTGTTGTTGGCGTTTGTTGCAGTCGGCGTACCCTGGGACAGCAATGGCGCATTTCTGTGCTGGAGCTGCAGCAACGGCAGACGGAACATTTGCTGCAGCGCATTGATGTCCGTACCTGCTGCTGCTCGTGCTGCTGCTTTTGTTGCGTTTCTGCACTTGCTTGTGTTGCTAAAACCTCTGTCACCAGCTACTGGAGCGGACGCTTGCAGGCACAGCGTTTTCGCTACCGCCGTACCGCCTGCTGGAGTGTATGTTTTCTGTGCGCTGCTTCATGTCATGTTTTCTGCAGCATGCGGCTGGTGCATTGGCGGAACTGGAGGTCCTGCGACAGCTGCTCTCATCGAAGCAAGCTGCACCCGGTGCGGATCTGTTCGTGCTGCTGCCACAGCTGCCCCTTGTTTTGGTATTGTTACTTCTTGCTGCTTGCTATTGTTGCCTTGTTCGTTACTTGGTGGTGCTGCTGCTGTTGTTGCTGCTGTTGCTTTTGAGTTTTGCTGATGTGACTGTTGATAATTAGCATTTTCTCGTTAGTAGCTGTTGTTGCTCCTGTTTGCGCCGGTGCAGGAGGTGCACAAGCTGCGGACGATGGTTTGCGTGGTGGGGAGGCAGCAGGTGCAGCCGCAGCAGCGATTTCATAGCGTCTTCCTAGCTGCAGCGGCAGCGCGTCCGTGGAGCAGCAGCTTTCGCTGCTCAGGTACATCATTTTTATTTGTTGCTGCCGGCACTAGCCACGCGTTGTTGCGATGACTTATTTGCAGACCTATGCAGCAGCAGCAACAATCTTGCAACAGGAGCAGCAGCCGGGATTGTCTCATCAAAGGGTGCCATTGAGCAGCTCTGCAGCAACAGCAACCGCAGAAGCTTTATCTCTTGCTCTGAATCAGAGGCCGCCCCCTTATTGACTTAGCTAGTAGCCCAAGTAGAGCCAGGCGGGCGTTTGTGTTGCACGTGCAGCCTGGCGGCCGCTGCAGCAGCAAAAGCTCCAGACCCGTGAGGTGTTCCGCAGCAGCGTGCTGCTTGAGTGTCTTAGATTCGAGGCGCCTGCTGCGGCGACTCCGTTGTCCTGTTTTTGTTTGCTTTGGGCAATTATTTGCCCATTGTTTGCCTTCTTGACACGCATATCGTCGTTCTCAGGTGTACAAGCAGCTGCTCAGGTGTAGAGGCAGTAGCTCAGATGCAGCGTTGCGGAACTGTGTTCCAATACTCTCTAGCTTATGTATTGCTGTAAAAGCAGCAGCAGCAATACATACGCTAACTTCGGTAGCTGCTTTTGATGTCGTTGCACCTACAAGTGGGACATCATGTTTGAATGCGCTTCGGGAGCTGGGCGCACTTGGGTGATGGGGATGTTGTGCTGCTCTGGCGGGGTGACGCCGTCCTCTTAGGGTTTAGGGTTTAGTCTCCAGTGTTGCTTTGGAACACGCCTATGGGCATCGTGCTGGTGCAACAGAGCAGCTGACGCAGTGCAAACGGCGAATACACAACAGGCTGCCTGAACAGTACAAACAGCGTATACGGCGTTGGCCGTAGACAACCTTAACCATCGACCATCTTCTGGGCCTGTAAAAGGGGTATTGTTAGGGTGTTGCTGCATCGCTTTTGGCCTTGGTTTATCACCTGTGGATGAGCCGTAGTAAGAATTATTGAATATGCCTCGGCTGCCTTTCTAGAAGGTTGTATGTGTTGGATGGTAGTGAAATAACTATGCTATGGTTATGCGTAGCTGCGTAGCTAATAAACCAGATGATTGAAATCTTTTGCGTAATTAATACATCCTTCAAGATTATAGGCCCTCTGCAGGTGCTTCCACCTCCCAGCCCCGAGACAGCGGCCGCTTTGATGTCTCTGCTAGCAGCTGCTGAAGATCTCCGCCGTTTCCGCCCATATTATGTTCCCTTTTCTTTCAATGTTTAGTTTGTTTTACTAGCAAAGATGGAGGCTTTACTCCTCTCGTAGGCATGGCAAATGGCTTGGAAGTTGGGACTGGCGTACACTCAGGCCCCCCGAGGCCCCATGCGTCTTTCCGCGTTATGTTTGATTTTCAGCATTTTGCTAAATAGTGGAAAGAATGGAGTCATGAGCCTACAGCTGACTCCCCGTACGCAGAGGTGTCCTAACACACCAGCAGCGGTGTCAGGAAAAGGTGCCACTCCTCCCTTGTTCATAGCTTATTCTCTCCCCAAGCCTTTTCTTCTTTTCAGAAATTACCACACCCTTTCAGATGCTTTGATCCCTTCACAGCCTGCTGATGGTGCTGCCTCTTCTGCCGCTGGAGAAAAATGTCTTGGCACGCAAAGGACACCATCTGCAGGAGCACCTTGCTTGCCCCAGTCTGGCGCCGCCTGCTCGTCAACAGCAGCAGAAAAAACGACAGAAACACAAGCAAAAGCAAATATACCAGCACTAACAGCAACACCAGCAGCACCAGCCACTGCGGACGACGAATTGGTAGCTGTTATACAAATCGTACATGCGCCGCATCATGCTGTCGTTGCTGCCTTAACCCAAGAGTCGCTGCAATGTTTGCTGTGGGGCAGCGACAGCGACGTCCAGGTTGCATACGAACTGTATACCACTGAGCAGCTGCAGCATCAGCATCAACACGAGCAACAACAGAAACAACAGCACGACATGCAGTTCCGACAGCAGCATCAGCAGCCGGAGGTGCTACAGGCACTGGATGAAGGAGCAGTGGATGTTCGGGTCTTCTTTGAAAACCGTTCTGGAGCGTCCGTGCCCTTCAAGAGTAGCAACAACAACAGCAGGAGAAGAGAAGAACGCGGGCGAGTGTTGGTGTGGTCTCTGCTTGGAGTTTCTGCTGCAGCAGACCTGGTTACTCCTGCTGCTGCACGTCTGCCTGACGGTGCTGCAGCAATCCGTTCAGCAGCAGCAGCTCTGGAGCAGCAGCATCAGCAGCAACCGTTGCAACAGCAGCTGCTGCTGCTGCAACGGTGTCGCGCTGCGTTGCCGATGCGGCAGGGGGCCCTGTGGTCTTTCCTCCTTTGCGCTGAAGTCGCTGCGAAGCTGCGAAACAAAGTTGGAGAAGATGTCCTTCCACTTGCAGTACAGGGGGTTCAGGTGTATATACGCCTCAAATACTTACAACCTGCTTGCCTCCTCGGCTGCCCGTGTCGTCGTATCTATGTGTGTGTCTCTGTGTGCGTTTCTCTCTGAGTTTCTCTCTCTCTGAGTTTTCCCACCGTGAGACGGTCGTACTATCTGTTCTGTCTCTGCTTCTGTCTTTGTATTTTTGGTACCTACGTCTTTGTCGTGTTTTTCTCTGTACGTATCTTTGCCGGGCTCGTCATTTTTTGTCTCTTCGTCTAGATATTTGTCTGTCTCTTCTTTCCCGTTGCTAAGGCGCTTCCTCTTAAATCCGCTGCTGCTGCTGCATGCTGCTCATCCACCGCCGTGTTGCTGCTGCATTGTTGGTCTTGCTCTTCCTGCAGGCCGCGCCGCAGCTCCCGCTCTCCTGGTGTACGCTGGGACATTCGCTGCGCCTCAGAGGCCGCCTTTGGGAGAGCAGAAGCTGCTACAGAATAGCAGCACATCTGGCTGCCTCATCTTCACAAACTATGAAGTCCACTGCTGCTGCTCCGTCTCCCCCTTCTGCTGCTAAAACCCCGTGGGCTCTCCTGGGTACTGGGCCTAGAGCTGCACTTGCTTCTGCCGCTGCTGCTGCTGCTGCAGTACCTGCAAAGCTGCTTGCAGCGCTAGACGAAACCCTCCTGAGGGCTCGGACGGATCCCAAGGAGCTGAGGAAAGCTCTACCTACGTTGATGTGAGCAAACATCTCCTTGCTTCTGCTGTTGCTGCTGCTGCGTCTCCTGCTGCTGCTACAGCTTCTCTCGCTGCCCTTGCTCTATCGCTTCGGGGTGGTCCCTTGTGGTACTGGACGCGAATCAGCTTCCCTTTGCTACTGCACCTTCTGCTTTTACTGCTGGGTGGTGCTTCAGGAAAGCTGAAGTGGAGGCCCCGTGGGGTTTCGCAGTTGACGCGAATCCGCCGGAGGTTGGGGGCATCTTCGTTGCCTATGTGGTGGAGAACAGCAAAGCAGAGAAAGCAGGACTGATGCCAGGTGAGGCCGCTGCACCACCCAGGGGGAAAAGCAGGAAGCACCGCATACAGCCGCAAGCGCCCACAGAGCAGTAGCAACAGCAGCAGCAACAGCAAGTGACACACACAGCAACAGCGAGAGCACCAACTCCTGGTGTCTTGCAGCTGTGCGTTTCTGTCTCGGTCACTGTGAATGCGTGTATTAGGAGACCAAATTGTGGTGGCAAACAACTCCATACTCCTGGGGAAACCTTTTGAGAGCTGCCTGGCCTCGTTGCGTGCTCGACAACGACCCACAGCGATACAGCTGCAGCAGGTGTTGCTGCCTTTGCAGCTGGAAGTGTACAGGGGGTCGTTCCCAGTGCTCTACGGGGCCCCTGCATTGGCTAGCCTTCAACGGCTGGGGGCCTTGAAGGAGCTGCTGAGTGGTGATAACAGCACGGAGCAGCAGTACAGACAACAGCAGAACAGCCCACTTGTCTACACAGCTGCGGGGAGCCTCAACGCGGTTCTTCTCGGTGGGGACACGAGAACTAGCGAGTTCTTTTAAGACACCACGACGACCCAAAGCATTGCATCCCGTTGCTGTGGTGCTGCAGAGACTCTGATAGCCCCACCAATGCAGGCACGGGGATCTCATTTTCGAGAACATAGTGATTAAGTACAACAGATGAGTAAGTATACGAAATATTTGCCAGTGGACCACTGGAACGTCGAATTCGTTATAACTGCAAGACGAAGTACATTGGCTCAGTGGATTGCGCTGTCTGTCTGCTGTCAATCGGTCTGTATTTACAGGGTATGCAGCACTGAAGGTTCCACAACCACCCTTAGGTTTTTGCTCTAGCGAGCCCGTCGAAGAGGGCCTTCTGCTATAAAACCATCCAATCGCTCCCCCCGTTACCAGGGGATCGGTAGACCAATGCACCATTGCTTTGATAAATGATGCCTGTCACGAGGGAAGGGGCGCTGCAGGCCCGTGTGCCCGTCTGCGCAAGCGGTCTCTCGACATAGCGCTGCTAGTGAAAAGCCCTTTGGGTGGGTAGGTGGGTGTATTTGGCGTATTATATATTTCGCGTGTTCTTTGTAGATGCATGCATGTGGTCAGGCTGTGCTCTCATTGCAAGTGTGTTTTGCTTTCGTTTGCGGGCATTTGGGGCGAGTTTCATTAACGTTTCTCTGATCTGCCATGAGCTTTGCCCCTCCCCTTCCCTCTGGGGTGCATCTGCAGCGTGTATTTGTCTGCCGGCGAGCAGCAGCGGTCGCCCGTTCCGCGTAGTAGAAGCAACACTTACGATGCAGCAACCAATGCTCCTTACGCTTGAGCCACACATACTCTTTTTCTCCTTAAGGATGTGAGCAGCGTACAGCACCACCGTTCAATGCAGTGCGCCACTCTCCGTGTTGTGCAATATACACCCTTGTACCACCCACTGGAGATTACTTGAATACATACCTATGGGTTTCTGGTGCTGCTCCATTCTGGAGAAGGCGATGAGGCGGTGATGCATAGAGCTTATGACTTACAGGAAGACAAAATAAACCCGCCCATCCCATCGCTAAGCAAATTCTACATGGTGAGGACAACAAGGGGAAAGAGTGGAAAGAAACTGGTGGGCCTGCGCTATGCGATTTCAGTTGGCGAGTTTGCCGCTCATTTTTAGCCGCTGTTGAACAATAGTCGGAAGGTCGCGGATTCGATTCTGCCCTGCCCTCTTGCTGAAAAGTTGTGCGACATCTTCAATTTGTCACTCTTTTGGACAATTTTCATTGATTTTGCTGCTGACGTTACGTTACTGCTTGTCAACTCACCGGACGGTCACAGGCGCTGAAGCAGCGACGGTGTCATCGTCTGGAAATCTCCGCACGTGTGCTTGATCGTGTTCGGCGTTCGTTGTTCAGGGAGTTCGGTGTGGAAAATTGCGGCGGAGCTTTTGTTGAGTCTCTACGGGACCTGATGACAATATTTGAAAAACGGAGGCGAGGGAGCAACAGTTGCAACGTCTGGTCTAGCCTGCGCAAGGAGGAAATGCCCGTTGTGCCTTGCTTCCTGTCCCTTCAACTTACGTTGAAGCCCCCGTCACCTGTGATCCCCCGGGCGACTGGATGGTGCAGATGCACCTATATAAGAGGCGAACGCGCATGCTGAATCCCCGGAAACACCGTGTCAAAAGTCACCAGGGAAGCGCATGCACAAAATGCATGCACCAAAGTGCATGCAAGAGAAAAATGCTCATGTATTTGCGTCGGTGTAAGAGACGAAATGGCCTGCATGCACACAGAAGTACTCGGGAAAGCGTGCAGAAGGCTCCAAAACCCCAAATTGCCCATACAAGGCATGTGAAGTTACGGACGCACCGCTCTATACCAAGCACGGCGACGCGTGTAGAAGATCCATTTGTGAAGGAATTGTTTGTAACGATTGGGGTTCCACCGCTGCTACAAAGAAGGTCGATTGCAAGTCGCTGTTGCTGCTCCTTCGGCATATTGGGTCAGAAGCTGTTGACGGTATATCAGTTATGGTCTTCGATGTTAAGCAGTCACATAGAAAACAGACAATTATAGCAGTCTCAGAGGTTCTTGTTCTGCTTACTCTTCGTGTGGCATGTGATAGATTTGTGCCTCCATCTGAATTACCTGCAAACAAATGGACAGGGGGACTAACTTTTGGCTGTAGTGGCGACTTTCGAGGTCTACCTTTTCCGTAGAAAACTCAGTAGCGCATGTACTGCTTCCTGCGCCAGAACTCAGCAAGTGTCGAAGCTGCTTAACGCTTTTAAGAAACGGGATGATATGTTTGTCTTGCAAGGGCCTGCATTAAGGCCGTATCTGATAGTAGTATCTTGGTACAGAGGTTAAAGGTGCCGAGTACCGTTGTACTTGGGAACGTCGATGATGCGCGCACTTGACGTTGCGTCAAGTGCGCGCCAAGACTGACGATTGTGTACTTACAGAAAACCCGATAAAGATGGATATATGCTGATGCAAACATGACTTTAGCATCACAGGAATTTTCGCATATGTAATGACACAGTGTGCAACACACCGACCCCATCGAGGGGCTCGCCTGGTGAAGAGTAGCGCACCATATAGGAAATGTTTTTCAGCTATAACTTCTCAGAAAACACCGACTGCAGCCAGACCGTATTGAGTTTAGCTCCCACATTACAGTGGGAGTCGAAGAGGACTACGGAGCTATCTAAATGGAAGGAAATCATGATAATTCAGCATCTAGCCAGACTGACTCGGGCGGCGTAAAACGGCAACTAACGGAGAAGTAGCAGTGCAAAGCCTCCTTAACGCCAGGTTAAGCTTAGCCCAGCCAGGCAGCTGAGGGTGGCGTTGAAAAGCAGTCCAAGGAGAAATAGCAATGCAGGCTTCTTCGAGCGTTGTTCAAGTTGGCCGACGGTGGGCTCCCGGTACTAAACGTCGGTATCAGCGCAATCCTCACTACGGGTGAAACTTAATCAGTCTACAGCACGGATAATTTTGCTCTACTAGGGCCTATTGTGTAACGCTTGTCACGGATCATATTTGACGACTATTGTGAACTGCGCAAGAGCCAAGGCACTTAAAATGACTCTTCCTTAAGTGCACCTGACCTCTCCCCCGGCGCTTAGCCCACTGAGCTAAGGGAGCCCGGTCTCCCGCACCACCTGGCGCTTAGCCCACAGAGCTAAGGGAGCTCGAAGAGGAAGTGGCCTACCATGCGTTGCAGTGCAGCTTGATGTACCTCAAGGTGCAGGGCAGCCCCACATACAAATACAAACAAGCCCTCCTGGACGTTCGCAAAAAACACTGTAGACAGTTGTTGAGAACTTTTGGCTGAGTAAAGGTTGCCTGCTAGTGTTGCGTAAGTGTTCGTCTGCCCACTTCAAACAGAATTGCTAGCATCGCAGATACAATGCTACAGCGGGCGCCTGTGCCCAGCACCACATGGGAAATGTGTGTTGCTGAGCGAACATGTTTTCGTTAATACTCTCGCTCGCCTTGTGTATAAATAGGAAGGCAAAATTATTATTATGCTTATCGATTTTCTCTCATCTTCTTTCTATTTGAAAACGAAAGTTGGCGTGGCCCTCCTGTCTTTGCGAAGTCCGGCGTTAGCAGAGGGCTCGGCGCGCACACACTGACACAGAAGAGGGATTGTACGCATCAAATAGCTAAACAGCAAAATGTCTTTGAATTTACTCTACAAATCGATTAATACGATGCTATTAGGGGGCTTATCAATGCACTGTGTAGATAGACCTTACAAGGTGTACGTTTGTTTCCGCCCTTGGCGACTTTCGCCTCCATAGGGGGGTGCAGGATTCCTCAAGCGGAGAGGTAATTCGCTGCAAATATAGGGCTTAGCAAAGATCTTCCTGTTTTCTAAGGGTGTGAACCTGGGATTTACAAATTAGGGCTAAGGGTTTCTCTACGATAAGGGGCGGTCGCGCCCCACCTACCAGCAAGGGGTGCCTGCTATGCAACCGGTGCTCTTTTGTCGCGCCTGCCGTTCATCACGAGCGACACAGCTCGAATTTCTGTGGAATGTTTCGGCGTGTGCTGCACTTAGCTTTTTATTTTGTGCCTGTTTCCATAGAGTGCTGCTGACTAAGACGCAGCGGCGTTCGCGAAGGCAGACCAAGCGGGTTCGTTCGGCAGTGCAACCAGAGAGCTGGTAGAGGGGGCGGGTGGCTGAGGCAGTAATTCCTTGAATGCTTTCATCTTTGCGGTCGCGCAAGCTGTTTCCACCTGCTTTTGAAGTGTTATCGTGGGTTGCAGCTGTGTAGCACGCTGGCACTATTGACTCTCCTCTCCTGCAGCTCCCCTGCATCGCCTGTGGCCTGTCTTGACAGGCTTACGGCTTCCCTGCTGCCTTCGGACCCGTACTGTCGGGTCCCACCTGCAGTCTCTTGTGTCTTAATCTTTCCACGTCCCCTGCTTTTTCATTGGCCCTCGAGGTGTCTCCTGCAGGCCGGGAGAGATTGCTGCACTGTCGCCCCCACTTGTCCCCCCCTGACTCTCCGCACATCTTCTGCCTCCACTCTTGACTCATTCATTCCATATCCACACTAGACTCCGTCTCCTGTCTAGCACAGCAGTTTGCCCGTATCTGGCAGCTGTTGCCGTCGCTACGGGCCTTCGTCGCGGGATATACGTGTTGTTTTTTTCTCAAGAGAGGGGAGTGAGAGTCCTTTGTGTGCCGTCATAAGGCTCTTATCTCATGCCGTTGTGTTCCCCGGAAACTCCACTGTGAGCTAAGCTATGGGGCTTTCAGATCGGCAGTGATTTGCCCCGTTCCATTCTTGACAGGCAGCCCCTTCTCATTTTCTTGAACAGCAGGTTCATTAATATCATCAACATCCTCCTGCTTGTTTGTGGGAAACTTTTAGACCAAGACCTCTATTGCTGTTGAAAGTCCACCTGCTGGTGGCGTTAGCGGCACTGCTGCTGTGGGGTTCCTCTATAAGTTCTTGAGCCATTGCCTCTGTCGACAATGCATGCTGATGCGGAGGGCCCTTTGGACCGACACTCGGTGCCGGCCACATCGACAGCCTTTCCGTCTCTTCCCTTCTTGACAGACGCATATATCCAGGGGCCACAGTCTTCTGCAGCAGCGCAGCAGCACTTTTTGCTGCTGCAGCCGAGCAGCACCCCAGAGCCCGTCTGCGGTCCTGGGGTGGAGCGGCTTAGCGCCGCAGGTGTTGAAGGCTGGGTGCCAGACACGACAGCACCGTCTGCGATGCATCTTCTGGGAGCTTCTCGCGACGGAGAGGCGGGGGATTTTATCTCTGGAGTTCAAGACCCGACATCGTTTGCAGCTTCATACTTCGGCTCGTACCTCTGCTCGCCCTCTACAGATAACGCGCAAACCCCTACAGCAGCAAACGCTCATTCTTCTCTATCACCCATTCAACTTGTAACGAGTCCAGAAACAGGAGGCGGCAGCAGCACCGTTGGCGGAGCTCCTCTTGGAGGGCATCCACTTTGCTCTGGAATGCCTTTCCCCTTCTCGCAGCCAAGCCCTGTGACCGGTGGCCTTGCACAAGAAGGCCCCCCAAGTGATGCCAACCAAACATATACTGTGCCGCAGCAAGAAGCTACGCATGACACACAGGGATTCGCGTCTGACTATGACAGACTCACGAGGGAACTTGGCAAGGACTGTGCCACCTTGAGGGATTTGGTAACTGATAAGTAAGTTGCGCAACACAGTGTCCGATGCCTTGTGTTCCCTGAGCTGCAGCGACATCTAAGGCCGCCTGTCTACCCTACCTTGAAGCAACACCTGCCCTTTAAAACTGTTATGAGGAAAGTGTTATGAGTACATTTTATGGGGTCGTAATGCCGTACAGGCCTTTCAGTTGGCGTCAACCAACATCTGCTGCTGGTAGTACGACTTCGCTGCAAAACGTGGTTTGCACTTGTTCTTCTGTTCTGCCTTCAGTCTATCTTCCTCTGATGAGCTGAATTCAACGCTGGATAAAGCAATTCGGTCCGCTGACCAAGTGGCTAGCGTGCAGCGAAAGCTGCTGCTTTCTGTAAATCAACAGAGGCACCTGATTGCCGACAGCAAGATCATTCACTCCAAGCTGCTAATGCTTCACCGCATTTTTCAGAAAGTTGACCCCCAATACAGCCAGTGGCTCGAAGAGCACGACATCCTTAAAGACCATATTCAACGGGTGGAGCAGCAGCACCGGGATTTTGTGGGATCAGAGGATCTGGGAGTGGACAAGGCAGACGTTCCCCTCGCCGCAAGCAGCAGAACCGTGAGCTGCCGTCGCAACAACAGCAGTAGCAACAGCAGCAACAACAGCAAACGGCGCAAAAGCACTCGACAGTACAAACGGCAGCAGCTTGCTCAGCCTCCAGGGTCGTCCGTGGGAATTCCTTTAACCGCCGTCAAGACCGAGCGGACTCCAAGTTGCAGTTAAAAAAACTGCACTTGTTTTTTGTTCCGAATTTTTCGAGCAACCGACGAGGGGGACAATGTGGCCCCTCTCGTTTCGAATACGCCTCGCCAAGTAGCATTAAAGCTGCACTTTCGTGCAAGAGGGAAAACAAGAGCACACCGGGAAAGGCATCAGGGTGCTGGCATGAAGCAGTTGTTTGCGGTATTGTTTGTTGTTGTCTCCACATACTGATGGTGGTTGTCAGGCCGTTGCACCTTGCAGGTTACTTCTTCCACCGTCGAAGCGGAGCAGGAGTTGATTCTTGCGGGAAATTCATAGGCATTCAAGTAATAAGCAGTCTTTCTGCTGGGCTGTTTTGACTCCACACATGTTCGACCTCCTACTTGAGGGTCGGTCAGAGTGTACGCCAACGGGCGTTCACACTGCACGTGCGAAACAATGTGGATATTTTGTGTTTGTGTTACGATATATATCTCTGTTGATATATGCCAAAGTCACAGCCACACGAGCACTGAGTCCTCGAACAATTCCGCACACGTGCAGCGAGAGCTCCCCGTCCGCTTTTGTTTTGTACTTCGTTTCTCTTCACTTCACTTTCACGAAAGAAAGATATTTAGAGGGAATTTGCTTGGTGAAGCAGGCAAGGGGTCTGCTCTGGTCACGGCGCACTTGTTGCGACCAAAGCGCAGTGACGAAAACAGGGCGCACGACGCTTTGCTTGATGGCTCTGCCGAGGGATGCAGTATACTGTGCAAAGCCGTGTATAGCAGCGTTCACTCCACACAGTCGTGCCGCTCTGCCACGCCGAGCAGATGTTGGGTGGCGGTAGGCTCTGAGGAGTGGCAGGAACCTATGTTGTTTTAATCAGCCCACCCACATGCACTGCTCTGCGGAGCATCGCTTTTGCTACAGTTTCCTAATATTCATCATGCTCATTTGCCGTTGTGCTTTAGCTAACCCAGCACACCGCCCACCGCATTATTTCAGGTGCAGGACCGTAGGGGATTCTGTATCCAAAGGCACAGTACAGAGAGAACAATCTCCACGATGAGTACTCACGACAAGGAGATTACTCAACTAGAGGGCTTATGGCCCGGGCTTTCATGCACGATTGCTTGGCGGGGATCATGGAGTCAGTAGGATGTAAGGGGATTCGTCGCCCTCCTGAAAGACCTGTATTGTATAGCGCCCCCAGCAAAGAAGCTTGTGAAGCGTTTTACTTACTGACGTCTCATGTGTGTTTTGGACACTTGTTGATATGGGCAAGCCGCTTCTCAACATCCGTTTAACAGGCTTTGAGGAATGCAGTGCGTCCTCAACATTGGCATAGACGCATTGCAACGGAATGTTTCTACTTGCCCGTGCGTCAGGATTAGGTCAAAATACTGGTTAGACTCAATATTCTCCGTGTAGGGAAAGCAAAGACAGCAAACTGCTAACATCCAACGGGTAACAAAACCTATCAAAACCTATTGCGAGCACACCCACTGTAATGCTGATTTGTGCAGGGGGAAGTGCTAGTCGGAAGCGAGCTCGCGCTAAACAATAAAATTTTCAAAGATGAAGTACACATTAATGGTTGCTCTAAGTAGACCTGCTGTCCGAACGGGAGTGCGGCGCGAATGAATCAGAATCGAGCATGATCCATCCACCAGCATACGTGAAGGGCTCCCCATGCGATTGACCCCTTTGCTTGGTCTTTCTTCGTTTTCACGTTAGACTTCAGCTTCCTGAATTTTCATATTGCCTTATAAGGTTACAGTAATCTATTCCTTGTGGTCCCGCTGTGTAATACTGTGCTCTTACAACATCAGAGCGTCACGGAGGCAATATTTGATGCAACTAAATCAAGTAATAACAAAGCAAAAATCAAGCATCCTCAGTTTAGCCTGTAGCGCATCCGCTAAGTAAGCGGAAGGCTGCCGGTTCGATGTCGGTCCATTGTTTCATGTTGTATTCGGTTCTTGAGGGGTTCACTTCACAAGTGAGCAGGTCACCCGAGGGACAAGGTATTTTCGCTTGCGCCACTCTCCACGGCGAACACAATTTTTGTGTCTCCGAACACCACCTATGTTGCTTCCTGTGTAACTGTGGCAACTCCGAGATTGTCGCCACGAGAGGAATGCCAGGCCTCGAGGGACGTCGTTTTCCCCAATTATGTTTTGCCACCAAAGTCGCGCGCTCAAAGACGTACCTTAATGCCAACTGTGCCTAATTAAGCACAGTGGAGGCTCCAGGAGGAGAGCGCACTGGAGTTTAATGGCCAGATTTGCAGCCACAACCACGTTGAACCCTTAAGAAACAGTCAGCTGAAACAGTGGGATGCGGCATCCCACACTTACGGCCAACATTTCAGTACCGTTTTTATGTCAAACGCCCACAAATAATTTCTTTAACACCACTAATAATCAGCTTTGAGCAGGGAACGTGAGCAGCGCCACCGCAGTGAGGACAAACCGCTGCAAGTTTGGTCTTGCATGCTAGAGTTCAGGTATCTTAAGTTTATTTTGCTGGGTAGAAAAATGCATAGATATAGTTTTGGGCACTCCATTTTGGTGTCCAGTGCATTTCAGTGCAACGGCATTGTATATCCAGCTCTCTGCACGAGTTTGCTCCCAATCGAGTAAAGATTCATGGACATGTTGCTCCCAGTTACGCAGAACTGTGAATCCTTTGAAATTATATACAGTAACATCGTCTTTTATCCCTCATTACTGAATCTGATAGCATCACGTCAACAGAAACTGTTGATGTTGCCCCGTCTCCTGTATGATGGTGTGCACCACTACTCGGTAGGGTCTTTGTATGGGCGTTTTTGACATATCACAGGGAAAAAAAATCCAAAGGAACGTACGAAGGTACAAAAATTTAGCAATTTCTCCTTAGGGCCTCTTTTGAATGTGATGACTTCAAGGAAACGGACGTGATTGTGTAGGATTTACAACTGGCGTACAGTTAGCACCTAATCGGGAGTACCTTTCGAATATCTAATGGTCAGTGGAAGTATACCAACAAGAAGTGATGTCCGATCGAGATAGCATCCCATTCACCTGTTATCCGGTCTACATAAAAGAGTTCCGTCGCCGGGACTTGAACCCGGGTCGCGCGGGTGAGAGCCGCGTATCCTAACCACCTAGACTACGACGGATGGTAGAGCTCCCTGTCCAGAAGCACCAGCTCTCAGAACTGTTCCCCTGAAACCAGTTTGCCCGGCATTGAAACGTGTGGCATATACCAGAGAATAAAAGAATTATTGGGTTGAAGTGTCCTACGTCGTGGACACTAGATCTGCCAGGGCCCCTTTGCTTATTCTTGGCAAGCCATCACAGCCCTTTGCTGGGCTCCACTGGCGGAGCCAGGCAGGAAGGCACCGCGCAGCGTATTGCATACGACAGTCCAAATGCAAGACTAACTGTGCTGGGGGATGAGAAAGCAATGATTGCCCAGGAGTGTACCACCTTAGAACTTCCTGTCGGCGCTCACTGAACAAATACTTGACTCAGACTGTGAGAGCTCCTGGCTTTCGGAATGTTACGTTCTCAGCAAAAACACGGGATGACCACCATGCGCAACAAACACCAAAGACATGCCAGATGTTGCTGATGCCTTGAATTCGCAGGCGGAAAAGAGAATTAAAGGTAGCCATTTCCACAGCACAACAAAAACAACGCAAGCGCCTAAAAAAAAATAAAGTCATCGAGAGAGAGGGATGGAAAGCACGGATTCAGTAATTAGCAATGAGTTAGAGGGGTCAAGGGCAAGCGGGCGGCCTTTTCTCCAGTGCAGTGGCTGCTTCCGTCTTCCTCCCTGCCGAATTCATTTCCCTTCACTTGCTGTCTCCTAGCGGCTGCTTGGGCCCTCCTCTGCTGTATCTGCGCCCACCTTTGGCGGTGCCTTTCTTGAGCCTCCTGGGTTCTTCTCTTTTGCTTGCGATGGAGTTGCTGCTGTGGTCTTGACGCCTCGCATTTCTTCAAGCTGTACAAATTGCATAACACCGCCTCTGAAGAAAGGGGCCTCGCCGCGATCAGCGCATCCAGTAGGCTCGAGTCCGGGGTCCCCACGCCTTGCGAAGCCGTCCTGGGCGAAGAAGGGACAGTTTCAGCAGAAAATGATCCCCCACAATCCCCTGTGTCAGCCGGATTACTGCACCCTCCACTTTCGCGCCGGTAGGTAGCTTCGCCTGCTATTGGAAGCCGAGATATTCTTGCCTGTTGCTGCTCCTGATGCTGCTCTTCCCTCACACCGTCTCCAGTTCCATCTCCAGCAGCGTTTTGCAGAGCAGCAGGAGGAACGGATGGTCTGTCAAGGCCGTAGTCGGATATCTCTCCTTCTTCAGCGTCGGAGCTACCGCCGATCTTGCACGCCTCCGTCGACCTTGATACACACGAGATGACCCCAGGAAGGCCCCCTGTACTGGCCCCTGCGCTCTCGGAGGCCAACGGTGCCCCTGCAGCGGGGGGAGTGCCTCCTTTGCTTGAACCGTTAAATACCGCCGACTGCGTTTCTTGTTGCTGGCGCTTCTGCAGCCTAGAGTTGAGGGTTGCTCTTTCGCCAATCCCCTTATCCCCGTCAGCAGGGGCAATAAGACCATCCGAGCCTTTGTGAGGCCCTGCTGGGCCATCAGCATGCCGCTGCTGAGTTGGCGTTAGAAGCGGGGGAAGAGACAGCGCATTGAGGATTTCAACTGTCTCCTCGCGCTCCCTCTCGCTGAGAGAACTTAACGCCGCCAATGCCTCCGAAGAGAGGCCTGGTACTGCGACAGAAACGGTATTCATCTGCCGAGAGTCAACTGCTGCTGTCGCTGTTGTTGCTGGTGGTCCTGTTGCAGCCCAACACGCCACGGGAGGAGGCGGAGGTGGAGGCGGTACTGCAGCAAACGGGGGAGGAGGTGGAGGAGGAGGGGGTGCTGCTGCTGCTTGGGAAGGCGGCGGCGTGGAATGAGGCGTTGCTCCAGTTGGCCGTTGCATGCGTCCAGCAGCAGGTGCAGCGGCAGTCGCTGGCGGCTCAACAGCAGCAGCACCAGCTGCCGCAGCAGCAGGCACAGTCCCGTCGTCCCGTGGACTATCTCGTCGTCGTCTGCTCTGCTGTGGTTCTGCTGTTGCTGGTGTTAAAACAGCCAGTGCAACACCAGCTGTGGGTTGATCTGCAGTTTCCTGAGTCTGCTTAGAAGGGGCCCTTCGCCTTTTTTCGACGCGTGCATTGCCCAGGTGGTCCACATGAGGCTGCTGCTTAGGCTCCTGTTGCTTCTGGTCATGCTCGTGCAGCTGCAGATGCTGCTGCTCGTGCTGCTGTATGGGACTTCCATCTGGTCTACGGAGTTGCGCGCCAGGACACACTACGGTTGGAGAGACCCAGGACCCACACGCTGTTGCTGGTGGTGCAGCCGTTGTTGCTGTTTCTGTAGTTGCTGCTAGCTTTGCGAGGAAGCTCGCATCCACCCCCGATGCTGGCGCTGTTGCTGCTGAACGGGGCTGCAAGGGTCCCTCTGATGATCCTCCTTGAAGCAATTCTTGCGGGCCCTCCTGGCTACAAACGAGCGATGACAAGAGGTCGGCAAAGGCTTGAAGGTCCCGCACAGCAGTAGCAGCGATATGGTGGTGCTGCTCGTGCAGAGTTTGCTGCAGCTCTGACTCAACTGCAGTAAAAACCTCTTGAGCACGATGCAGCAGCGGCTTTAGCAGCCACAGGTTTCGTGCGGAAGGACAGCAGCTGTGGGTACCTCTCTTCCTCCCATGATCCTTGATTCTGGGCTTGTTGTTGCTGCTGATGTTCAGAGTGCTGCTGCTGCTGTTGCTGCTTGCCGCCTCACCAACATTCTCTGGAGGAATCTTCTGAGAGTTTCTGGGGGGGGCCCGGGCCCCCGAAGGCCTCGAGAGCACCTCCGTTATCATGAAGTAGTCAATTGTGCGCTTTCTGCCCTCCGGCAATCTTCCTTAATTCCGTATTTCTCTTCCACCAGCTTGCAGGAGCATCAGGTACAGCGGCGGCCGCTACGGCTGCCTGCCGTTCCCCCTTGGTCCCCAATGGATTCACCGGTATTTCCGCAAGGGACCTAGCTTTATAAAGTTTCAGTGGCTCCGGGTTAAGTTTGAAGTGTCCTCAGGAGCCAGGACTTGAGGGAGCTCTAGGGCCCTCCGTGGGCTCCAGGGTACAAGGGGCCCCTAAGCCAGCTGGCTGTAGCGAAGGCATCAAGCCACCAACATGAGAGCCAACGAGTTCAAAAGGGTTAAAGATTGGAGGAGACGAACAGAATAGCAACTACCGGTGATAATCCTGCTAAAAAGCCCCAGACTTCGGAGTGAACCCTGGGGGCCCCTCGTGGAGGGGCCCCCCACGGTTCCCGCCCCAAAACGTGTCCTGCTGCCTGCTTTGTTTTTATGAGGTCAATTCCCTTCTGTGGCTTCTCACGCAGGTACAGGGGCGAAGAAATCTGCGATGCATTCCAGTTGGCAGCGGCAGCAGCAAGAGCAGCAACGTTGGCAAACAAACAGCAAGCATCGACTGTGATTTACTAGGAGTAGGGGCCCGCTGCAGCAGCAGCAGCAGCTGCTGCTGCACCTGCTGCTGCACCCTTAACAGCACATACAAGCACGGCTGCACCAAAAGCTGGCCCCTACAGTGAGTCAAAGAACCCCAGGGGTCATTTGTTGCGCGAATGCTGTTGCGCATCTCCTACCCTGCCACATCGGCCCTTGGGGGACCCCCTAGGGGCCCCATGAGAGTTCTTGGCCGCGCCCATGTTGGTTCATCTGCAAGAAGGAACTGTAGCAGCAGGAGCAGCAACGCCGTGGCAGCCAGTACTGCAGCAGCACTTGAAGAGCTAGAACTGCCCCCCCTGTGCCCCCATACAGGCAAGAACACCACTGTTGTACTAGGGGGCTATTGGACGCAATTACATCGGAATGTAGCAGCAGCAGTAGCCGCCGTATTCCACACCAGGCGTCGCCGTCTCTGTACAGCGCAGCCCCGCTGTCCCCACATGGCTCCCTTTCGCGGCGGCCCGAGCCTCTTTGAATTCTCAGAGGCCGCCGCAGAGACTTCACCATCCAACCCGTTTGAGGCCCATGTAAAAGCTGCAACACCAACTACAACAACGGTAGCAACAGCAGACACAGGCGCTGCTGCTGCACCAGAAGCAAAAGCAGCATTCTCCGGAGCTGCAGCACGGAAAGAAAAGGAGATTAGCAGCAATAACTCGCATGCCTATTTGCCTCCACAGATTGACAGGGGAGGGCTCTTTCTAGGCCTGTACAAGAACAGGCCGAGAGCATGTCTGCGGAGTGTTGGGCATGAGCAAGCACAGCAGCAGCAACAGCAGCAGCAACCGCAGCAGCAGCAACAGCAGCAGCAGCAGGAGGTGGGGACGGATTCAGCATTTGCTTCGGGTGGGTCGGCGGGCATTCCAGTTTCAAATAGAGAGAACGGTATTGCTGCTGGTACTGTTGAGGTGCTGCAGGCGCAGTGGAGACTGCTGCGGCGAGCTGCGCAACAGCAGCGGCAGGTGCTGCCGTATAGTGTAGCAGCCAACATCCCGCTACTGTTGCATGAAACAGTTGCGGCCCTACAGCAGACAGTCAAATTCGCTGTATCCGAAGAGATCCGCCAGGCAAATGCAGCAGCAACTGCAACAGCATGGGCTGCAGAAGCACCATGCCCAGATGAGTCGCTTCTGCGGTTGTGCCTGAACGTTCTGGCCTTCGGCTCAGCTTGTTTAGATAGACAAATAAAAGAGTTTGACACGGCAGCACATGCTGCGGGTTCAGGGGAAGAACTCGTCATGGAGAACCTGTCTCTTCAGCATCTGTTGCCCCACTCGCGGCCGCAGCGCAGTGGAGACCGCAGGCAGCTCAGCAGCCGCAGCAGAAATAGCCAGGTCCCTCTTCTTCATATGCCACCTGAGCTGTTGCTGCAGACAGCGATGGTCGTTGTAAGGTGGTTCCAACGACAGCAAGAACGTTTAGCAGCAGGAGGCTCTCGTCTGGAAGCTCTGCAACCCACGGAGGCTGCTGCAGCAATGCGGTCCCTTCTGCTGCTGCTTTGTTACTACGCCCCGTTGAAGCACCTCCAGCCTGCAGCTTCTGCTGCTGCGATTCCGGTGTATATCCACATCTTGCAGCAGCAGCATGCGCTGCAGTGGTCGGTCGCTCTGAGAACTTACAGGGCTCTTCTTCTCCCCGAAAGAGCCGTCCGCCAGCGGCAGAGGCAGCAGCAGCAGGCGGTTACTGTCCCTGCTCCTATCCCACGACTAGGCCAGCAACAGTGCCAACAGCAGCAGCAGCAGCAGTCGAGTTTAGCGAAGCTCTCCAGTGTGGCATCCTCATTTGACTACTGGAACGGCGGCTGCCCGGAGCTGTATGTACTCCTCGACCGTGCGCTGCTGGATTTCCTGAGAAAAAGAGCCCTAACGCCTGTGAAAGATGGAGGTTCTATAGCTCAATCGCAGCAGCTGCAGGAGAAGAAGCAGGAACAGCAACAACAGAAGGAGGAGGAGCAACAGCCAGTTTTGGGAGGGAATGTGGCGGGCCCTGTGTTTTCGCTTGCTCCTGTGGAGTGCTCGCAGCTGCTGCTGCGACCTTCGGCTTGCTTCTCTGTACGGTTGGCAGTCGGTAGCGAGCTTCTGCAGGTGCTGTTGCTGCTGCAACGCGACCCAAATGCTTACCTGCACCAGCTCCTGCGACGTGGAGAAGGCGAGCACATGCTAATGCGGGAGACATCTTCCCTGTCTACTGTTGCAGCCGCCGCCCGCAACGTACTTTCCTGGACTGACGTACCCAATCGCTCAACCGGCAGCAGCAGCATCAGCAAGGACAGCAGCAGCAACATCATTACACCACAGCAGCAGGTGGAGATGTCGTGCTTGCGGCGGGAGTTACTGCAAGCAGTGCGTGGAGCTCTTCTTTCTATGTTGTTTTCGTCCCCTCACCGCCATGCTGTCACTATTTCATCGGATGGAAGGCATCGGCAGCATCGGCAGCAACATGGACACTTGCTGCTTCAACGGCTGCAAGCGGTGGCAGCAATATCCGAGGTGTGTCTTCATCAGGAGGTGTTCACCAGGCCCATTGCATCTGCATTGCTGTGGGAGGCTCTGATGCTGCTGCGCCTGCTGGCGAACAAAGAGACAACAGCCACACCTGGCGTTCCTGCCGCTGCTGCTGCTGCTGCTGCCAGTGACTGGCAGCCACCGAAGCCGGTCCTTACTGCATTGTTGGAGCTTGCACACCGGCTGAATTGCACTCAGTTGCATTCTGGTAGCGACTGGCCTGGAAAAGCAGAAGCAGCAGCGTCAGCAGCAGCAGGCTCAGCATGCGGGGAGCCTGCACTGGTGTGGCAAGCGACGCGCTTCTTTGGGGGGTCGCCGTGGTTTTTATTGGAGCTGATGCGGGAGGTAGCAGTGCAACAGCACCAATGGCTGGTAAAGGCGGCATCATTGTGGGGAGCTATTTCGCTTCAGCAGCAGCCGCAACGACAAGAACAGCAACAAGGCCAACTGCAGCAGCGAGGCAATCAGCAAGTTATGCAACCGCCGCCACTTCTGCACGCCCCACAGCAGGTGGCTTCACTAGCAGCTGCTATCGGCTGCATCACATCCTCTTTATTGAGGGCACTTTGGGGATCTGAGGGAGACGCTGCAGCTCTGGTGTATCTGCAGCTGCAGCGGGCACACAGCCATCTATCTGCGCTCCACACAGATCCCGCGTTTTTGCCGTCCCTTATCAGCATGCGCCTGCATTGGCAGCAGCAGCGACAAAAACAACAAAAACAACAACGGCAAAAACAAAAGCAAAAACAACAACAACTGCAACAACACATAGGCGACACGCAGTCTATAGGCCCCACAGACGCTTGGACTTTGATTAGCCGCACGGACCACGCCTTCAGCTTGTGGTTGAAGCGGCGACAGCAGCAGTGCTTGCTGCTGCTGCCGCATCAACAGCAGCGACTGCCTGTTGTTGGTGCAATTTCTGGCTGCGGTTCTCATTCTATACACAGTACGTGGCAGCACATGCCAACGGACGGCGTACAACAGTGGCAACAGCTGCAGATGATGCAGCAGGAGCAGCTTCGGCATTACCAGCAATCGATTGCAGTGCACAGCTGGGATGGATGGGAGGGACGCAGCAGCAGCAGCAGCAGCAGGTGGAGTGGTAGCTACACGATCATCCCTAGCGGTGTGCTGTGGGAAGCGTCTTTGTTGCAGGAGAGCGCGGGTCTCTTGGCTTCCGCCTACCCGACAGCTGCACTGCCGTTGAATTCACTCAACACCCAGAAACACCAACCGGGGCAGGACCCGCAGGAACTTGTGCTTCCTTTGGGCCCAGTTTTAAGGGCTGTGAAGAGGCAGATTGCTCACCACAGCGCTTCTCTGCACGCAGAGGCGCCGCTTCTGCAACTACAACGACAAACTGATGAGCAGCTGATGCAGGTGTTGCAGCAGCATTTGCAGCAGCTGCAGCACCAGTTGCAGCAGGTACAAATGCTGCAAACGCGGCGGATTGGGGTAGAGGTTCTCGCAGATGCCACAGCACACACTCCAAACGAGCATCGAAATCGGCAGCAACAACAGAAGCTTCAACACGAGCCTATAGCTGCAGCACTGAGGATACAGTGGGTGATGCATGCTTCTGCGTGCTCAAACGTAGCAGCCCCACAGACCCCTGAGCAGCTTCTGTTTCTGCTGCAAGACGTACGCTGTCTGTTGCGGACAGCACAAACTGCTCTTGAGCAGCGAATCCAAGCTGCAGAAGCCTTCATTCCGAAACGCCTCGGTGTAGCTGCAGCTGAACCTACTTCAGAGAAAACCGCTCCAACATCCTACGGCACGACAACGAGTTCGCCTGCAGCCATCCAAAGCGGTGTCGGCCACCCCGCTGAAGTTGCGCGAGATGCTGCTGCTGCTGCCAGCAGAAACACTACCAGTAGTAGCAGCAACAGCAACAGTCGAAGCCCTGTCTTCCCCCTGGGCACCCAGATACGTGTCAGCTGCAGCGTTATTGCTATGCCTCTGGCTAACCCCCCAGCTGAATTGCTGCAGCTACTGGCCCTGTTCGTTAGCCCATTGTGGTGGTTTCAGGTGCTCCCTGGTCTTGCTGCTTCTGCAGATCAGCTGCACACTTGCACTCCGATCAGGGGTGGCGACGCGCAGCACTTGCGCAAGCTGCAACAGCGTGTGAACCTGCTTATGCAGCTGCAGGAGCTGCAGCAGCAGCAGCAGGAATTGTTGCAGGACCTGAAACGGGTCCTGCAGCTGCAGCAACAGCGAGTCACCCAGCAGTATGGTATCGTAAGTTCATTGCGTGCAGCAGCTGAGCAACGACATCGGAAGGTGCCGCGGGAGCAGCAATTCAGGACGAAGCAACAGGAACGCCAACAAGCCAGACGGGAGCGTATGCTGCAACGGCGGGTGCAGCTGCAGGAAATGGAGGCTGAGGCGAATAAGGGCAGACTGATTCTCCTATCCAATGTATGCGCAGCTCTTGCCTTTTCTCATGAGCACTTCAAGCAGTCTATGTTGCGTCAACTCCTGCTGCCGCACCTGCTGCAGCAAGACCAGCTGCTCCACCGCATTGAGAAGCTTCTCCAGCGCTGCCGCCGAATAGGCTTTCTCCGCCGCCAGCTGAAGAAGGCAAACAGCAGCGTCAACAACAATGGAATTGGGGTACCGCATGTGCAGCAAGAGCAACAGCAAGACCAGCAACAGCAGCTGCTGCGCGGGGAGGTGATGGCTTCGTTGGCGCATGGCATTAATGAGCTTCACGCAGTTTTGAAGTGGGCTTGGAAAGGCATAGTGGTGGAGATTTGTCATTTGTTTTGTGGCAGCTGCTACCACTTGTGTGTTTTGCTGCTACTCTTCATGCTGGCGGAAAGCAGCTGTACCAGTGGTGTCTCCCCGAGGCAGTATACGTGCATCAGGATATGAACACGTGCACGTCTGTATGCTCACATGGCTTGACTTTTTTGGCGTGGGACTCGTATTCTTTGTGGGCAGCTCGCGTGTATGGCACTTTTCTGCATGATGGCTCTGCAGAGGCGCAGCGGAGCTCCGCCAGCTGGAGTTGCGGCAACCTTCTGTGCTTAAAAAGTTGCAAGCTGAGATGCAACAGCAGCAGCCCCCGCAGCAGCACCACCAAAAAAGTCGCAGAGACGCCTTCGCTGAGTGGGCCCTCACAGCTCTCTGCAGCAGCAGCAGCAGTTTGCTGCAAGCGGCGGCAGACCTCAAGACTCCTCCAACTGTTAAATGGATCATTGATATATGGCGGGTGGGGCATCATCCGTGCGTAATATGCGTCTTCCGTTTGTTCTTGCTGCTTCTGCTACTCCGGGGGGCGCTGCCGATGGCGCCTGCTACTTCGTGTGCTACACGCCAGTTGCAGTTTTCGCATGCTTGCTGTTGCTGATGCTTCTGCTCAGGCGCTGCTTATTGAAGGCGTTTTGCATGTCAGCCAGCAGCATTCAAAGCAGCAAGACCAGCAGCGCCAGGAGTTGCAGCAACAGCTGTTTGCTGCCCTAGCGCTCCGTATTCGCAATCAAACGGCAGCAGGGCAGCAGCCGCTGGACGTGGCTGAGGTGCGGTGGCCCGTAGCTGTTTTCTCCCCGTTCGCGCGTTCGCCTGGTTCTATCCTTCAAAATGCGCATGTATCGTTTGGTTGGTGTTTGTGGCCCCTGCGTCTGCTTCTTGTGCGCTGCAGCTGTTGAGTGCGGACTGCCCCCTGCCCCCCCGCGTGTCTGCTGCCTTATTTTCGCTGCTGTACCGCCACAGTCTGCCGCTGTTGCTGCATCCTCAACGGCAGCAACTGCTACTTTTTTCTGCTTTCCGGGCAGAACAGGAGCAGCACTGGTGTGGGACTGTCGGCCATTCGGGAGCTGTGCTCTCGTGCATGGCCCGCGGTGTGCTACATGGTTACCTGGCAGACATGTGGAAGATGAGGCAGAGAACAGCAGCGGCCAGAGACCAATGGGCGAGTTTCCGTCTCCTCGCATGTTGCTTGTGAGAGCCGCAACGGCAATTAGTGCTCCATCTGCTACTTGCCGTGCTGCTGCTCATGCTGCCGTTGCTGCTGTGGTTGCCGTTGTTTGCCTAGTGGTTGTATCGCCGCTGTCGATGCCATATACTTCTGGTGTTTTTTCAGGGCACGACGCCGAGTTGACGAGAGGCTGCTTTCGCTGTTGCTTCCTCACATCGAGTGCTTTGCCAGCGGTTATCCCGCAGCAACAGAAACAGCAGCAGCAGCAGAATCGACATCACTAGATAGAGCGCCCTGGCCAGCCGAGTGGCTGGACCAAAGCGAAGAGCTGCCCAGCCTCTTCGCTTACGCAACTCAAATGGCGGTGTTTGCTGCGGCAGCAGTCGCTGCTGTCCCCAGTCCGCTGTTGCCTCAAGAGGTTGCAGACCTTTGGCAGCAGCAACGCCAACAGCTAGTGCAGGAGCGACCAGGCGACACGTCAGCAGCAGCAGTTGCGGTTCCTAGGAAAGGCACAAGCCACACGCTCTCGACAGCAGAGCTACAGAAACGCATTGGGAGTTTGCTACAGAAAATAAATGCTTCCTTGCTGCTGCAGCAGGACACTTGGTACCGTCTGCGACGAATTTTGCAGTACATGGCTCAGCAGCAGCAGGAGCCGCAGCAGAATCCTCTGGCGGTACAGCACGAAGATCCAGCAGTAGCTTCGCAAGAGGCAACATGTTCAGTGCACAATCAGTTTTGTGAGGCGGCCTCGAATTTTCAATCCTGTTTTGTTCGGAGGCAAAGTGCCGGCAACCTTCATATGATCCAGCCGTCGCTGCAAGTGTTGCAGCAGTGCAGCCGTCTTGCTCTCGCGTTTTGCAGCTGGGGTCGCTTTGAGTGCCTAGCGCTGCAGCTGCTACTCCAGGTTGCAGCTGCTGCTGTGCATGCCCTCCGCCCTCTTGCGCCTCTCTGGATGCAACAACAACAACAGGCACTGCAGCAAGCTGCCGCGGCAGAAGACGTCCATCCTCCGCTTGTGGTGCTGCAACAGCAGCAGCTGTCTCGGGCTCGTGCCGCGATTGAAGAGGCAACGAGCGATTTGGGCCTTACTGTATCCTTACTGCAGTGTCTCTGCCCTCATATTCTTAGGGTAGGTACGCTGTTGCTAAGTAAGGAGTGCAAGCTCAGCTTTAGCAGCAGGCAAGAGCTCGACGAGCCCTATGCTGTCGTTTCCTTCTTATCTCTGCAAGTTGTGTGGTTACTAACAACACTAGCAAGCGTTAAGGACTGAAAGGGAATCATTTACCGTGTATCCTGAATCATAGGCAAGCTGTGTGCGTCTCTTTCACTTGTGGCTCTGCCGCTGCACGACGGCGCTTCCTGTTGTTTTTGCTGTGATTGCTGCTGCTTCTGGCTCTGCAGAGCCTTATGCATACGGCTGATCTGCAGCGGCTTCTAAAGGACTGCGATGTTCTTTTGGAAGCAACAGCTGCGGCAAGGCGGCACACACCTCTCTCGCGCCCAGCAGCTGCTGCTGCAGGGACAGCAACAGAGGAAGTTGCCGACATATACACGACAGCGACAGTATCAGCGAAAGCAGACGATACAGCATGTGCAACAGCGGATGCAGATTCCCTCGGGCTTGATGCAGTGACAGCAGTATCAGCCTCAGAAGACGCCCTTGAAGGATTTACGGCAGAAGCAGCAGAATCATCAGGAGTCGTACGATTCGGCAAGGAGTTCTCTGATGCAGAAACCGCGAAACCAAAAGCAAAAGGTGGTTGGGACTGGAATTTGCTGGAGACTGAAGTAGCGAGTATCCTCCGTACGCTTATTCCAACCGCGGAGGGGTCGCCAGCTAAGGTATGGACGCGGGGCACTGGTCTCTGCACGCTACTCTGGTTGCCATTGTTTCTGCGCTGCCTTTAAGGACAGCATATAGTTGCTTGGGGTTCAAGGGAACTTTCAATGTGCCCGTTGAATAGCGTTTTAGTCGATGTTTTATACCTAAGCAAATAATGAGCAACAATGTAGAAGAGCCACACGGCTTTGCCATGCAGCTGCGGAGCGAACCTCACAGACAACCCTATCCTGCACTTTACGAAGCTGCGGTCGTGGCTTGAGCTGCAGCGGCTTGTTCTGCTGATGCTGATGCTGCAGGCAGCGCACATGAGGGTTTGTGGTGTTGCGTGCACCCGTAGTAAGCAGGACATGGAGGAGCCGCCACCGCAGCAGCTTCTGGACCCGTTGCAGCTGCAACGGCAGGGCAAGCCACTGCTATTGGCGTTTATATTCCCAGCGGATACTTGGGGCCGTAGACAGGGGATTTTGTTGCCGAAGAAGCTGCTGCAGTTATTCCTTCTTCGGCGCCTTGGCTGGGAGGTGAGGCCACGATTTGTTTGCCGTCTTACGGATGCATAGCCACAGGTGTCCTTCCAGAATGATGTTGGAGAAGACCTTGAACTGTCTGTTGATGCAGGTGCGGCTTGTTAGCCTCTCTGATTGTCGCGGCAAAAGCCCCATGGAACTGCAGCAATTCCTTGTTGCTGAGTTGAATGCCAGCTGCACACGAACATCCCTTTGGAGTCTGCACGGGCTGCAGGGTGAAGCCACTTCTACAGCAGACTGTTTGTCCAATGCATAGGATTGGCCCATTTGACCGATACTTTTGTGTAATGTTGCATTTTCCGGCGACCTGTGTGGCGAATGAAGTCTTCTTCGAATATAGGCAGGGCAATGTGGAACCCACACGGCTGCTCTGCGTTGTCATCCTCCAGAGGCCGATGCATCTGCTGACTTTTCTGACGTTTAGAGCTGCGCAGCAGCAGCTCTAAATGTTTATGAAGCCTGTCTTGGCTTGCTTCGGGCCGTCATCCACTATGTGTTAAACAGTAAATAGGCAGGGAGAGGCGACAACAGTGTCGTTGCCTCTCACCAGAGTTCATACCTCTTGCGTCACAAGTACATGCACTGGCAGCGCATACGGGCCCTCTGCTGCATTTGGTGGGGAGCTATGGGAGCTTTCAACATTTTAAGCAACTTCGTTGTCCTGCTGACTGACCCGAAATGCGCTAGCTGGCGACGAGTATGTTGAGTTCAAATGATAATCTTAGACCAAGAGTAGCGACGCTAGTGCCTTGTCGTGCGTCTTTGTGCGACCCTGTGGAGCAGACCTTCCCTTGAAGTGAAGCTTCCTCATACATCCATATATGTTCTGCCGACCCACTGGAAGGCTACGCTAGGAACGCAGCTGCCATTCCAGTATGCAAGCATGAGAGATTCCATCATCTAACAGAGTACAAGCCGGAACGCTTCAGCGCCATTTTCTGCAGCTCTCGCCATCTTCACATTTCGCACTTCTTATGTACTTCGGTGGAGCCACGTACAGATGTGTCAGCGCTCGTGGCAGCATACCTTGGCGGGCACTTACCAGAAGGCTCGGCATGTCACGTTCGCTGTGTGCAGACAGTGCAGAAGCTAACTGTCTGCGTGCATGGGACACGATTAAGCCAAGCAGAAGCCGGCATACAGCTGAGCCGTCGCGCAAGTCAGGTCGACAGCGTGTCCGGAAATTGAAGCATAGGTCCTCCAGACGCACTTTCGTCCCTAGTAAAATGCGTCTACGCCAAATGTATGGCGTGCTGTACAGTGACTGCGGATGCGAGATTCGCTGGCCCTTCAGAGGACTGTTGAGAGCTGCAATAGAGTTACAGTACACGCCCTAAAGATTCGTGAAATGCATATGACCCCCCTCCATTCCCAAGTCCTGGTAAGGGCGGGCCAATGACGTGTTTCTGGGGCAGTTGGGGCAGGGTAGGAAAGGAGTTACGCGACACCTTGCCGGAGCTATTGCAACCCTGCTCCCTGTGCCACATGAGCTAACACTGTAAGTGATTATTAGGCTCTTGCTTGGCCCCTTTGAGAGCAGCCTGCACGCAGGTACAAGTACATGCATCGACGGCGCGCAGGCGAACTACATCAGCGCAGTGAAATATTCTCTTTTTCAACGGGAGCTACGACGGGCCAATGCAATATCTCTTTATCCAGTGCTGAATGAAGCAAACCGACGACATCTTTGGAATACTGGGGCTTCACCCCGTTTTCTGAATTTTGAGACGGTTTGTGTCGACCTTCTTCGGCGACTGGTTACCTGTGTACAGCCAGGGTAATCGGGTGTGTATTGGCTTTGAACGGATCAGGTCTTCTGCTCCTTAAGAAAGTGGTCTCTATACGAATTTAATTCACTGTGAGGCTTGGACCTGTGGGAAGCGGCGAACATGCAGCAAGTGGAAGCTACGCAAGCGGCACTTCAGAGCAGCAGCGGCGGTTCTGCTTCCGCACACAAAACAAAAAGCTGTTGCGATGCGCGCGAATTTCCGACTTATCACTACACATTATTTTTGCACACACTGGGTGACTCAGAAGCACAGTTTTCCCCTTATCGACAGGGTGTGCATAATCTGATCGCAGAGTGAACTGAAAGGGTCTTTTAATACTCTGAAATGCGCAAGGTTTAGAGGCATACCGGTGGGGGATTGCTTTTTTGAAAAAATGTGGCTTATATTCAGTCAAATTGGATATTTCTCATACGTCTCTGGTGATGTGTTTCTCTCCTTGCAGACTTCGCTCAGCTGGACCACAGTCATGGGCAGTGTGACCTTGCACACGGCGGGGAGCTGTGCTTGTGCTTGTATTTGAAGCACCATAACATCTTGAGTGAAAGTTACCCCTCTACAACTTGTCCTGAGTGTGTCTGCAGTCTGTTGAATTGGCATCTGAAGCGTTGGCCAGCGTCTGCCGCCGGCGTGTCAAGAAAGCTCATCTCGGGAAAATGTTTCTTCTTTCCCTAACCTTGTTCATTTTGTTCGTCCCGATTCTGCTTATTCTTCTGATTGTGGAGCTTCTGTGCTTGCTTTTGCGTTGCATATGCTGCTGTTGCCCCTGCAAAGCGCTCTGCCACTCTCCCAGTGCAATCCAGGTGTCCAAGCTGCCAGCCAGAATAGGCGGGGGATGGGGTTGTTGTACTATGGATTACGGAGATGATACTGTTTGAGTGAATGAAGACCCCTTGAGGGCGACAGCGTTTTCTGAGGTTTATAACTTTACTATTTCATCCGGCAGACAAGTGCTTAGGGCCTGTCCTGCTCTGCATATGCACAGGTTAATTAATTCTTGGACGTGCTTTTAGCACGATCTGTCGGTTAGTCCTCTCCAAGAGAGATGCAGGGGGACAGGTTATTGTGCCGACCCAGGTGTGGAAATCCTGTCGTTCAGCTAGTTATTGAAGTGCACTGGTCCTGCATGCTGCGTAGGCTGTGCGCCGACCTTAGCAGTGGCTTAGACCCACGGCTTCCAGCCTGACACCCCCTCATCTGCACACCAAGAATGTACGACGTGAAAGCGAATGACACACTCAAGCTAGTTAAATGCAGTGTTAATAGTGCACGTCCAGTGTCCTTGCACGTGTGACCAAGTCCCACAATTTACTCTGTGAATCAAGGATGCGTCCCCGTTACCATTACTGTAGCTTGTGAAATCCAAGGACTGGCAGTTAATCCGCGTGCATACTCCCTATTGAACAGCCAGAGCTGTAGGTGAAATTATGCCAAAGCGGAGTTCAGTGCCACCGCATTCGTTCCAGAACATCGTCTGGCATGTCTTACGGTTCATTATTACTGCATTTTGTTGGCTCCTGCTGACTGAAGACGAACAACGGACAGCACATATTTGGAAAGTGGAGGATATCTAGAGAATAGCAGGGAATTTTGCTAGCATGCGTATACAATATTCTGGGAGGAGGTAGGCGAGCATGCTGTTTTTGCTTACTGATCTGAAGAACAAGGTGACCGAGAACAGGTTTCAACCCAGATTGGTTCTGCTCAGTGGTGACCATGGATACACTATCTGCAAAGGCAGTATCAGGTTAAATTGTATCTTCCTACGTAACTCATCTCAAACCTCAGGCAATAACTACATTGAGAGCAAAGCTGGAACTCCCGGTCTACAAAACCTCATTTTGGAGGTTATCTTCCAGTCAAATTGCCCTTCTGCGAGCTTCGCCTTCTCCTGTGCCTAGTGAGAATCAAGCCTCTCACCGGGTCGAACTCTTGTAGGTGATCTAACCATATGTCCTACACGGTTTTCGTTGTCAAGCTGACGAAACGAATGGCAAAAACGCAACGTGGCCCCAAAAGTGTCTCTCCACCGCTCCCACGAAGTCAGTAACAATCCTGCTTCCGCCTAACTTTGCACGACTCCTCAGCCTGTTGCGGTGCACAGGCTACTATTCAATCACCTTTAACTTGTGCGCCGAGGATACTCGCACTCGGGGAATTACACATGCGCTGTGTATTGGCACAAATTTGGGAATAATTGCTTCTATAACTTCGGCGAACTAATGTAGCTATCATCTCAGCTGGAGATGGCGGCAAGAAGCAGGGAACAAACATACATCGCGCAGCATGAGATGGCACGTACCGGAAGTGTTGCGCAACCCAACACTCACAAGCAATTACAGCAAACAAATAATGACAAAGGCCTACTGTAGTATTCTATTACTTACGAGGAGAAAGGTGCCCTGGAGAGGCTCTTGTATGGAGTAACTGCCCTTCGGGGGCTTTCGCGAGCTGCAGCAACCAGGACCGCATGCACCAGAGTGTAAATTGCAGGAGTTGATCTCGGTCGCCTCTTCCTTCTGTGTGAATTCTCCCCAGAAACAGTTCTAGATACGCTTTAGAAGGATTTGGCTGCTCGTGTTGGGCTGTTGCATCCCGCTTTTCTGTTTCTTTCTCGTTGGCGCCTGCGCGGTTGTCTCTCATGCGCAATCCCCTGCACCATAAGACGTTTTGTATGGCTTCGCCTGTATCGGTTTACTCTTAGAAGTGTCGTGGACCACCTACTGAGCTACCTTCAGCCCGTTCCCTGCACGCGTAGAGCCCCTGTATTCCGGTTGTGTCTGGACGTTGCGTTTACCCGTAGGAGGCCCACTGGTCCACAGTGACCAGTGGGCAGAGGCTGTGGTGATTCCCATGGCTGGAGTAGTTCTTTGACCTTTGTAAGGTGGTATCCCGCTACTACTACAGTAAAGTTGCTGAGGGGCCCCAGGGCGGTGTTAACCCGTCACCGGCAGCTAAATCGGGCGAGCTGTGTGCATCTGCGTTTTGTTAACGCTTAAGACGCAAAAAAGGAAATGGAGTCGCTTGTGGATCGGTTTCCCTTGGGGGTACGGCTGTTCACCGCGGTCTCTGCCTTCATTTTGATGATTGGGAGTATTGCAACTGTTGCAGCTCCTGCGGATTACACAAGTTGTATTGTATGCATTTACCTCATTTGTTTCTCAGCTATCTGTCTGCTGTGCGAATTTTCTCCCTACGGTCTCAATGTCCTCATGGGTGTCTGCCCTCTGCTGGGGGAGTATTTCTTCAGAGGCGTCCTCTACATCTTGTAAGTGTACTTAGCAACCAAATGAGCAGAAGCTTGCTTGCGGCTGATCAGGCGGCAGTGGGTTCATATGTTGATACAGGCGTAGACGAATTGGCCTTTTTGCTATCTCTGAGCGTTGTGCACACTTTTTCAGCTGCATGCAACACGGTGCCTACGGAAGCAAGCCCTCCCATGTCGATGCGCGTATCTCTTCAGGGTGGGATTTTTGCCCTTGGGCATCGACACTTTGGGCCTGTGGGGAGGCATCTTGATGATCATATCGGGAACCCTCAACATCCTCATCCATGCCTTGTTGCCAGTCCACCCGTACAACTTCTACAGCCGCCCCACTTCAGACCCGGAGGACGAAGAGGATGGGGCATTTACCGAGTGAGGCCTACGCAGCAATCGCTGTTGATCCAGATGTCTTATCCGTTCATCGCAATGGACTGTGTCAGGCCGTCTGGCTGGCTGCGGTGTCTTAAAAGATTCTCACTGCCGCTGTGAGATCCGGCATGCAACGGCCTGCTTCCAACATGACCTGGCTACAGCCCCACAGTGAACAGGAGAAGCACAATGATATAGTTGGTGAAAGCGCTGAACTTGACAAGAGTGGAGGTTAAATTACAGCTGTTCCCAATGGTGGCGGGCTGATCGTGGGCTGCTTCGGCAGCCGAGGTTCAACGGTGTCGCTCCATACCCGTCAGACTCCCTGCATTGACATCCATCTTTGCCGCTGTATTAGTTTATGCTGTGTATGCAGCGAGCCGGATGCCGAGGGGGGTGGGGCTCTGCGATAGAGGGTGGGGGAGGGCTGATGGCGAAGGGCCAGGATCCCCTGCCAATTGATTAACGTCTGCACTTTTATGGAGCTTCGGGGATTGGTAGCCTTCATTTTTGCATCCTGTCTATTTTCCCATAACAACAGAACGCCGCGAGGACTCTAGTTGCGGAGCCTCCCTTCCTGCCGCTCCGAAATACGAGGCTTACGCGCCCTCCGTTTCGTTCCTCTCGTGGGCGCAGCATCAGTAGGGAGATTTGGAGGGAACGTTCTGCGGTGCTGCCTTACCAGCACATTGCTGCTCAATAGGTGTACGAATCTTTAGCTGCAGTTCCATATGCGGCTTCGTGGGTCATTACATCTGTTTGACTCCAGCTGCAACCTTCGAGCCGCCCATCTTTCTCCTGCAACGTGGTCTCTCATCGCCAAAACGCGTTAGCATGTACCCATACTAAACCCAGGTGAAGACGAGTCAAGTTGAGTCGTGGTGAGCTGTTCGGGGCAGGGAGGTGATGCGGAGTGGATAGCGGTTGTGGAGGGAGTCGGAAGGCCACAACAGTGATATTGTTGGCGCCCCTGTAGATGTCAGGCGCCTTCTTTTTGTATAAATACATATATTGTACATGCTTTTTTGTCGTCAAATGCTTCTCTATGTTTACTTGTAGTCTGTGTACTGTAACTGCATATGTTGGTGGCATGCTAATGCAAAAACACATAACCCATCAGCTAACGGGGACTGTGGGAAGACTGTTCGACATCTGAGCAGATGACTGTGAATGCTCTGAGGTCCATCAAAGGGAAGCTTTGGCAAATTGGCACATTTTTGCTGACCAATCCGTTGTACGGTTCCAGGCCAATGGCTACCCCATTGTATTGGTGGCTTTTCTTTTTGAACCTCGCCTGCGCTTATGTGTTTTTTGCTAGCATTGGGGGATCAACTTTTGGAGCATCTGCTGCGGTTTTTTTAAGTGCTTTTTGCTAGCTTCCAGTGACATCAACGCTAGCTAACCAAAGCCTCAGCACGCATGTCCTTGTCTCGACATTTGCAGCCTATGTTTCACACGAACGTAAGTAGGCTGGCCACTAGTCGGGGGAATTGTGGAAGGGAAGTGAGGGGGTTCAAGAATGCCAAATCAGTTATTTTTTGTGACACTAGTGCAGTTGACATGAGTAAGGGGTTCATTCTACGAAGTTGATTAGAAGGCAATAATTGTAGAAGTGGGCCATTACGTAATTCATTTGCCTCACCTCAAGGCATTCCTGAAGTTCACATGCATGAAAATTCACTGACTGGACAGACTTGACTCAAAAGTTCTAGGCAACCGAATCTCGGGTTCCCTTCGATTACAGAATATGCGCAATGCCGTCAGTTACTTTGGTGTCCTCTAAGATACGCCGCTTACGCTGTTGCGATGCAGCAAAACAAACTCGCCTGTGCAGGGCAACCGACCAAAAAAGGTCATTCGAGTGGATTACCATATACCCCTCATAACGATAGGGTTGTATAGATGAAGCATTCTAGATACTTTTAATGGAGGCAGAGGGGTATATGGTGTACGGTGGATCCGGTGTGACCAAGCAGAGAGGAGTAAAGGGAAGAACAAACAGTACAACTAAATGGAGGAACGAACAAATGAGCCTCTGTCCCGTTGTGGCTTTGCATGCTGGCATGTCCTCAATGTGGGCAATCTCTTTAGCACCCCATTCCTCTACCCAGCATAAAGTGTGGAGGGTAGAGGAAGAGAAGTTAAGAACGACTTGGAGGGTAGCCGTTGCCATATAGGGGCTATACGGTACAATAATGCTACAGCCTTTTGCAGCAAAAGCTACAGTTCAGGCGAGACTGCTGATCAACTTGCTGCTTCTGTCCGCAGAGTCCAGCATTCTGCGTTTTCGAGTGTACGTGAACATCAGCAATTAAAGTCAAGGCGAAAATCAAAAGTAAGTCCGTTAAAGCTAGCTGTAATTAGTACTGGCCTAGGGCTGTGAGGGAAATGCTATACCGACATCTGCACACATTGCTCCATTTGCCGTAACCTTAGCGGGCAGCTTAGCGGCTGTGTGAAGTACCCACGAAGAGGAAATGTAGGTCTGCACACTTGCATGTTTATGTGTGTACAGGAGGAAGTTTTCATCGGTTCAGCATTATCTACTGCTCAGGTGGGTGTTAAGAAGTGTCGCTCGTGCAATCGCAATGCTTCAAGGCGCGCACGTTCGCTTGTCACCATTCTCATTGGTGGGCATTTCAAGCGTTTTCCTGAAGGCGCTGACGACCTCTTCTTGTTTTTATCCAATCGACCCAACTTTCATTTGGCATATTTGACCCCGAGTTTACATGTTACTGGAGAGATGAGGACTACCTCCAGGCGGGAGCTCATTGGCGGACTTGGTATGGTTGTCTTACTGGACAGGCTTCTTTGCTCAGCTTCGCTAGAGAGCGAAGAAACGGCAGCTTTAGAGGACATCGGAAAAACCCTGTCTCCCCTCATCTTGAGGGGTGATTCTGTTGACGCCAATGCAGCTAAGGATGCTCCCGTAAGCCTGGAAGATGCCTTGGATGGCTGGGAAGTTTCTCCCCAGTTGTTGGAGGAGCTCATTACGCCGACTGAGGAGAAAGTCAACTTGCTCATAGACTCATCAATTGTCTCGTGGACGGACTCGCATGCAGAAAATGTCCCGGAGGAAGTGCGTAAGGAGATGGTGGGCGACTTAGAGAGGGCTCGACAGTTAGGCCTTCGTCAAGTACGTCTTTTCAACTACATGGTTAAACTCAAGGGTCTAATAGACGCCTCAGAAGATGGAGATGGCGTCTACCTCAAAGACCTCATGAAATGGTGCAGGCACATGTTCCTCAATATGCATGCAGCTGAGTCAGAACTGTTTGCCAAACAGGAAGAAGTCAGGAAACAATTCTTTCAGCCAGGGGAGACCACCCCATTTTCCCTAGAGTCTCGGAGCATTTACCTTTTACTAAGGCACCGTGCTGATGCGATAGTCAGGCGATTCGAGGGCTACATGGCCGAACCGAAGGAAGGCACAGGAAATGAAGAAAGAAGTGCAGATGCCCATACTCAGGCTGAATAGGCCTCTGCCTTTTAGACACGGAATATTACTGTTTCTGCACAAAGTGTCCACCATCTCTAGGCGGTATACTTGCTTTTACCTTCAGATCGCTGTGTCTCCCTGCTTGCCTTTTGACGCCCAGGCTTCTTAGCAGTGATTATTCTTGGCAATAGGTTTAATGCTAACGAAGTCGTCTGGTGGATGCAAAAGAGCCGTTGCCACAGCCACCAGGGAAGCAGCCGGCAATGGGCGAATGTTCAGCATGCTGTAGGAACTTAAAGAAACAGCAACGGGGTTACTCGAAGTTCTGCTACTGCTGCTGACCTACTTGTTAGGATTGTGCCTGTGCACGAGTGAAATGACAGGTCCAGAAGATAAACTTTCACACTGATGTCGTCTGCAGGCGAAGCCCACGGGCTACGCATTAATGCCGTCATTCCATACAACTACCTCAGCATGAGAAGAAACGCGGAGCCCCTGTGCATTTGTTGGGGTCGGCAGCAGTGTGGCATGCAGCCATATTCCAGCCTGTTCAATATGCACGCTGGAGCGTCACTGCTCTTGATACTATGTGTTTATCCCTACGAGGTCTTCGTTTCTTTTGGCGACTGGCTTTGATATGGGCTTTGTACGAAGAAATAGCAGGAAAGCCTCAGATGGTCACAGTGACGTGCTGGTCCACTTCCTGTTCAGGGTCTGGGCGCAAGTCGTCTCTAGCGAACCGTTCTTCACTGTAGAACTTTGCTTTAACTGTGCGGCCTCCAAAGGCTCGCCCATTAAACGTCAACAAGGCCCGCGTCGCTTCCTCTTTCCGCTCGTATTCACAAAAGATGCGCACAGCGCAATCATCTGGCACCCCTGCAGCCTCAAATATTCGGACTTGGAGCAGGTTCCCCAGCTTAGCTGCTTCCTCCTCCGTCTCCTCCTTCAGATCTGCATCCACCTGTCCTCTACCCACCATGTTCAGCAGCAACAAAATACGCGTCGGCGCCATGTTGAACGTCACTGCCCTTGGCACTTGACCGAGCGACGTTACATCATGACCCTGTCGGCACAACAGAACTTCAATTATCACTTCGAATCAACGCAGAGCGTACCCGCCGAAAACTGGCACTTTGATTTTCCACCTCCGGGCACACGCACCAGTCACAGATAAACACATGCAAAGAGCACCGCTCCCCTGGAGCAGCTCCAAATAAGAGCACCTTCGGGAGCATAAAATTAACGAGCCTCCGATAACACCAGTGCTCTTTGTAGACATAAGCAGCCGATGCACAGTCGTTGGCGTGTAGGACAGAAGAACACTTCTGCATGGCAGACAGTAATGCACGGATCCGTCTGATGCTCACCTGGACAATAATACCGCTTCTCATTGCCGTTTTCCTTGCCACAAGAGGAGCTGTAATCCCCTGTTTGTTGGCTCCCAACCCCTCCCCCTGTTTCCAGCCCATCTTTTCCATCATCCTCGCTGCAAATGTCTTCTTGTTGGGGTCGATATACGATGGAAGCAGAGGCGCCTGAGGCTCAGGGGAGGTCGTTATATCTCCTCCATCACCCCCTGTTCCTTAAACAGGACAGTCCAACATCACGCGAGCACACACAAGAAAACAGCATTCGTGTGCTAGAAATACGATCGCCTGTAGCCACCGTCGACCAGCTCAGGCAGGACGAACGCAGAACTTTTGCGCAAGGTACGTGAACACTAGACGGGAAATTCAATGTGCCCAATGTTTGGTCCGTACCGTTGCGAGAAGCCTCCTCATCTTGCTTCTGCTTTTCCAGTTCCTGCTGTCGAAGCCTCTCCAACTCTTCTCTCTGCTGCTGTCTCATTTTCTCCTTATGAATGGCAGCGTAATCGTTCGGCTTTGCGGGGTCATACTCCTGCGGCCAAAGACCGACAGGTACCCACGCCGTCGGGTCCAAGGGAGTGCTGCTACCCACAGTTACAGACACCACGTTAACAGCAGGCTCTGTCTGGCACTTGCTAGATTCTGCTGTTCCTGCACCGTCTCCTCCACCTTTCCCGACAGCTCCCCCAGCTGTCCCGGAGGAGCGTGCGGCAGCACCCCCGTCCGGTTTTTGTTCCTCTGCTAGGACCCCAGCATGAAGCTTCTTGAGTCGTTCTAAAACAAGAGCAGCGTCTGCAGCAGCAGCTTGCACATTTAGTGACGGAGACGATTTCGGCGCAGCCTTTGCTAGTGTCTGCCGACGTACGACGGCCGGCGTTAAAAGCTTCAGCCGTTGACTGGCCCACATTGAGCCACTGGAGCTAGATGCATCTGCTGTAGTTGCAGTAGCAGCAGCCGCTGCTGCTGCCGCAACTGCAGCGGAACCACTGGAGCTGGAAGCTGGGGCGCCCGGTGCTGTGGAGGCCTCTGCAGCATCGTCAGGATCATCGTACAGAGAACCCAACAACGATCCACTGGGTGCCGGAGTAGATACGCCTTTGTCTGCACCATCCCCTTTAGTGGGAGGAGGCAAGTCACCATACAGAGAATCAAGCATTATTGGAAGAACAAAAACCCGAATGGGAAGGGGGGACGAGCGGGGAAGCTTGGAGACGGAAGGATTGCAAGTTGTTGCTTACGCAACAATAAATTCCGTATGAAGACGCAGAAACCATGCGGTTCTGCCAGCCAGCCGCTGCAGCTCCAACAGAAAATATGTTCTTGACGTGCATGTAGCAGCTCAATACGTCCAAATAGAGCGGCTCATGTGCAGGATGCAGCTTTTCCATACAGCTTAGTTTGGTGGAACAGCTAAAGCCTCTGTTCTACAAAAGAGGTGGAGATATATGTGGGAAACTCGGCACCCACTAGGGGGTTCTTGTAGGCTGCCGCAGGGCATTAGGCCAAGACCGACAACTTAAAAACCGTGCGACGTAAACTGCTGCACGTGCTAAGAATGAGATACAAGAAACCATGAAAAGTACATCCAGAAATTAGAAATAAGATCCGCCGAAGTGTCTACGTCCGAAAATCGATTTCAGCGCGGCGGTTGAGTTGAGTAGACGACATGCTAACCCCAACACGCGGACTGGCAAGACCCCTGTTGGACAGTGCCTTAGAAGGTTCGATGAATTAAATGCATTGAAACAAAGAATGGACCAAATCAAGCTGCAAAAGGGGCACAAAAAAAGCATATGTGGTGTCCCCAGTGCCTTCCTGCATGCACAGCACCCCGTGGACTGGCACGAAACAATCGCGAATAAGCTTAATCTCCCCACAATTTCGGAATGCTCACAACTAGCCTTTCGCTTCCCTGGATTTTTGTGCAAAGAATAAACAAGAACAACCCAGGCGCCGCCTTCTGTGCTGCATGTTGTCCTGCCGGTACAACTGAGAAAGATTCTGCTCCAGAAGGGACGAGGAATTACTGGTGAATGCTCTAGTACAGAAACACGGGTTCTGATTTATATAATCATGTTCTACCATATCTTGATAAGTATATCCTTATTTGCCGGTGCACGGTTCCGCCCTGAACTAGATTTCTGTGCGGACTGTCTTACAACACCTCACATTCTAACATGCGAAGCCTTTCAGCTGAGCCCGCTATATGGGCATTAACCCCATTTAATTAAAAGTCTAGGAGCATATTTACCTCCCAACTATGAACAAACAGTTCCGCCTCGACCAAGCTATTAGCCCCCACGGGTGCAGGCTGGTGGGGGCAGACTGAAGTGTATGTAATGGGACCTCAAGGGTTCGTAGCAAACCCTCTTGAACTACCAGCGGAACCAACGTTTCCACCCTGTGCAGGCAGTACATATTTTTGGGGGACACACTGTTTGCATCTTCCTTACTACGGAAGGCCCGTGAGACGCGCTACTGGAGTCAAGCAGCCATACAGTGCTGCAAATGCTTTTTGCATCACGCCTTCCGGCGCCAAGTGACTGTCCTATCGACTCAAGGCGGAGACACTAACTCTCATCTGCATTCACAGGCTAAGCTTGCTAGCCCCAGCAGCGGCCTGAATTCCTGTTGCATGCAAAGCGGTTCGTGCGCCAGTAAAGTCGTTGCTCTACGCAGCAGTATGCCAACTATAACAAAAGTACAGCTATTAGAGTACTAGTGTGATCCAAAAACCATTGATGCGCTCCTTCGCAACTTGGCCTTGCCGTACCGAATAGTTCGGATTTCAGCGAAGCACTTAAGGATTCCACGCAATCCACGTAACAAAACAATAGAGAGGCTTCTCTTTATTCTACAGCAGGGATTTTTTGGCTCAAAATGCTGGAATTGGGAAGGTATATCCTGAAGTGGGTGTAAAAATGTGCGACGTAACGAAGGGCGACTTAATGCACTTTTAGCTAGGGAATATCGCGACCCTGCATTATGCAGTACGAAAGAAGACTTATCGATAATTATGTAGCCAATAACGCCCTTCCTGCGATATTCTCTGTAAAAACCTCAATATGACCACTTTCCAATCGGATGTAACAGTCCAAATGACAGCTCTCCTACATCCCCAGTGTAACAGGAACGCCAACCCTTGATAATAGAGAATACGGCACTTTGCAGGATCACTCATCAGCGACCATTGCTTAGTTCGCAGGGGAGCACACGCCCTGGCAGCCAGCCAGTGTCTGAGGCGCAACATGTCGGGGGTGTTGCCGAATAGCGCCAATTCAGCTGCTGTCGCAAGAACGGAGCTCGTGATAACCATGAGGTCCAGAACCTGCGCCAAGCCGGCAGCGTGGGTAAGCCGGCTGAAAAATTGACACCCCAGGATAAGCAACAGCCTGGGAGCCTCGCACGCCTCCCAACGGGAACGATAGCTAATCCCCTATTAAGTTCTTCAGAGGTGTTGTTCCCAATCCTCAGGCACCTCCTCCTCTTCCTGGCGACAACGCAAAATTCATCCTCAAAGTAATAATTTCCGGAAGCAGGAGGTGCTCTGCAAATTAACGTGCTTAAGTGCACACTACGCTTGAGCTTACATGCATTGGTTCGGGTGGAGCTTCGCGCCCTCCCTCTCCCCTTGCGCCCACACCGCCTCCCCCGAAATCAGCTTGAAAACCTTGCGGCATGTAGCCCGTCTTTATGGCCCCTCCACCTGTGTTGGTTGCAGTGACACCCCCAGTGCCAGCCACATTTACACCTATACGAGCAGTTCCTGAACCAACAGGGTTATAGTTGTAGTTGGGCATCTCCAGGTAGTCGTTCAGGCGAGAGATAGGAACAATAGACCTCCTGTATATCAACATCGCCAAACATGCAAAGCTACAAGTCTTCAAGCAATATATCGTGTGTTCTAGACAAAGGCCTAAAAATGTGCGTGTAAACATGGGTTGAACTACACCAATACAAGAATGGCTGTGATGGCAGTCAGCTACAATCTTACTGGCTTCCAACCCAAGAAATCCATGGTCTCCAGTTCACCGTGTCCGCCCTGAGCAATGAGCGCATTAGCAAAAGAGGATTGGCTGACAAGAGCAATGCGGGAAGTCAACAATTTCCGCGTTACAACGTACAGCCACTTACCAAAGAGACAACTGGTCTCCGACCACAAGGAGCCCCCGCCTAGCACGCGTTAGCATAACATTCAACCGGCGGGCATCTTTTAAGAACCCAATTTCCCCTCGTGGGTTGGAACGAACAGCACTGAAGATAATTAGATCCTTTTCTTTGCCCTGGAACCCATCCACCGAGTCGACGTCAATCTGGTAGCACAAAGCCTTATCCTGTAAATGCCCAGTAATTGGGAACATAACGCAGAAGCACACCAACACACAAACACCCTCCACAGAACTGGTCACGGAACTATAGAAGTAAAGAGTCAATAACATGTTCACATTATCAACCGCTGTACAGGTGAACCGCTACGGTATCACACAAGCCAGACCTAAGTAAAGAAGTGGCCAGAAGCCGCGGGCCTGCAATGATACTCACGAAAGAGTCGTTCAAAGCAAAACGAATCCGGGCCTTCTGCGCATCGTACGGGGTTAGAATGCCGATCTCGCTAGGACGAATTGTCCCGCACTGCAGTACCGACCGCAATATTGCCAATATCGGATCGATCTCCCTAAAAAGCAGCGCACAAAAGAAATTGACTATTTCCATAAATAATCCGTCCCCCAGCGGAATAGCGCAAGGCGCCTGGGCCCCGCTCCACGAACATACGAACAGCCCAATCCATAGCCAATCCCCACCATCTATAGTGGGAACGTCTGCTGGTCTTCCATAGTAGGGATAAACCATACTGGCCCATAAGCATAAGCACGCGAAGCCTGCAGCAAGTGTTGTAAGGTGGCTTCTTACACAAGACTGTACTTCGAAGTCCCCAATGACTGCTCCATGTTAGCGAGCCCAGCGGAGATGTCAATAAGGCAGACACGGCTATGCTGGGATGGCCACAGAAAACCTGCAACTGGAGGCCGGTTTCTGTCATCGACGTCTGCATCACAAACAAGGGACCATGCAAGCCACCATCACGCTACCGCAGTGCGTCACACAAAAGCAATATACAAAGGGCGTAACGAACCCCCACTTAACACCAATGAAGAACATTCAGAAGCTTCTCATGCAAGATACTAGCAATGGCATGGCCTCCCAACTCCTGCCCCACAATGAAGTATGTACGTCAAGCTGAGCTATACTGCAAGCTATCATGGTTCAAGAGCGTGCGCATAAATCCACATTCCCAGGGAAAACCCACCTCGGCTGAAAATCTTCCCCTGATAGAACTGCATGTTGGGAAATAGTGCAATGCTCGGGTGCATACGACGTTGCTCATTTAGCAGGTGGATCGGTGCAATGCCGCTCCCAACGAATCTCTCGAGGAGCGAAACGCCAAGCCTGACCATCCAGAGACACACTTAGACACAGAAGTTCCTCAATGGCTGGTAAAAACCATGCAAACTCATCTATGTGCCTCTTCTGTGACGTGATATCTGACCCGCCGTCGCTAGCTTCCCGTGATACGATTGTTGGTGGGAGTTGTTTGTGATCGCCGATGAGGACCACCGAACGGCAACCGTGACCTAGGGGGATCAGGTTGGACGGTTCTGCAAATGCACAAACCAAACGACCAAATAAGGCAGTGCTCACTTTTAGCTAGAGGCATCTGCGCAGTAGGCTCAGAAGAGCAAGCAGCAAACATAGACGCACCAATGGACTGAGCGCATTCATCAATAATGACCCGTTCGAAAGTAACGTCGTCGAACATCTCGTGTCCACTGCCCACACAGGTAGCAATAATCACATTGTACTTGCGAACGGCTTCTCGAACCAGGAGCATGCGCAAACTCCGCGCCTCCCCAGAATTCTTATCTCGTATTCGTAGAAGGTCACGATATCGAGCAAGGTCTGAAGGAACAACATTAGTGGGTCAGAGGAGGGTCTGAAGGAATATGGGGGACTGCAAGCCCATGTGCAAATATTCGCTTACACTACAAGCATCTGCATGCGCCTGAAGCAAAATCATACGCTAGGAGGAATAAACAACAAATCTAAAAGGGGCGAACAAGTGTAGGGTACCTTGAATCGATTCCTCCTTCAAGTCCGATTCACTCCCGCTACCTACACGGACGCTGCGAATGCCTCGATTGCTAAGTCCCTCCATAAGGTTGTCCGCTGTGAGCATGCAGCAGACGCGTGCCAACAGAGCTACGAATGGCTGGTGGATGGCGACTATATATTAGTTACCCCAGAGCAAGTACAAAGAGCTATGCAGTCCCCAGCATCCGGCAGGCATCCAACTAACGATGCTAGGCTGTGCACGCAACCCCTGTCACAATTTAACCCGACAGAGGGAATCTAGATGCGACAAGGCAACGGCGCCAAACCTGCAACATTAGAGTCTGCGACGGCAAGGATCTTCTTTGTCGGATTGATGCGCTGCCACGCGTCAATGATGGCGCAAGCCACATGCGTTTTTCCCGTACCCGGGGGACCTGATTAACGGACAAGAATATTTGCAAAGTCCTTTTAAGAAAAGTTCCTCCTCTACCGCCCCTAGCAAAACAATCCACTGCAACCTACCCTGAACAAGAGTCAGGCGATTCGTCATCGCGCTAATCGTTGCCTGGCGCTGGGCCTCGCTAAGCGGCAAATCCGTCGGGAGGCGAAACCCATCCCCCAACATATCATAGCCTTCGTCCGCAGCACTTCGGCTCGAGAAAGAAGTTTGTCTCCGCGCCTGAAGAGACTGCGATGCACCGTCACATCAACACAAGCGACCGCAGTAAGCATGCACTGAACTGGAGTAGCATATGGTAGCATGCGTGCATACGAAAATACAGATAAGGAGAGCACAATATTGAAATGTGACTTCCCAGGGTTCGTAATCACCAGCCAACCGCAGCCAACACCCCAAAGCCCATGTGTCAAACGCTCACGACTTGCTGTAAAAGCGATGGCTGCACGCGTTGCTTCTTGCAGGAGTCACCATCGGCCAATTCGTCCAGCTGGTGTAGCGGGTTGTATTGTTCTGGATCTGTGTCGCTCAGCTGTGGCACCGGCCCTCCTATGATAGCAAGCCATAACACACCGTCAAATACGGTCAAATATCCACCACTCCACCGCTGTGACCAGAGTGATGCGACCCTCGTACAACTGCCTGTGAAGATATTCTGCGCCTCTGAGCAACATAAGTACGTCAAAGGTTCCCTGGAAGAGCAACTCTCCTAAAAATCCAATACAGTGTGCAACATGCATCCGTAGGGCCAATATCAGTGCAAACGAGGCTTACGGCCTGAGACCTGCTGAGCCTGTGGCTCGCTTGTGTGAAGAAGAAGGTAACGTATCTCGGGGGCGAAAACATACGGGGGCGGCGACTTCTGTGCAACGTAGAAATAACGTCGATGAACTTTGCCCCATTAAGGCTCTAGCAGCGTCAAATGGGGCAAATGTAAACTACCAATGATATGCACTACCTCCCCTGCCACAGGATACGCCGCCCTAAGGCGCAATGCCCAGAAGATGAATTCCACACCAACTGACCCCTGCAGGATGCTTCGACATCGTAAGGCCCCGGAGCGCCTGAACCATTCTGTCGTGCGTCACGGCAGGAGTGAGGTAGTAGAGCTTGAATTTACTGGTTGCTGGTGAGCACGGGAGCAAGCACAAGGATATGCGTGCGCATAACAGTGAAAAACTACACATGCAGGACATTCCGGTTGCAGTGGGAATCTTAGCAGTGTTCGATTCGTGTAATCGACCTTTGCAATTGTCAACCACTCAAAAGGAAGGGGCAGATGAATAACTCACTGAAAACCTCAGGATACTTCTTGACTTCAGCCGTGGCGACGCGAACGTTCACGTTCAACGACTCTGAAAAATCGCCTTTTACACTAGTCACCACGCCTACAAAGCACCTTTGCTGCACAAAACAGCAGTCCAACAAAAGAACATCCCTCCATGTTGAAGCCAGGAATACACAACAGATAGCAAGACGGTCTTCAGGCACTGGGCGCCATTGATGCTACTCGGTGTCTGACAGACGAGGAAGGTGCCCCCAAACTGCCATTTCGTCGAGAGTGATTTGCTAGTGCAAATCCTATGAATTGACTTGCACTAGCATATCAACGCTGTTGCCACCACTGGCACCTTGTAGAGCACTGAGGTACCCACCCATGACTCTCCTTCGGTAAACGCCTGTGAGTCACAGGGCCTCAGGAGAACGATGTCATCCTCTCGAAACTGTACACTCCTGAGGAACATGCGCTCTTCCTCTGCAAAAAGAAGGAAACCAAACAGAACCGTATATGTTCCTCATGGCCACCTGCATCTTTTGCAGATAGCATCTATCGCCGCACGCAGTGGATGCAATACTACGTCTGTACCACACAGGTGTCTCCAGACCTACACACAATCCTCGTCCAGGTCATGTTTATAAGTGGCAAAAACCAGCAAATATCCACGAAGACCCTCCAAAAGACCCTCCAAAGCTAGCAAATCGTCTGTGCAATGCTGTTATGCATGGATGCCACGATAAAACAACTTAGACTGATGTGAATTTCTCCGTATGCACTTGCCTCTAAGGAATGTTGAGAAAGAAAACACCGGGAATGTCACCGACTTCCGCGTGAGCAGCACGTGTTTTCCTTCCCCTAGATCAGCAAAGGCGCGACGGTCGCTGATATTCGTTGCGAGTTGGGCTTGCCACTCCAGAGCAAGCATCAGCCTGACGAGGGAAGCAAGCCATACATCGACGTCATCGTGTCAGCAGCTACACTTACAGGCGTGCCAGATACTCAGTGGTCGGAGGCAGTCAATGGACTATCAATAGGGCAAAGTGAACTTTGTCGCGCAACAGCACATGCCTGTAGTTATGGAAATAGCGCATCGCCAGTGTTGAAGGAAACCAGCTGCTATCAAGGGACAGGCCTCCAAGTTCGTGAAGTACAGACTGCAAACACCACACAACTCTGCTACCACTCTATGAAGAAAGAACCGATATCTGGTCCCCACTGAACTCCGTAGAATTCCCGTTCGACGATCCCATCTGCTGGATTTCAGTAGCCTACCTGGCCAAACTCGCAGTTGGTGAGGACGGTACACTCGTCAAGGAGTTGTTCCCAAAGATCTGGAGGCATCACCTTTGGTGCGTCGTATGTCGCCTTGACAGTCTCTTGCGACTCGGGGCTACTTTGCCCTTCCCCTGCGAACAGCAGAAGAGCGTGAAGCGGCAGCCCCATCAGCTAGTACTCGTGAGAATTTCTACTACTGGATATTTACTGCTATTCTTTGTAATATGTGTTTGCGATTGCGATTGCAAATAAATGTGCATGAGTACTAAGGGACGACGCAGGCCCACCCCGAGCCTGTTCTGCTGTGGCGGGGCGTGGGGCAGCCTGCAACTTGAGCTGATCGATGAGAGAATTCACGAGCGAACGGTTGCCTTCAGCCATTGCCGCTCGCCAGACAACGGGAAGAAAAATACGCCAGACCGCTCCTCTCGTCTCGGCTATGAGGCGGCAAGCACTCTCCACGTACACTGACGGATCCTGTTGCGAGCAGACACCGGCTACAAAACAAACTCATTGTCTGCATGCCTGCAGACCCGGTATTCGCTGGCGTACCAGGTACCGAGCATACTTAACAAGCATGATGAGGCCAGATACTACGTCGCCGGTCTGAAGGTCAGCATAGGCACCGTATGCCCCTAGCTGAAAAAGCACACGACTGCCCCACAACTATTTTAAGAAGCTCTCGCAGAGCCTCACCTTTTTGCTCTCCACCTGGTTAACAACCATGAGGGCTGCCTGCCTGTCTTTGTCCTCGACATGCTCTATGAAGCCAGCCGCTTGCATCATCTGCATGGCTGCTTGAGCTCGGGCTCCCGCCTTAGTGGAGCCAACGGCAACGATAACGTGCTGCAAAGTCAGGCGACACAAAGAGAGACGCAAACTTAACTAGTTTCCTCAGAGACTGCTCTAGCACAAAAGACATGCCAGGTCGCCCCATGCATTTCCGCTATACAGGTTGCCTATGCCCTCGGTAGAGAACCCAGAGTTCTATGGTAAGGCGTGGAGCACTGTCCGGAAGCGTGCGTACAGAGTGCATGCGTCCCTCGACAGATTTCCACTTCCACTCCAGAGCACATCGGTGGCCTTCCGGCACCTCTGTGATGGTTTCCGTGGCTTTGATTTGGTTCTGAGACGTGACGGTATTGTGCAGCATGTTTATTTCCCCTGCTGTGTGCTTGGAGAGCTGCGACGGCCTCGTGATCTGACTCCGATGTTCTTGTGGCTGCTGCTTTCTGTTCCTCGACGCCTCGGCGTTCAAAGCCGCACGACGCATCAGACCTTTGTCTTTCAACTGCACGCAAAGTTAAGCTCGAGTAGAAAAAAGACACGCAAATGGATCTGCTGAGTGCTACGAACGTCATCTCGAACATACTGGTAGATGAAATAGAGATACCTGTGAGCGGTAAAAAGCACACACCTCTTGGACTTTTATGTACATGTCTTGCATAGCAGCGATCTCCGCCTCAACCGGGAAAGAGCCATTCCCTGTAGACTCCACGACAGTGGTCTCCCCATCAAGTAGAAAGTTCCATTCGAAGCTGTGTTCTGCAGCAAACCCACAGAGGCGCACCACACTCACGCGGAGACAAACCCTGTTTCTCCCTCTCCATACAAATCGGCACCACAGGCCTATCCATTATGGCGAACACAAAAAATACATGAAGTGCAAATGGGAACCCACAGGGAGACCTCTCGAACCGCTCTGTCTACCCATCTTCTCGGTTGTACTTGCGTGTGGATCATACGCATGTCTCCAATTTTCTACAGTGGAAAGCCGACACCCGTACGCCTGCCTATACAACGATAGGTATGTTAGAGACCACGGTATTCTGCATAAGTGAAGAGACAGGCTTACTCATTCTGGAGACAGGAATCGCCCTCTGCTTCGCATTTAGCTTTCCTCTAAGGGTGTTGAAAATAACGCGAGTGACTTGCTCATATTCCTGCACGTTTTACGCAAACAACACCAAGCGCAGCTGTAATGCGCCTCGTCCAACCCGCGGCGTCAGTGCACCTCTGATGCTACAAATTGCTTTGTCGTTTTGACGGGCTCACGTGTGGTGTTACAGGCCCCAGCTGAACGAGGAGGACTTTAACTGCCTCTTTCTTTGCGTCCTTTTTAGACCGGCCGACACCGGAAGCACGGAATTCGCGGCCCCTGACATTCCACACAACAGTGTGCTGAAATCCTCCATTGCTATCTCCCCCCGGAGCCCTCTCGCAATGTTCCTGAACCGCGGGCTTCATAAACTGCGTCAAAAACACGACACAATACCTCCACACGCATCGGTCGGAGAGGGCACGCGCACCTCCAAGTAACACTTCCCCTGTCCCTTTCCGTCCGTCCTGGTACATATTGCGCGCTGCTCAGCCCATAACCTCCACAATATGTAGGTAACGGAGAACTAGTGCAAGTGGCATGCACGCTACACACTTCCTGCTGCATTAGGAGCAGCCAGAAGTGTACAGCACATGCAATAACGCGTTAAGTGACCTGCTCAGTGCCGTACATACGCATATAATTCCAACGCACCGTCTGTCGGACTCCGTAAAAGTGCAGGATGTACTCGTCGTCGAGTGTGAGTTTGTTGAAAGCCTCAAGTCCCCTATTTCCGAACAGAAGAGCAGTAGCTGACTGAGGGTCACTCCCTGCAGGCCCCGGGCTGACTGGAGGTGCAAAATTGCCTCGCGCTCCATCCGAACCACCCATAGTATATCTGGGTGTTTCCCCTGGGACCCCGACTGAGGATGGCGACTGCGAAGAAAAGCCCGAAGGGGCTGCACCACAGTGAGCACGCTGGAGACCATCCTCCCGGGAAGGGAAGGCCCCTGAATCGTTAGCGGCTGGCGCCACCCCTTGCATACGGAAGGAAGAGAAGCTCCGCGGCATGTTCGGGGCCTGATGGTCTGAAGGAGATGAAGATCCTGGAGGAGGGCTCGTGTCGGGACCTCTAGAGAGGCCAACATTGTCCCGGGTCCCGGAGCGCCTCCAGCGCGCGACCGGCTTTGCCATTATGATACACGGAGAAAAAAGGCTGCGCTGTTGTACAGTGCAGCTGCAGCGTTGCCACCTCGATGCAGTTTGCGCCCAGACGTGAAATGGCTTTTTGGGGTAACTCGGGGCCACGGAGGGTAACACGAATGGGGTTTCTTGGCAATCAGCCGGGGGAATCTGAGTCGTTTTAGACTGTGCAAATGGGGTCAAAGGGCTACAGATGGTCTGAAAGGAGCACGAAGAGGAGGAATAGACACAATTCTGAAACAGATGCTTCGCAGAAACCTGCGGCAATTCTCGCGTGGGAGGGCTAAGAAGCCTTCTTGACGCCAATACCGACAGGGGCATCACGCCTCCCCTCCATGCAGCAAGGAGAGGGAGGGCGTTCCCTGCTGGGAAAACCTGGGGGGCAGCAATACACCGGGAATGACAAGCTGTTGGGCCTGGCCGTGGGGTGGGAACTGAAGAAGAAAACCCAGTTTTGCTGCCTCTAAAGGGTTTAACGAAGCAGCTGGTGTTCTAAGTATATGCAAAAAGAAGAAAAGTTCTAAATGTAAAATGCGGGGCACGAGAAGGGGCCCTCCTTCTTCTGCTGAGAGGGAGGGTTCGGGAAAGACAGATATCTACGACCAAAGGCCGATCTGCGTTTGCGCCCGTGGCAAGGCGTTCGCAGAAGCCACGAAAAGCAGAGGGCCAATTTCAACGTATAAACAACAGTTTGGAACACGAAAAGAACTCATCTTGGACGAAACGCAGAGTGCTTTCGATCCTTGAGAAGGGCTTTTAACCAGCGCTCTTCGGCTGCGTCTGCATGCAACAGGAGTCACTGTTGTCATGAGCCCTCTCAGGGCCTTACACACAGGACGGAACCTTATCAAGAATTTTATTTGTGAATTTTTGGCTTCCGAAAGTTATCATCCTAAAGTTAGAGAGACTGAATGCGCCGGGAGAAGCAGTACATCCCTGCCCACTACGGAGGCGAACACACGGGTGAAGGCGGCAGCAAACCCGTTAGTGCTTGCTCAACCGCATTCACACCCAAGCACATTCATCGTTGCGTCAGATGTGTGATGTATCGGAACTGGGGATTTCTTTGGGGGTTCCAATTGCATTGGCCTGCAACAGCAGCCAGGAATGTGGTTCTGTTACGTGCCTCCCGTCGTCAACAGTGCTTGACAAATTTACAAGGTAGCCGTAATTCGTATGCAAGTAAAGAAAGGCTGGCTGCACGCGGTTAGCGATATCCAATGAGGTACTTCTTGGTCAAAAACGAGAACGACGGCGCACGCTGATTGGCAACTGCTTACACGAGTTAACCGAGGATGGCAGGTTATTGTGGTTGATTTGTGGCTATGGGATTCTCATAGGGAATTGTTTTAGGGTAGCCCTTGATATGTGCTGCGGGGTGAGGGGAATGCTGCATACTGCACGTGGGTTGGTCCCCCCTGGCGAAGTGAGTGTCAATGCTTCTAAAGTAAAAGAGCATTCTCCTACTAGGACCACCGAGAAGGGCATCCGTACCTCAGTGCGTTGGTAGAGCAAACACAAATGGCGGGAGCTGACGAACAGCAGCTGATATGGGCGGAATGTTGGACGGCAAATTTGCAGGGCTAATACTCGATTGCTCCTCTAACTTGCGTTTGGGTCCCTTCGCACTAAAGCCCGCATATACTTGTAATGCCCCCTTCAGCACCTCTTAACTTATCATGGAGGCGTCCACAATGTGCTTGTCAGTCGGCTGTGTCGCTATCAATTGCCCGCCAGAGACCCGCTGTGCCGTGAGGCCCATTGAGATGCCGATCCCATGAGTGCTGTGTGATTGTTACTGCTGTGGCTGATACTACTTCATTATTAGCAAACTGCCCTACCTGGCGTGTGCACCCGCAGGTATCGCTGGCAAGGCTTCTTCTCTATGAAGGCATCTACTGATGTGCGCAGGAGGTATCCGTTGCACGTTAGCTATCGGCAAAAAACGATTGCCAATCTAAAGAAAATGGGAAAACCGCGATGTGTTGGTGGTATATCGCGCATCAGAACTCGTTGGCGCCTACACAAGCAGTTGGCCTACGTTAGGGCACACGCACAGGTGCAAGAAATTCTACCTTTGGTGCTGAAGAGACATTTCCTAGGTAGAAACATTCAACAAGTCTCTGCGCCGCAGGGAGTTTCCATTAAATGGAGCCCGTCCTCCATTCATAATCTCCCCGTAGTCTACACCGTGTGTGGGGGCCACCGGACATCCCTGAGCCCTCTCCCTCTATATATGCAGCGGCAGCAACAGCTGCTCCAGATGCTGCTGCATCACTGTGAAAAAAGTGGGCACATTCATCCGTAAGAGCATCCCAGTGTCCCTCCCCTCACTGTCCTGCAACTGCCGTAGAAGGAATAGCATACATAGTACCATTCCCATAGTAATAGTATCTCTACCGGATATTCCATGCAAACCAAACGGGGAAGCCCCTACACCTAAGAAACTCCAGGAAATGAAAGGGTCAGCCGTTGGCAAAATGGCTCCAGAAAATCTCTGACTCGTCCCCTTCGCGCTGCAACAGCACACAAAAGAACAGTGCTCCAGTCCGGATGGTGCTGCAGCAGCTCGACCGCGTAGGGTGGAGCAAAAAACGGCCGGAACAGCAGCAGCAACACGCCAGGCTCATACTGACCTCGAGGTAAAGCTGTAGCTGACCGGGCAGGAGGTTGAAGGCCTGCATTACCTGGGCCTTCACAGTTTCTAGATCCTTCTCTGGGAAAAACGCAACTTTGGCCCCTACCCACAACCACGCCGTGACTATCGCTGTCGCTGCTGCTGTGGACGACGAAAAAACAGCAGCATCTGCTGCCCCGGTGCCACAAATCTCGTTACCCTCAGCCACAAGCAGGAAAATCTTGTCTGGGAGAAGATCTTCGGAGTCAAATAGGACCAGTGGTTCTCCTAGGTCTGGGAGACAGAACAGCTTAGCTGTTGACTTGGCACTGCCCGTTGCTGGTGCTTCTGCTGATATCCCATCCGCGGGGTTTCCACACAGTTCAAAAGACCGTCGCAACGATGGCGCAACGGAAGATACTCTGCTGCTCATGTTTCTGCTGCTCTGTGGCTGGCCTGAAGTTATTTCACACGACCTTGCCTGCCACTCTGCTGCTCCCTCCAGCACGTTCGGTCTATGGGTCGCTGGTGAGTCTTGGTGGGTCCCAGCAGCAATAAATGCACCTTCAGAGACTCCAACTTCGCCCAGATCCGCAGGAAGGTCAAAGGCGCAGTAGTCTCTCCAGCGAAACGGCTCTTCGGACTTCTCCGGCGCCATCGGCTCCAACTGAACGGAGCAGAACCACAACAAGCACAGCAAATGTAGTGATAGCTTGTACCCCGGGCTGTAGGGGCAACTGCAGCAGCAAACACAAGGATCAGAAGATGTCCTGGCGTACTCCTGAGAGAAGATCGGGGGTTCCCAGATGTGCTGTCCCTTCCCGTATACCCAGAGTCAGCCAGAAGGCTGACGGTTCCGAGCCTGGTGAAATGTAGTGAAGCTCAATGTCTGAAGGCCATCACAAAAAAAGAGCAAGTACGATGGAACGAGCTCTAAGCATTTAGGAGACAACTCTATGTGAGGGACGCTGCGTTAGCAAAACTGGGGGATGGTCGTCCAGTCCAAAGCTTCAGTCGCAAAACCAAAGCTAGACAGGACCGGCGACTAGGTCTCGCCTACTGCATACTTCATACTTCAATTACAGGCGACAAGACACACTTGGGACGACGATAGAGCCTTCAGGCAAAGTTACTACGAGGGGGTTGCAGGGGTAGGGAGCTACCACTTACTACGACGTTCTACAAGCACCACGTTCTCTTGATAGTTCCGCGCTGCTTCCTGGACTTCTGCCGTCGTGCGAAGGCACCTTCTGCTGTCCATCCACACCCAAGCCTGGCCCCCACCCCTCAACATATAAGCCCCTCGTTCCGAGATTACGGGCAACACCCCTGGTTGCCACTCCGTCATTTCTGACCAAAGTAAGAAATTGGGGGAGTAGGCAGAATGCACAACAAGATGAAGCAATAACACGCAATCCTCCACAACGGAAGATGTCCCTGCGACTGCTGCTGCTACCGTAACTGGTGCCGCAGGAGGCGATGGTAGGGGCGCGAGTGGTAACGCTGCTGTTGAACTTATGGACGCGTAAGGGACATCTCCTTGTGGGGGCATGCCGCTGCCTTCCCCCCTGTCTCCCCCAGGTCTAGGTGGTGCGCATATGCGGGGGGCTCTGGGGCCAAGCCCCCTATTAGGGGTCCCTGGTTCGTCCACATCGAGCGTCGACCCTGCGATTCGGGTTTTCTCAGCAAGCCTAGCAGCACTAGATAGCTCAGAAGAGACGATTGATGAAGGAGGAGCGCGGGGCCCAATAGCCCTCGGTGTGGGGGTCCCCGAAGCCGGGTGTACAACTGGGGAGATGCGGCCCTCCAAGGGAGACCCCGCTCTTTTTGTGCCCTTCCCCGGCGTCGTGCAATGCCTGTTAGATCCTGGAGAAGAAGGGGCTTCTGATAGTAGATCCCCCATTGACGGAGGGCTCCTCAGAGCCTCCTGTCCATCTTTTGAAGCAGCGGGATCGACATTTAAGATAGACGCGCGTGGATTCCGCAGGCCTAAGCGCTTCTGCAGTAGCAGCAACTGAAACGTGAAGCCTGTGTTAGGGCTACAGATAGCACGCCGACTCCTCATCTGAAGGGATGCACAAAAACAACGCAAACACGAGACGTATAAGGGAAGCGAAGAGATACAGGCAAGGTGAAGGATGAACCACCCAGAGAGCCCAGCGAAATAACCTGCTGCTATTAGTGTTGCTGCTGACATGAGTCTTGCGGGTGGCAACAACGACCTCCGCTACTGTTCCTTTGGAGGCGCTACTCTCGAAGCCATACCCGTTCAAAAGCCTCAGCAAAAGGCAGGCGGAGTCTCCACATAAGGAAGGCGATTGCGAGAGTGGCTGACCTCGACACACCTTCTTTGCAGTGTATCAACACTCTGTGGCATGCCTTGCTGCTTCTGCCGCCACTGCTGCTGTTGCAGTCGCTATGTTTGCTGTATATGTTGCTACCTGTGGGACTATCGGCACAGTCTGTGTAAGGGGCGTTAGCACCACCAGCAGAAGCATGCGCTGCCGCTGCTGCCTCGCCGCACTCGCCGATCGCTTCCGATATGAACCTTATGCAATCATAAAAAACACACATGATATCCTGTTGTCGTGTGTCCTTGAGGTAATACGTCTTGTAGGTAAGGATATTAGCAAACACGTTTGGACAAATGTCGCCGATCGTGTTGACCACGTGGGTTATACCGGCTCGCTGCAAACACTGTACAGACACAGCAGAACCCACAGCAGGCACCACTGCTGATGTTTCTGCTACTGCTGTCGCCACTCACACGTGGAGGAAAGGCAGTCACTGGGAAAAACAATCCTCACTACCGATTGCTAGGCCACACGACTCAATAGCTGCCACTGGGGTAGTTCTGTAAAAAGGCTGATCGATCCCTGGTCGCATTACCTCTAAGTTGCAAGCAGCAGCAGCCCCTGACACGAACAGCCGGCCTTCATACACATCACTTATGACACTTCTGAAGTTGACGAGCTGCTGCTGCCGCGTGCGGCTATACAGGCCCATGCCCTCCTGAGATAAGACACACAAAAGCCCCAAACGGGAGGACACAGCTGCCCGTACTAATCCCTGCTGCTTTTAGTTCGGCCGCAGCGTCTACCATAGAGCCGCCCAAAGGGGGCGAGAAGGTCTCTGCCTCCTCCGCACCCAAAGTAGTCTGGTAAACTGCCATCTGCGCTGCTTCTGCCTCGATTCCTGTGATCGTGTCTACTCCTGGCAGTGCCCGCCACGTCACTACTCTGTACCTCCTCAGTGCGTCTCCTTCGAGATCCAAAGCTCTCCCTGAACGATCCTGCTTTGCTACCCTCGCTGCTGTGACACTGCAGACCCCCCGGAGAGGCAGCAGGAGAGAATAGCAAGCCCGAGGGGTGCAGCCTTCCGGGTGACCGTGCTGGAACACCTGACAGTCGAGCACCTGCCGAGACAGTCTGTTGTTGCTGATTCGGGGAGGGACCAGCTGCAGCTAAATCGAGAGATGAGCTGGAGTCCCTACCACCTCCTGCTCGTGGAACGGCGGAGGCAGCATATGATCTCTGGCTATTTAATCTCTCTCCCTCCTTTTGTAAGACCATCGTCGACAGGCCTCTGCTTCCCCCTGTTTGGGGGCTCAAACAAACCTCTGCTGCTTCTGTTCCAACAGTTGCTGCCGCAGCACATGGACTTTTCTCCCCGAACCCCCCCAGTCTGGGAATGGATAGTTTGGGGACGCCCTGTAGGCGAATACCCCCTAGTCGGGGGGGGCCGGTAGGAGCCCCATGTTGCTGCTGTCCTCTCCCTGGACCTGCCGAAGGGGTCATTTCGCCCGACGACGAGGCTGGGGAAACAGGACCAGGTGAGGGCGAAGAGCTGTTCTCGGTGCCGGGGAAGTCAGCAGCATGACGACGAGGGCTTCCGTTGTCCGGGGGGCCCCTGCGATTTGAATTGCTGCCGCTGAGAGGTATGGAATCCTCCAATTTCGGGCTGCTCCCTAACGGCTGCAACTGGAAGTGGGGTAGGAGCTTGATTGGAAGGGTCAGGCGGGGCACGACAGGCGCAGTGTGCGCGGGCCTGCTCTCTCGTTGTTGCTCTTGCTCTTGATGTTCCTGCCGAGTTTGCTGTTTCTCCAACTGCTGTCGCTGCAATTGGTCATTCTGAACGGCTCTCCCGGGAGAAGCCTCTACAGCCTCCTCTTCAAGCTGGGAGGCTGGCACTCCTATGGCTACTGCTGCTGCTGCGGTCGTTACTGCTGCTGCTGCGGTCGTTGTTGGTGTTGCTGCTGCTGCTGCTGTGGTGGTGGTTGCGGTTGGTGGTGCTACCGACTCCGGTTCTGTCGCCAACTCTGAAGCTGCAACACCAGTCCGAGAAACAGTTGGAATAGAAGGAGAAACTCCACAGGTTAGTCTGGGCAGCCTAAGCAGCAGCCGCAGCAGCAGCACATTGCGCTCAAGCAAGGCAACCCCATCCAGGAGGACCGGCTTCTGCTCCTGCGGGCTCCCCGATCCATCTCCTCTCTCACACGCTTCTACCGTAGGCCAACAGCTCGGCCCCCCCTGCTGCGGGCATATAGCGGCGAAGGAAGCCCATGGCAACAGTGTGGCAGGAGATATGGGGACTCCCCTTTGTTCGCAGCTCTCCAGAGCCTCCACGAGACGGAGTGTGCGCAGCCGCGCGTGATCCTGCAGCGGAAGTAGTAGCAGAAGCAAAAATAGAAAAAAACAACCTCTAAAGCAACTAAAGCCACATTCGTTGAACGTCTAGGACAAAGTTGAAGAATTATAAGACAGGAAAGCAAGTCTAAAATCGGCACACAGCGCGACACTCACCAGGATGTAGCGAGGTGCTTCCAATCCTTCCCAAAGGTAAACGGCCCACAGGTGCTGCTGCTGCTGCTGTTGGTGTCCCCCAGGATTGTTCCCTGACCCTGTACTGGGAACTTTGTTGGACTCCTGGTTGCCAATCCTGCTACCTACATCTCCTCGCGTGACGTGCTGCTGCTGATGTTGTTGCGGGCTGTGCGAGCAGCAGGCACACACGTGCACAGCATGCCAGACACTGTGGCGGCGGGTGTCTGCCGCAATACGAGTTTCTGCTTGAGTTAGTAGATGCGCTAAGTCCTCACTGAGCAGCGCTGCAGCGGCCCTCAAGCTGCTGCTACCGCTGCTGCTGGCATTGCTCTGTGCGGTTTGCGTTGAACCGGCGTTGGGCCCCGGTGTCCCGGTGGGGCTTTGGACCTTTGGAGGTGTCATGCTCCGTCTCCTGTCAGGAGGCCTCTCAGAAACGTGTCTCATAGCTTGTCGTTGTTGCTGTGGCTGCTGCTGCTGGTCTGCAGTGTATGCGTGGATGACTAAATAGCAACTTGAGGGGTCAGGCTGAGGGGCCCCCGCGCCGATGACACGCCTCCACGAGCTCCTATCCGGAGCTCCCTTCCCTCCCCTTCGTGGGCTGGTGTCCCCTGAAGTTGAGCTGTTGTGCAAGTTAGTGCTGCTGCTGCTGCTGCTGCTGCTGCTGCTGCTGCTGCTGCAAGGTCTTGTGAACCCCTTGTCAGAGGCATCCCGAGTCCCGGGGGCCCCTTTTATGGATCCACCAAGGGGCAAAAGCGACTCGCAGCAGCCGCACCTCCCTGGAGCACCTATGCGGCACATGCGCCAGGCGACAAGCAACTGGTGGTGCTCCAACAAGCAGCCTAATGAGCTGCTGGGACAAGGTGTCTCCGGGGCCTCCACTTGCTGGCTGCTGTTTCCCCACAACCGCAGCGCCTGGATGACCGCATCCAGTGTTTTGTCACCATCTTGTGTTAGCCACAAACTCATGGGTGGCCTTCGCTTCATAGATGAAGCAGAAGCGGGCAAAGATGGACCTTCATCCCTCTTCTCTGAGGTCCCCGGGACACCGGAGATGGAAAAGAGCTCCGGAGGAGCCTTCTCGAACTGGATTGTGCTTCCTACGCCACCCATTTTCGGTCTTAGGGAGCCTCTGCTCCAGCTCCGCTGTTCAGAGGCCGTGCCGCGGGTCTGGGAGGACAATGTGCTCCTGACGACCCTATAGACCTTTGCTAGCCATGGCGACTGTAGCAGTTAAAGCCACGGTAGGCTTAATGGGGACACCCAGTAGCCAGGCAACAAGATACTCAACGGAGGCGGAGGTGTAGGCTTTCGTTCTCAAACTGAGGCGCCTTTTATCCAAAGATAGCAGTAGGGGCCCCTAAACTCTACTCTAGCCGCGTGCTATGCCACAAATGATTCGGGTTGCCTGCAACGAAGTCTGCCGATCCTGGAGACGACAGCAGCAGTAGAAAGCAGTTCGAAGTGGAGCTTGTGGTCCACTGGTGTAATGCGAAGGGCCCCGCAGATGCCTCACTCCTACAGTCACGCAGTTGTGTCGCAACAGCAGGACGGGTGATGACGGCTGGAGGACAGGGACGTCCTCCCGACCCTATTCAGGCACTGAGAATAGTGTAAAATAAACAATGTCAAAGACAGTCAAGGGCAGGAAGTGCAAAGGGATGCTGTTGCTGCTCCTGCACTGCCCCTGCAGCAGCAGGAGGCGCGACCCGGCTGCTGCAGGCGTTTCGTTTGAGTTCACTGCAACGAAGCCCGTCGTTGCTTGGTGCTATTGTCTTGAGGCTGAGGCCCCGTAAGGAGTATTCAAAGGCCCTAATGACTTGCATGCATTCCTTTTATTCTAGAGAGAGCAAGAAGGGGAGCCCCGTGTGGACTGTCACGGTTCCTGCTGAGGCTGCCGCCGCCGTGGGGCCTGCTGCCATTTTGCCTCTCCGTCAAAGTACAACAGGAAAGGTCTAAGTGCTCTTCTTTGAATTTACAAGATAATAAGGATTTAAGTGTATTCTAATGGGGATGTGTGAGCCTTGAAATGCCTCTCCTTCATGCAGGCGCATGTGCACCGCCGAAAACTGGCTCCAGAGCGCAGACCAGGCCGCCGCTAAGGCCCCAGACCGTCACTGCCCATAACGAGCCTCGGAAAGTGCCCATCTTCCTTGAGAAGAGTCTTCCTCTTGCTAAATGTGTTTAATCTACTAAGTTTTGTCTTCAACTTCCGACTGGACCATCTGCGTCTTGCAGTCAGGACAGGCTTCGCGACCGCCGTGCCCTCTGAGTCGGGCAGCAGACCAGGGGCCCTCGCAGCTCGTAGTTTCGGCTACGCATGCATTTCCGAACAGCGAACTCACTTGATCCGAAGCACGCTGTCTTTTAATTAATAGCACACATCGTTTTGCGCTCTGTTGGTAGTCGGAGTGGCCCTGAACGGAGTCTTGGCGATCGCATGTTACAGGTGTTTAGAGCTGCTTTGCCTCTCCGGACCCTCGTCTTCTCCTGATCAACAAGGAACCATTTGATTCAGGATATCCAATCCTCATCTGGCTAGCCTGAGAGGGGGAAAAACGCCTACAGGGTCCGCTGTGCTCTACATAAACCTGGCGTTAAGCATCAGTCATGCAGCAGCAGCGGCAACGGCAGCAGCCATCTCAAGGGCAAAAGCACACCACAGTTTTATCCGGCGATGTTAACCTATGGGGCCTCCTTGGAGGAGGCTCCTCCAGTGAAGGAGATAATCCTGGAGGTGCGGATGGCATACATGGAATTCAATGCCGAAGCGGTCGCCCGCCTTGAGAACAGGAACAAAGTGAGCTTCAATATGCTTTGGCTCGTGTTTGTCTATGAAATGGAGTATTATGAAATTTCCCCCCTGTCAAGTTGGCTAGCCGCATGCGCCTAAGAAGAAACGTGCGCAAGAACTGGAACGTGAAGAGTGACATAGGCTGCTACGGCTGCTTGTGCCCGATGCGTGGCCGCTGAGGTCGATTGCACCCAGGCGAGGAGGCACAACAAGACCAACGATGGTAATGGGGACAACATCCATCTGGTGGCTTCCTTAAGGGCATCCCTAGGAAATGCTCTTTTGTTTCTCCTGCTGCAGCTCTCCATCGCCGTCATTTACAAGGGAGAGGACCTCGCTCAGGCATGTGGTGATGGTCGGCGGGTCTCTTACAAGGTTTTTAGGAGGAAGATAGATGATATCTCGGTAAAAGCATTCAGTATCTGCCCCGATGCTGCCTTTTTGCGTCTGCTGTTGCTGACATTCCTGCCGCAGTCTTCGAGTTGCCGTGCGCTAGCAAGCTCTGTCGTTGCAAAGCCGCCGAAGCTTTCTGCGTAGATGGTTCAATTGTGGGTTTTTCGCTTGGTTGAATTTGTTTGCATGCAGGTCACTCTAACTCTCAACAGTACCTTTCAACTTCCCTTCAGCTCTGCGTTTCCCATGGCCGCCCCCAGTTTGGAGATTTATGTGATGATGGTGTGGAAGCATCCTTTTTTTATTTTAGCATAGCATAGGAAGCTTTGGCTCTCTCCTGTAGCCTTAGCGCTCCATCTGTTATGTGAGTGAGTGTCTCCCAGCAGCTCCGTCGGTGGGCTCATTGCTATTGCTGTCTGCAATTGCCGTCTGCTCAGGAGAATCTGTCTGACCTCCGTAAGTGTGTTGCCAGTGCAAGGATATCTCTGGGCAGGCGCTGCAGAAGTCTCTCCTGGCTTCTTCGCACCAATAAGTACAGCCTGTACTTAGGCACTAATTCGGCAAGAGAAGCAGGTGGGCGTTGATTGAATTTTTTGTGCAGGAACAGCGGCTGCTAAATCCAGATAGAGCGGCAGCGATATTGAGCGGCCCAGTTGATCCCTCAGCGACTTCCAGGCTCTGCAGTATACGACCGCCGGCGAGGTTGCGGACGATCATTGGAAAAAAGGGTGGCAACGGGGTGTGTGCACACTGCGATGCGGGGTAGGCACTGTGCTCATGGGTGTGCGCCTGGGTCACACTGTCGTCCGAACCAAGAGCTTCAGCTTCTATTGGGGTCCAGAGCTGCGCTTGGGCTTAAAAGAGCCTAAACATGAACGGTACGTGCTCCATAGACAAAGTTTTCAATGCAGGAGACCCATCTTCTGCTCTCGGTTTCATTGTAAGCATTGCAAATCTGAAGTTTGCTACATGATGATGAACACTTGGGGTACATCCAGTGTCAGGTTGCAGTGTGCCTCCCTGGTGCCTTTTAACGTTGGTAGCTGCGGTTTCGTCCTTGATCCCTCAGACAACTGCCGAACTTAGTCCCTACTACGGAGGAGGATGCTCGAGCCACGCTTTCCATCTTACGGCAAACGCGAAAGAGTCTCGTGGAGCAACGAATTGCCGCTGTTTCTATTGTAAGTGCTCGCCTTTTTTTGATTGAGTTTTACGTTATTCTTTTCCTCAAGTCCCTTAGGAGTTCCACCGTCGCAGAGCCCATGGCGCGGTTTGTGTCTTGATGGCACAGGTGAAGATTCGGGCTTGAGTGGTTGCTTTTTCTTTGTGAGATTTGCAGCCAATTTCAGGAGAGCCGGAGTTCAACCTTAAAGGCCTAACATCGCATATTGACGAGCTTCTTGTTCAGATGAAACGTGATGGCGTCGTTGTTGTCCCGATGATTACGCAGTTGAAGGGAGGTTCGTGGGTGCTTTGATTACTGTTGGGGCCATCATGACTGTACTCGTCTTCCCCCGGAGGGTATGCATGTGTTGTTCCTGCATGCTGTCAGCTGTTCTACTCAACAACCAACAGGATGAGTTGCTGTGGGATTGATGGCTCAGGGGACTGCTCTGCTGGCCGCTTTACTTCCTTTTTCCTGGATAGCCATCCTTACCGTATCCTTGCGACCACCCCTATTCCTTGCTTTAGCCCTGACACGGTTGTTAGGGCGACGGATGGTTGCATACATGAACGAACAAGCACACACGGTGAGGTCCAGTTTCCTAGAAGTACAGGTTAAAGCTTCAAACGCGCATGAGAAGCTACTAAGGTGTCTCTAGATACATGTGCTGCGTGCTTGCTAACATGTGTATTCTGCTCTGGACGATATCCAACGCAGGCTTTTTGGGGTGGGATCGATGCGCGACCAACACTTTCGACTATCTCTTGGACAGAGCAGTTTTCATGGAAACCCCCGCCTCAGTGAAGTCGGGCATCTGTTTGGTAGGAATATGATCCTTGCCGTGGTGTCCTCCCATGCTATTTGTTCACAGTAGAGGCACATATTTTGAGGGCAGAAAATGCTTGGAGGCTTCACAGTCGTTCTTTGTTGTGAAAGCTACGAATTTGTTGTGCTTACCCCTACTACAATCAGGCCACGGCAACCCGCTTGCACAAGTGTATCCTCAGCACCTGCCAGGCTGTGTGTTGCGCGTCGACATACTCCTTTTACGCGGCCCAGTTTGCAGTTCAGATTCTGGAGGAAGTGGTCTTCGAGCCCACTGCGGACAGCCTGCTCATTGTAAACTGCCAACGCCCTTCTTCTACGACTCCTGGAGACCCTCATTTCAGAAGCCGTAGAAGTGCTGCTTCATTCCCAAAAGGGTTTGCAACGATTTCGCTTGAGGCAGAAACCCCTAAGTGTGCAACGCCTCTGTGGTTTTTCCGCCCTTTCATGCTTTCAGGGATCGCTTCCGTTCGACAGGACCAAACAAGGCTGCGAGTTACAAGCCGGGAGGCAGCAGCACAGTGGAGGCAATAGTGAGCAGAATTTTTCAAAGGAGGTCATCGAGGAAAAGCCGTATCTTTCTCCCGTGAGGCATTCCCAGCTTAACGAAATCCGAAGCGGCCTGGACAAGTGGAGAGACCGGTGCCACTTCCGCAGACTTGCAGCCGGACATCCCCTACGTATATTTGCCCTATTCAAACGCGACCAGGTCAGCTGATATGTTCCCATCTGCAACATCCTGAGCCCTGTACAGCGGGAATTTGTCTCTTTTTTCTGTTATGGAACTAGGTAACGTGTTTGTATGATGCTGTGTTGACGCTTGATACTTGGGGGATGCCTCATGCTGCAATTGTGGAGTCTGCAGCTGTTTGTGAGCGGGCAAGCCATTGGTGGTTCCCGTTCAGGGTTACTCTTGGCCATTCTTGTCTTAGGAGATGAGCAAGTCGATATGGAGGAGGCGAGCAAGTATGGCGTTCACTTGCAACCACACAAACACTGGCGGCTTAGGTATTGCTGCCTTTGGCCTGTCCGTTTCATGCTTTCCGCTCCGTTGTCTTCTGAGCATTGCTGTTGCAATAAAACTAGCCCAGGAGACATGCAAAAGATATTGTGAGCTGTCAATGCTATTTTCTCACAGGGTATATGGAATAGAGATTCAGGCGCAGAGGATGATGAACGACGCAATTGTCGAATTAAAAAGGCAGTCCACCGAGGGCAGTGTGAGCAAAGAGCTACCTCTTTGGGGCAATGGGACAAGGGTTTGTTTCTCTCAATATAGCTATCAGCTCCGTACCCCCTATGGAAACATGATCTAGGAGCCAGGTGGAATCTCTTTTCAGATGGGTTTCAATTGTTTACAGGCTGAAGGATCGAAAAGCCTAAGATTGACGAGTCTAACGCCCGTCCTTATGACAGGTGAGCCCGAACGTTGGTTTGCACCTAACTCCCTTTTTCCCCCGGCCTTGTGCTGGTATGGTTGATAGTGTATTGCTGGCTTGGGTTTTAGTGGTAGTGCGCATCAGCTTGGTGATCGACCCATCTCCTTTTTGTTTCCATGTGCTATTCCATTCAGCCGTGGACTACAAAGGTTTTCGAGTTGTAGTATTCCCTTTGCCCGAATCTGTACCAGAAGTCATCGCATGGCCTCAGCCCCTGTCTGCTCGTGTTCGCCACGTGAGTCACTAAAGAGCTCCATGTCCTGTCGTTACAGTGCCTTCCACTAATTACTGTGTTTTACGCGGGTATGTCTTTCTTTCATAGACGCATTTCTGAATTTGATTCCTGCAGGAAATCTCTTTCATCGAGAATAAGCTCAACATTTGCAATCTGTTGAAACCAGTTTCATCCCAAAACCCTCCTCAGGACATGACCGTTCTCTTGTCAGTGAAGAACAGAGGCACTGACATGATGATGCTTTACCGCGTAAGTCCAAACATTCTTCCCGGTATACACTCCTTCCTCAGTTCACACCACATTCGCACGGTCTTTGGTGCGCTCACTATCTGGCAGACATGCTACGCACTTCCACCTTTTTCTGGGAAGGAAGCAGGCGACCGCGGCTCTCAGCCATCCATCTCTCAGCGTCTCCGAACTGTTCCGTTTGTATATTCCGCCGACATGGAGATGGCCTTGAAGAATTGCCAACACAATTCCCAGCAGACACCCGCAAAGGTCAGCGTTTAGAGTAACTGACTGAAGATACTTGCCGTTAGGCCTGGCCTTCTCCGAGACTTCCAAAGGAGGCAAAATACAGCGCCAACACCTTTGCCTTGGCATTTCGAGTGCCCGTTAGGTTTCTTGGTGTATTTACTTTGCAGCCAACTGTTCCTGGTCAAACCTATCAGGACCCGATTGTCCGATCGCCGTTTAGTCGCTTGTATGCCCCCATTGACGAACTGTAAGACCTCTATGCCTTTTGAACAGATGCAGATCGAGATATGCCAACAATCCCGTGAACGGACGCAATTAAAATGCAATCCATGGTAGTTTGTTTCCGTATGTGGCTAAATCTGCTCCGAACGCAGCGTCCACTTTATTACAAACGCGTACAGCCGGTCTTATAGGGGCAATGTCGAGCCTGTCGTCTGCGGAGGTGGGATCCCTGGGAGGAAAGCCCAGCGTCTGGGGACTCTGGTGAAGTCGGTTATCCTGGACGAGTAGGTCACCGCTTAGTGCTTCGTGCGCTGCTTTTGCGAATAACAGTTCTCCGATTCTGGAAGTTGTTCAGTGTCTACTTTATATAAAGCGACGCTACACTGAGATTGTGCTGTTCACGGTTGTTGCAGTGCTATAGCAGAACTGGAGCGAATGGACCCTTATGGCCCATACGACTCAATATCGCTGACGAACTATCTTCACCGGCGCGGCATTAACATTCGCCTTTTAGGTGGGCTAGAGGACGGCAAGCCAGTCAAAGGCTTAATTCATACTTCTGGTTACTATTTCTGGATTGTTGGTGAACACACTGGTGTGATTGTGGATTAAGGAGCACATTCAGTTACTTGTGTTTTCTTCAAAGGCACGATGTATAAACGGACAAGAACTCCATGGCTCCAGCACATGCTCTTGGTGGAAGTCGTGGGCAAGTCAACCCCTCTGAGGCCTACGTTGGCTAAGGTTTAAGCACCTTCATCTCAAGCGCATGAATGCAAATGTGCTATGGTTGCGGGTTGATTTGGTGTTGAGTGCGTGCGTGGGCTTTTGCAACTGTTTCCCTGCAGCCCGCACGCTAAAACAACTGCTGAAAGGAGTCTTCCGGCGGTTGGTGTTTTGCACGAATATGGAACTACAAGCATCTGAGACGGCGAAAGTTGCTGGTGACAGGATTGCACTGTTCTTGAACTTAGCCGTGAAGCTTATTTACTAAGTAAATAAAAAATCATATAGTTGGGCATCTGCTTGTCATTTACAGAGAATCAACTTGTCTTGTTCTGTCATTGCAGAGGCTTTAAGCTCTCTGCTGCGGGGCGGAGGCCGCGAAGCTGACGTATTTAAGGTATCTGCCTTCCCATGGGCCCACGGCACACGCGCTTCTGTTTCCCACTATTATGTAGTTTGCATCTATAAGCACAGCCAGTCCTTATGATGTCAGCACTTTTGGCAGTCCGACTTGATTGTTCATATGCTACAGGCAGCCAAAAACGATGAAGGGGAAAGTGTGGCCAGCAGCGATGATTCCTCATACTATGAAGACTTGATTAGGGGGCAAGGTGAGCACTTGTTGAGCTTGTGCTGACAGGCTAACCTGAGCTTACGCGATTCCGCTTAGCCAGAGCAGCAGGTCGCCATTATTTTTTTCCCATTGTGGTATCGTCTCCTTTGTACTGCATCTGAGTTTTCTCATTGTGATATCATCTCTTCGGTACTACATCTGAGTTCTTTGCAGACAAAGGGGTACGGTACAGCAGGGAGTCGTTGCTGAGGGAAAAGTTTCTGCAGCTCCCCCTATCCGTTGCCTCTCGGTTACTGGATGACTCGCCCTACTTGTTAGACTTGACTAGACATAAATTTCGCGTTTTTTTTTGGTAAGCTGTCTTGTAATGTAGCTACGCATAACTGAATGGTCAGCCACGCAGTGGCTGTGTCGGGTTATTTGGCCTTAGATTTTGGATGGCCTCCTATATTTCAGGTAGTTTCACTCTACCAAGCCATGGAATGCATTGCTTTGCCGGTCATTGGATACTTCAGGACGGACCTCGTCGCTCTGAACTTGTTCAACGTGACCCTAGGATCCTGCATGGAGTCTCATGAATTCTGGATAAACTTTCTAAGTCGCAGGTCTCTTTGTTTAAGACTTTACAGCTTTGATCGTTTGCGAAATGTGCAGCAAGTAATGCACAAGCGCTGCAATGCTTTTAAGTTCCAATAGTTGCATCAAGGCGCTTTGCTTTGTATTAGGTGTTCTGAGCTATTTGATGTCGAGGCGTCGATGGTGCGGAGACATAGAATTTACCTGCCAGCTCTTTACATATCACTGCAGGTATGTCAGGTCTCTTCAAAATTTTATGGGGCCAACAAACGTTGCCTGGTAACTAAGTATGCTTATTGATCAAGTTGAGTTTCTCGTTGTGAGGGTATCTGTATTGCCATTGCAGCACCACTGCGGCATCAGCTTCTTTCCTTGCGCGGCCACACTTGGCCGGATGCTGGAAAAGCCATTTCCCCTCATGCCTTCGCATATTCGAGTGCGTAATGGCGACTACTGTAGTAGTGCAATAAGAAGACAAAAGGCCAGCGACTGTTGAGACTAGGCCAACCCAACTTCGTTGTAGGGCGGATCCCTTTATGGCGGGTGGATTTTTGCCTGCAGAGTTGGATGCCAAAGCTCTCGCGTTCCGTCACAGTGCCTAGTTCTCTACCACTTCTTTCCCTTGTCCGAGATCCTTCGAGGCTGCCACTAGCTAATCCATCTTGTTCAACGCTCATCCAAAGCCCGTCTCCAGCTCAGACAGTCGTGTCACGACTGATTGGTCATGTAGTATTCCAGTGCAGTAGCCCCTTGTGGCACACGCGTACGGAAATAAGAAAGGGGCTGAGCGCATCCACTGTTGCCTCGATGTACAGCACCACCCAGGGGCATCCCTTGCTAATCGAACAGGCAAGCTTTCCTACCTCCGCCTCTGGAATTATATATACTCAAGGGGGAGAAATTTCTTTTTGCCATGGCAACCGTACTGTTAGACGAACAGCAAAATGAGCTTGTGTGTTCTCAATGACAACAGGATTCTTGGGATGTTGAGGAGGCCACAGTGGAGCTTGTAGGCGTTGCTTTGAGGTAACGACACCAAAGCGTTTCTGAAAAATGTTTCCACGCTTCTTTTCCCGGATTACTCTAGGGAATGACTGATGCTCGATTATATAGTACTGCATGCGCATGCAGGTATGAGGCTTGGGACGTTGGTCACTTGCTGGCTCAACGGTGTATCATGCAATACCCCGAGGCGCATGCAGCATCGGTAAGCCTGTTTGATAGCACTAGGTCTATTCAACAATTTGGACACCGCATCCAGGCTTGTAAAGGACTAAGGCGGCGTTGCCTTTTGCTGCAGGTGCCGGCACGTTTGTTGCTTCTCCTAGCAGCTACCCATGGCTCGGGGAAGCCCCCTCCTAGCTCACAGCTTGCAGCCACCACCTACAGGATCCAGCGTTTACTAGAATACCACTGGGGAGGTCATCATCCTGCCAGCTTAGATGTGACTGTTGCACAGGCTTGGTAAGCTGGACATGGAAAATTATTGGAAAAGGCATCCGTGCTAATGTCTTAGTCTCCACAGCAGTATCCCAAGCCTGTTTTGGTTTGCACTGTGGGCTTTTTGCTGCCTCTCTACTAGCCTGGATTTGATCAATACGGTTTGGCGAAGAGAGTATGAAAGTTCGAATGGCTCTTGATTGTATTCGTTGTACCATTTTTTCAGGCTGTCATATCTTGGTCGGGACTGGAGAGAGTGCATCTCGGGGCTGCAGGCTGCTGTATCCCTGAGCGCTGCTCTGTCTGTTTCTCAAAACTCGGAGGATGTAAGTGCCCTGCGCTCGTCAACTTCGTAGCGAATATTTCATCACAGATCAGAATGCCAATCGCTTGATGACTTTGGTGTTCACTACAGCCCTTCTGTGTTTGTTGCTTTGTTATGGCGTGGATGTGCAGCTCAAGAGTCTTAAGCTGCTTCTTGACGTCATTGCAACAGATGAAACTTCCAAAGTAGGCGATTTTGCACAGTGGCGCAGGTCAATGCAGACAGGCCTCCCACCGCTTACAATCCTGTCTCCTCAGAGTTCGTCCTGTCCCCGTGTCTCTGTGATCTTTGCGAAGGTCCCCGCTGGAATACCGCCGGCGCCAATCAATCCAAAAATGGCCGGCCTCCTCAGGATGCTCGCACACTGCAAGCTCGTCCTCGCGTTTGGTCGCCGCAGCACGCTACGTAGAGTCCGCAAGCTGATTGGCAGTATCGGTTGTCCCCGTCGTGCCAACAATGCCACTCTTCCTCAGCTCCCAGCCAAGGGAGAGTCTGAGGGTACAGTCTGGCTGGAGCGCTGTGCTATTGCCGTAGGACTTGGTTACAGAGGAGCAGAAGGCTTTGATGGCAAATGGCGCATGCCTCATGCTACAGTGGGCTTTGGATGCCTACGACTTCCATTTTGTAGGGTTTCCCCAGACACCAATTTTTTCCAGGGCAGTGCTAACAGACTCGCCAGTTTACTACTCCGGATAGTATCACAACGGGCGGCCTGTCATGTTTGTTTGTGTAGGGGACCAGACATATGCTGACGATGACGGCGGCGCGAGAGTTTTCACTGTCGTTGTTGCTGCTCATTGAATCGAGAAAGAGCGACGCGGGCGGTACCATTTTGCAGAGAGGAGTCGACATTGCAACCAAAACGTTGCAGGTACTTTGTTCATTGGTCTTAATTGAGCTCTGCGTACCTTCTAGCCACTTTTTCTGGAACCAGCCCAAGGTATTACGATAGGTTATTCTCGCCATTTGCGTCTACGAAGATACGCTTGTGTTGTGTTCTGCTTTGCTCGTGTCGTTCAGTGGCAGGCCATTACCCTCGGGAAGCATCACTTGGAAACACTAGCAACAGGTATTCCACTTTGAATTCATGCAGGCGTGAGCAGCACACACTGCATAACCCTACACAGAATGAAACATTATTGGGGGGTGGCAAAGACAGGGTCTTCCGGGGAACGATGTCCTGACAACTTTACAGGACAGTTACTTGCCGTCTTGTTGGCAAATCAGGGCCGATACCGCCGTTGCATTGCTATGTACGAGGCTGTAATCCGCAATGCGTTTACCAGGTGTGTGCAACGCTGGTTGGATAGCAGGCTCTAACGTGTCGAGGAAATAATGCATGGGTATAATGTGGCATGCTTGCGTATGGCTGAGTGGATTTGCAGGCTAACTCATAAGCCCTCACTGCGTCGCTACAGACCCGAGAATGAGTTTTCAAGGTAAAACGCGACTTCCCTTCGCATTCCCAGCCATATGAGTTTCACGTATGTGCGGCATGCTGCAACACGTACATCTGTTGCCGACCGTCACGCGCTTTTTTCTCCATGAAGCCTTTTCCTGTCCTGGTTGTGTGCCCTAAACTGTCGTCCTCAGAGTCTGTTGGTGCCTTCCGGACCCCTACTTTTACGGCATTTTTGAATCCATACGGCCAATAAACAGGTTTTTTTCAAAAGTCAAGTTTGTGTTACCCAGCTTGGACGACGAGCAAGCCCTAGTATCTCTAAACAACCAGAAAAGTGTGCCTGAGCTTGCGGACCGTGGTAAGTGTTTCCACGGCATGTTGAAGGTACCCGTTGGAATGCGCACTACTGGTTTCATCAGTGAATCCATTCTGCCTCTGTCTAATGCATGCCACTTGCTTGGACAGACACACCATTACCTCCAGTTGGGGCACCCCACGTTTCCGTGTTAAGTACCAGTGAAGCTGAACCAGGAACAGGGCATGAAGAGCATGAAGTTGTATCTCCTGCCATGCACAAGGAAGTTTCAAAAGCACATATGATCCAGCTGGACCCTACAGATCATCCGATATTTCGTAAGTTTGACAACGAACCTAGGGCTAAGGACAGAGTGCCGCCGGCCTTCTTCAAGTCCCATTGGGCTTCATATCCGTCAGAATATATATCTCTAAATACGATCACGTTGGCTCACATCGACACTAGCAGAGCAGCTCCTGAGACGCCCACAATGTTTTTGTTGTGTTATGCAGCTTCAATGCAGTCCAAAGCTGCGAGCGATATGGTCAGTCCGGTTATATCGGACTTGGTAAGCGACATGTTCGTGGTATATATCAACTTCGCCGTGGATACGAAACTTGTTTCCAGGCTAGTTTCTCTATTTCTCTTGCTTGACTATCTTGAAAAGCAAAGTATGCTATTACCGCCGTTTGATACCCCTCAGTAGCTCAATGACTGGAGACGCATGAGAAGTGCGGAAGCGTGCACTAGCTACGCTGCACACATGTTGACGGATGCGCTTTGCATTTATCTTGGTTGTAAATTCATATACGTTTTATGGCTTGCAGGCTTCAAAAATGTCTCCTACGACGTCTTTGAAATCGCCTGTACAAAGTCCGGGGGAGATCTTACTTCACACTCTTTTCTAACATGGCTGTTGGACCTTTCCGGCACGTAAGGCTTCTTCCTCATCCCTGCTCCGGTTATTTGTCAATGCACTGCAAGAAAGTAGACCTGCCAACCTGCCAACCCCTGCCACCACAAAATATATTTCTCGAGGAGTCTTTCGGTCGTCTTCTGATATTCTGAACAGGTCCGCTGTACAGGTTATGGAGTACATCGAGCACTACCCCTTCCGAATCCCTAAAGAGGAGCTTTTCGACCAAGACAGTGATGTTATATTCCTGCTTTGCCATCCAAGTAAGCTTAACTGGACGAATGCACGCGAGTAACGAAACTAACTGCAGTAAGACGCAGCTTCGTTTCAAGTCCAGCCATCTGTATTTTCTTCTATTTTACTATGATGCAGGGGGCAGGGACAACAGAGGCGTTGACTACAATGCTTGCATAATGGATCGTTATCTGAGGCACCTATTGGCAAAGTCGGAAGCAGCAGTGTCGAGCACATGCCAGCTGATCCTTTCAGGTCCGTAAAGGCCATTACGCTAACCTTAAGACGATAAGCATATAGGAAGAACTAGCGCCTGCAGCGTACAGTGCAGCGAATACAAATTTAACTGAACTTCGGAGTGGCGATTGAATCCTAGAGGCGAAGTTGCTGCTGTTGACTGGCTGCGACTGCATTTCACAGGGGACTCCAAAAGGCTCTCTAAAGTAGCCCAGTCGTACTCGTTTCCCCTGGAAAAGCTCAACAGGGCAGTGTCGAGGCTCCGAGTAATACTCATTATGCTAGGAAAGTAAGTTAATGCCCTTACTTCCCATCCCACAAGTCGTTTCGACCCACAGGCATTCGGTTCAGTTCAGAATTGGAATTGCATCCGGTTTTGTGACTCCAGACTAAAGGAAAAGACTGTCCAGAAGGAAAAGAACGATGAGTCAGATATCCGTGGCATCTTTAAGAGGTAACGTATCTCGGAGATGCTGACTTGATGTTGGTTATAGACAGGTACTGTCTGTTGTGATGGCTTGCAACATGATGCAGCATCGTGCTCACCTGTGCAGCTTTCCGTGCACGCTTTTGAATTTAGGCAATCAGTTGAGCTCGGTTTGACCAGCCAACAGCTTGAGGAGACCGTTAAAATTGGCGGAAGTTTCTTCGAGGAACTGGCTGAAAATGCAGCTGAAGCATCAAGTCGGACTGAAATGCGGGTAAATTCTAGTGAATCAACGTGCAGTCGAGTAGGTGTCTCTGTCCCGAATCAAATTTAAACTGGGGTGACGTCTGGCATGTGGAATTCATGCAGCGGCGATATCGTTATTTCTTGGCTCACATTCGCACGACTCTCCGACTACCGACAAACCTCCGGTAAGCAGGCAAATGAGGGCACAACTCTGGTGTTATCTACGAAGTTGCGCGCAGTGCGGTTTTGCAGTAGCATTACGCTTTTCCAGTAACATAGCGCTTTTGTGGTCAATGCAGATGTGAAGAACTTGATATCCTGGCCAATCTTATGTACTACTTCCTTGACATCAATACGTTCCAAAAGTGGTGGGAAAATCGTTACAAAAGCGGCGCGAGTTCGGCGACCCAATTTTCACGTGGGAAAAGAGAAGTTGATCCCCTTGTGTCAGCCTTCGAGGATTATTAAGTTCGCCTTGTAGACCAGCAACTAGCTCACCACAGTCCACAGCGTGGCGTTTAGTGTGTCAGCGCTCCATGCAGCTCAAAGTGGAATGGGCGATCAGAAGGATGGTGCTGGTCCAAAAAGCTCACACGCCTCAGAGCTTGTGAATTGCATCTCGACCATGTTAGACGTGTGACTTGCAATCGGTCGTAGATAACGCATCACCTACGGGCCCCGGCACGCGACTACCGCGTAAGGAGGCCCAACCACATTCGGCTGCCTACTGCAGAGTACTGCATTCCCCTTTACTTCTGTCCTTCCCTTAGCACGCAGTGTCGAGGGCCCTAGTAATACAGTTCCCCGATATATTTTTGAAATTGCCGTCGCTCTGTATAGCGTTACTAGCGACGTCTTCACAATCGGTCCAGCTGCTCAACAGAGGCTGTGGACCTAACAAGTAGCTATCTCGACCACATCCTGCAAGCATCATACTACTACAGTTGTCAGCCGCCGTAATTCCGACGGCTCTCGGACTGTGGCAGTGTGCAAGAAGCAGTGTGCGCCGAGCCACGTGGCTGAAATAGCAGGCAGTTAGAGAGTGGGAACGTATCAAATGCCTCAAATACAAGCATAGGGACTCCCGCTGGCGGCTCTTCACATGCTTCCTCGTTTTCCACTGAGTCGGTTTCCGGCACTAGCTTCCCATAATAAAAGGTGCCCTCAATAGTGCAGCCACGAGTAGGGTCGAAGTGACGGCCTTCCCCGTGGGGATGCCCAAATCGCCATTTACCTGAATGTCTTGCGCCACTTCGCGTAATGCACTCCTACGGGAACAGGCACCTGGACATTGTGGAACAATGAAATTTTCATGTGCACTATGGTGATGTATATGGATAGTGAAGCCTCGAATGCTGCACAAGGGCCGTGATGAGCCCTACTTAACTGAAAGATGTCAAGCGTCGTCTGAACTCGAGGTAGTTGACCGGTCAGCCCGTAATTACATTGGTCAACTACCTCGAGTTCAGACGACGCCTGAAATCTTCTAGGTAAGTAGGGCTCATCACGGCCCTTGTGCAGCATTCGAGGCTTCACTATCCATATGTATCACCATAGTGCACATGAAAAGTGTCTGGTTGTGTCATGTTCCACATTGCATACATACTGTAAACTGTAATGGACGCTTTCCAGCTGAGTATACTGTATACTGCAAGCGTCGCAGTATACAATAGGCTTCGGTGTAGAGCGATGTCGGAGTAGATTTTGCCTCCTTACCCCGTTCCCATGACGCATGCCACATCTCCACTGTCCTTCGTACACTTCTCCGGTGTCCTTGCGCTTGCTTAGTCCCCAACCATGAGGTACAATCCTAGCCAGAGCTTCCGTCTGTCCCACGCTCTGGTCCTTGCCAGCTTCCCTGCCCGTAGTACTACAGACCGAGGGAAATTTTAGTTGGCCTAAATACTTGTCCCCAGTAGGGAATGTAACGCTCCACTCTGCGTCAGGGTCTGGCATATCATCTTGCCATTGCCCATCGACTATCACTGCCTCATGTTCACTCCCCCCGTTACTTACGCTTGTTCTCCCAACAACTCCCACTGGGATGGTCAACACACCAGCTCCGTGCCGCATGCCACTTCGCCACTGACCGTCATACAAACAAGAATCTCTGTAAAGCATGCTGCCACCACCTTCTGGCAACAGAGTCTCAGGCTGCAGGGAACGCAAGAATGAGTGCAGCTGATGAGAATGACAAGGCGGTGAAGACGCCTTCAGAGTGCGACTGTTTAAGAGTGGAAAGGTCAACAATATTTCGGCATATCGTAGTTTGGTGAAAGGATGGAGGGAAGAGGAAATGACGGCACCCTTAGCAGGCATCAACAACGAAAGGCGTACAACAGATCCAGTGGTGTTTTTAAAGAAGGTAACATACTGAAAGCTCTCCAGTGTAAGTTTTCCCATCGGCGTATACCGCGTTGACGACACCTGTTACTTTTCCTCCCTCGAAACTTCCCCTAATAACGACACCTTTCCGGCAGTCCCCGGAAGTGTTTATTCCTTCGTCACGCGAAAGTGACAGTTTACCTAGACCTTCAAAACGGCCCCGAGCAAACTCCCCTTCATACTCAAGTCCGTCGCGCTGTACATATCGGCCCTGGTCCTCACAGTATGCAGCATCCCATAATAAAGGTCCGAATTGTGTATATTCGTGGTTGAAACACCCATGTAGGAGCCATGAAGCAGTTGAGCAGCCACCAGGGTTCCTGTGAAATGCCTGACTACTGTTTGCCACGAATTGTTCGGTCACTCAAGCTCCGTATGCCAAGCAACCACCTCACCCGGCCGTGGTACTTGTTGTCAACAAAATTGCCCCAATATCGCTCTTTACGAGAGTACAGATGACCCTCCCCGCTCTTCTTGTTGTGCTGCCACTGCCCGACGTACAGGTACCCCATGGGCTCGTGGTCCAGCACCCCGTGGCCGTGTCGCTCATCGTTGACCCATGATCCATCATATCTGCCATTCAAGCAAGCCAAAAGTCCAAAGCACACAATCGCAGAGACAGGCACTGATACAATTGGCGAAATATGTAGGAACATTCCATCCGCAAAACCGTGAGGCACGATATTACCTCATTCCATCGGTAGAGCAGTAAACGCCATAGCCATGTCTCTGGGACGCCCAGAATTGGCCTTCGTAGCGATCTCCGTTGCTGTACAAATACTTTGCATAGCCACTGGTGGGCGGGGGATGCAAACTCCCATGCTTCGCCAAAGGAGATCCTTCGTTTGGCAGGTGGTGCTCATATAGCCATGCCTGCGGCTCATCATCGCAACTCGCCGTGCCTTGTGAACCTCTGGAGAGGTTCTATCTGTCCACTAGCAGTTGCATAAGACCAGTTGGTAAGCAACAGGAGCACGTTTAGCGAAGGCCGTAGCAGAGGGTTGAATCTGGGGATGGGGGCATCACATGTTTACTTGGAAGTTGTGAGTCTCTGACCATCCCTTCACCCACTCGACGCCAAACGCACGAAGGTTTTCACCGTCATCCGCAGTTGTGGAAGACAGGTGATGCAACAGCAGCTGTCTTGAGCGCTCGCGGCCAGCCGCAACTGCAGCCCTCCTACACAACACGAAAAAAGACTATCGAGAAACCCTAACGCACTTCTGGGAAGAGTGGAAGACTTCACAACACTCAGCTATGCTATGCTTGCACAGTTGCTCTTAGGTACGCCGCTAGTCCCTCGCCATAGAAACATATTGCCGGCGCGTACCTGCACAGCTGCTCAAGGTGTTGAGCAAATTCTGCACGTATCAAGTCGGCTTGCGCCTCCCAATTCAGATCAACGACAGAAGGAGGCCTCATGGCGTCGCTGCTGGTCCTACTTTCCTCCTGGAAACGGGCTATCCCAGGTAGGCCTCCCTGTCCTGAAGGCCATTCCACAGACACCACAGCAGGTATACTAATGACTGACGGAGCCACCACTTCAACGTGGAAAGCCCCAGGAGCACAAGGATACCTCGAGTTCCTGCCGACAGAGGAGGCAGCACCCGTGAGCGTCTGGCGCTCGGCCTGCCGCTCTCACACCCACGGAATACGGCCACTTAGCCACCCTCACTACCTGTAGAAGGGAAACAGCTGGTCAAAGCACCTTCAGGTCTGTTGCGGTGCTGCTACCGTTGTTGCAGTTGCCTCCTTGTAGCTGTGTCTACGCCGCCCGCGTTGCTCGTAAGGGCTGTGCCGCCTTCACGCCTTGTGGGGCCTAACTCCCGAGAATATGCGCTACTCTGACTCACTGACGTACTGTTATCATCATATCGTTTCCGCTCTTCTGTTTCCCGATGGCGTGAACCGCCCAGGGGGACAGTCTGCTTCCCCCTGCCTAGGCTGCGGCTGCTGTTGCTGTGGCGGCGGTTGTCCCTTGGAGATATTGCCGAGGCAGCCCTTCGTCTGTGCTGCTCCAAATCCGCAGCTAACGTAGCTGCTCCAGAAGCGTGAAACCCGTGCAGTTCTGAAGTTGTTCCTGGGAGGGCGGACACACGCCGAAGGAAATACGACATTCCTTGCTATATCAGAGCAAATTCTATGTTCTGCATTACATGATGGTCTCTGCAAATGACGTACCCTCTTCCTTTGACCTGAGGAAGTGAAGGCCGTGTGCTGCCGCGTGGCTGGCAAGTGAGGCAATCGTTTGCTGCAGCAGGTCTGTCGCATGTCTTGAGATGCTGGTGCTGCTTCCATAGCTAGGGCTCTGTTCTTCCGTGCCTATGCTCGAGAATGACGTTTCCTTGACAATGCGCCTTGCGAACTGCTGTTCCCAAACGGTCAAGCGCAGCAGCGCATCCAGAGACGTATTCTTCACCTCGACAGTCATCGCATCTATGTCCACTGAACAGCGAGAAAGCAAATCCCACACTTCTGAAATGTTGCTTGCCGTTCTCCGTGACCCTAACGGAGTTAATGACGCAAGCTGGGTACGCCGATAACTGACACTACAGAACAGACGAATCCTGTGTAAACTTGCCTACAATATCAGGCTTGGCCACTGGGTGAGTCAAGAGCGCGGGGTTGTTCGAGGAGATGAGGAACGCCCGCTTCTGCAGCAGCAGGTCGTCGACGAGCTCCAGAGGCAAGATAGGGAAGAACGCAGATCGCGCTTCAAACACTCTAAATGGAATCCCATGACGTTTCCACCGGTATTCGTGCTCGCCAAAGCCGTCGCTCGAAAAGCCACAGGCCAACCCCCCTGCGCAGACGGCGCCCAAAAAAGAAGGCACCAAGCATATCAGCGTTTTAAACTCCGCCTTTCCCCACCAGGACTACCAGCTTCATGTGATGCCCCCATTCCCCCATTCAACCCTCTGCTACAGCCTTCCCTAGACAATCCAAGGACGGAAGCATGCCATCACCCACTTTGGGGTTGCTTCCTCTGGCAATACGTAAAACGTGTACGGTAGTGTGGGTGGAAAAGGAGTGACTCTTTGGGAGGTAATACACAGTACCAGGGAGCAGGGAGATGAACGAGAGGACAGCTGTGGATGCCCGTGACGCGTCGCTCGAATAAAACAGAATCTTCTTCTCGAGCAGCAGAGCCTTCACAAGAACCAGGAGTTGCCCTGAGTCCCGGCAATGCGCCACAATAAGAAGCCAGCTGTTCCAGTATTATAGAATGCAAGTTGGCAAGGTGTACTATTTCCAAGTCTCAAGCTGTTGCGAAAAGCTGGTTGGCACGGCCATCGTACCTGGAGTGACAGCCATAATGAAGGGTGGCAAGCCGGCCTCAAGGTTGAAAGTAATTTCCGTGTATCTCATGAGGTGAAAGTTGACGGTGTTGAGCTGATCGTACAGTTGAACGAGCACCTTAGTAGGCAATGCTGATGGCGAGAAGCGTCCCGGTGAACCCGATGCAGCTCCTTCCATGAGTTCGAAGAAAGCTGCGGTGACGGGCAGTAGACGAAACAGCAGAAGGCCCCAAAACGGGACACGGGCCACCAAGCAGACGGCGCACATCCCCACGGCATCATCGTGTGCAGATGGATCCCACTACACGCATATTTGCACACACATGCCCATATAAGCTCTTCCCGTCTCGTCCTGCCTCCACAGAACCAAGCGCTACAGCATAGCACGGGGCATTCTGGCCGCCAGTGCGTCTGACGCTATGCGGCTGACTTTATCCCGCAGAAGCAACGCTTCCTAAGGCGCTCGGACTGCGCATGTCCCATCAACCAATCTCACGCAGGAGGGATCAGGGCCATTTGTGCTGGTCTTCCTACCAAGCGCTCGTTTTGCACGGAATAGCAGGAAACGCCGAAGGCGTAACTGTTGTTCTTCGCTACCGGCAAGGTGAAGAATATATGTGATGAGTGCCGCTGGTCACTAGCGCCATCGCCTTCCCATGAGCGCGACTCTGGCCCTGCTGGGGTCACTGGGATGTGCCCCCTCGTTGGAATCACCTCCGGGAGAGCAAATTTTTCCACCCACTGCAGCAAAGCGGTCTCACCGGACCCGCCATTACACGAAACTTCCCCCGACCGCCCGGCCTCAGATTGCCCTCTCCACAAGGAACGCTACAAACGCACCGGAAGTGTGTCACAACAATCCGGACGCAGTCCACACACGCAGTTGAGACATGCCGTCTCCCAGACCTGTACGTGCCTCTTATGTTTCGTGACCCAAAACCCGCGTTCGGGAAAAACTCCCATCTGACTCCTAACCGCGATTCCCTCGAGAAATTATTGTTGTTCGCACATGCATGAAATATGGGAAGTCAGCGTGAACAAGACAGAACGGGGGAGGGTGATAGGAAAGCACAACGTTACCTCCGAGCAGCGGGAAAGGTCGAGTGACTGGAGAGGCATGCATTCGCAGTTTCCTCGCTGATGATGAAACAGTACTTCTGGCCTCCGCAGCGCTGATTGCACCACTACAAAGATGCTGAGGAAAACACGCATCAAGTCCTGCTAAAAGCACCATCCTCCGTACACTCATCCAAAGCATCAAACTCAAAGGGGTAAGCAGGGACATGCCGTACCCAACAATGGGTGGTCCATCTACCTCAGGTCTGTAGACCGAAGTGTTGCCGTCGACTGCCGAAGTGCGGTGCACAGCGCTGATTCTGCTGCTGCTGTTACTGCTGTCGCTACCTCTTTCTGCGACACGGCCTGCTTGTTCATGTCCTCCACCTGTGCTGCACAGGCTAGGCGTGCCGCGACCGCTGCTGCCTACACCGCAGTGGTACGATTCTAAAAACCGCCTGGTGCCCTCCTGTGAATGGAGGACTCCTGCCGCAGGCGAAGAACCAAATTCAAAAGGATGAGCAGGAGAAACAGGAGGGACGGTAACACACGAAAGCGTTTCTGGTGCATCTGTACCCGTAGTCCCTTCTCTACTCGAAGAGGCGCCCTCTGTAGGTGAGACGTTAGCGGCAATAGCCCCCAGCCTCCGAGTCCCTTCAGCCAGGAGATCTTCTTCCGCTTCCGATTCATCCTCTCCCCCAATTGCGAAAACAGAGTCTGCTGGAAGCATAGACGAAACTTTGCTTGTCTACCAGATAAACCACCAGTGAACGCACCCTCTTTGCGTTTGTGTACATACAGAAAGGAACGCGGTGCAGTATGGGGCGTGCTACGTGCTGCTGCGATTGGTGGTCATCGTGTACATGCCTTTAGCTACTCAAATCAGCCTGTTGCAACGGCGTTTCCTCTCCAACCCTTTAGTGGCAGAAGACATCCACGCGAATCAGGGTGCGCGCCAAAAAACAGCCTGACAGGAGGGATATCCACAAACCGCCAACGTCTCCAGCTTTCTTCATGTAAGCAGGTACTTGGATGTTCGGGGGCTCGCAGATTTTTGTGCTTCTAGGCGGTCCTCTTACTGTCAATGCTGCCAGGTATTACGATGTTTGTGGTTTTCAGAAAGGCACCCGGAGTTTAGCTTTAAATGCGCACACAGAGCTACCTAGCTCTAGGAATCAACAGTTCTGGAGGGTTAACATCCAAGGCAAATCCCATGGAATGCAGAAGAAGCCTTAGCATGCGGTGATTTGCCTAATGAGAAGAGGATATGTCCACGCAACAACCTCAATGTGCTGGCAGCACCCACGCCACACCCACCGGCTGTCTTGCTGGACGTCCCCAGCAGTATCGTCTGTAAATAGGGATATCGTGACAGAGAATGGAATTCGAAGGGGTAAATTCAAAGTTGAAGTGCCAGTGGAAGGAAAAAAACTATATGGGAGGAGAATGTGAGCGAAACGGTGGTAAGCCGCAGGCAAGGCAACCTGGTCCGCACCATGGTCAGTCTAGAACTGAATTTGGAAGGCGACAGAATGCAAATGAACAAGAAAAGTACAGAAGGCTTGGGCTAAACGGGTTTTATTAGAAGCTGGGTGTGACTCTGCTATTGAGAAGGTACAGATAGTCGTGGCTCAAAGTGGATGAGACTGCGTGCATCGCGCGGGTGCGTTCATTGAGTAGAAGCTCAGTTCAACCTGTCTTACTAATTCCCAGATTCCCACAGAGTTGCTCGATGTATTTTTTTGGGTGCAGGGTGCCTGCCGTTAGTGGCAAATCTTTGTAACAAAGCGTCTATGGATGCCTTCGACGTTCACCAGTTGTGAGGATAGACTGTGATCAGGAGGCTTTTGCTCTCCTTTACCAGTTGCTCGTACTTCCTATCTAGCCTTCATATGTACTATGTACATGAGAAACTATATTTTGGGGTTGGTTTTTGTATGCCTTTAAAGCGGTGGCAATTCCCGCCTGCACGTTTCCAGGAGCAGCTTCAGGGACTTCGCACGAGAATATTCCATTTCAAATTCTTCAGCTTGTTCTTCACACCTTGTTTGCACTGACCATGTCTCTAAAGAATCGTATGTCTCCCCTTCGTCTGCTAGAATTGCTTCTTGCATTCAGTATTGAGCAGGGACTGTGCCCTTACGTGCTGGTGTGATCGATGCCTTCCACGCCAGTTGCCGCCGATTGAAATTTACGAGGTTCTTCTTGATTATTATCGTACTGAGCAGCCACACAGGAAGAAGAACTTCAGTGATCCCCTGTGGGAGTCGTACAAGGCCATGACGACAAGCGTGCGCTGGAACGCGAGGCCAGAATCTTATCCGAGGACTATTGTGAGATGTAGTGGAACCAACATGCTATAAATGAGAATTCATTAAAAGCATCGGATCCCTTTCCCCAGTCTCCAGGGGTTCCATGACCACTGGCTCAAGCGCCTGGAGCTGCGGTAGAGGAGGCAGTCTATCATGAATTGCAACGCACCGTGCTTCAACTTAAGGCGAAGAATAGCGCAAGTTACAAACACAAAGAAGCCTTCTTGGCTGTATCTGCAAACAGTGTGAACACTTGTTGAGAACTTCTGTTTGCGTGCCGTTTTCATACAAGGGCTGGGTACGGATTCATGTGGCTGCTTCGGGCGGGCACGGACTCTGCTACAGGCGTGCCCTTCTATGTAGACTGATGCCCCAAACGTTTTGGACTGGCATGGAAGTGGCATGGCCTATACTGTCAGCAGAGCAAAGGAGCGAATATGAACGTTTAAAGGAATCATCCATACAGCTTAATACCGAGGGCAGCCTGCTCCATACCAGTGCGGACGTTGTTAATGCAGCATAAGGTGTCCGCAGTCGGCACATGGAAACTCACGGCTCAGTAGTTTGCAGCCGTTGTGTTGCTGTTGGGAAACTCAAGGAACAAGCACTTAATAAATAATTTGGCCACTCCATTGGATGCCGCTGAGCCTGAAGTGAGCATATTTTTTTCGTGTGCCCACAGCCACGCAAGTGCTACCACAGCTTGTATTTAATGGGGCAAACACTATGGAGGGCCTTTTTGTCTCCTTTTTGCGGATCCCTTCTGGAGTCAATAGCAACGCAGGCATCAGGTTGTGGAAGTGTTCCTCTGCTGTTAGAAGACATACAACGGAGTTTTCCGATGCTGAGGGGAGCTTCCTAGACCGATACAAGAACCAGGTTGTCTGTTGCGTTGAAAATGGCATGGCCCGCACATGCATGTTTGTGCACCTTCTGCAACTCGTTTTAGCGAAGCGACGCTGGAATGTAAAATCGGAAGGGCCTACGCTCCGCCTGGTACCACAAGCGTTCAATGCCAATGCTGTTGTGCTTGATTCGTTATTCGATCTTAACTTTTGTTTGCGTTCGTTCTACTTTTATAGTAAAGTTAAGGTCGAATGTGGGACTACGAGGACCTAACGAACAGTTCTAGTATACAATGAACGGCCGATAAGGCATCAGGAGAGCTACGAAGCAATCATAGTGGTGTTGTGTTAGGCGTAGTAGACGCCTACGGCGTCTTAATGGGCCAGCAGCGCCACCAAATAACTCCTCTATTTCTGAAGCGCTGAAAAATCTTCGTAAAGTGTGTGGGGGATTGACGATCGATTCGCACAGCGAAACTTGCCACGTAATTAGTGTGGACACCTCTTTGGTCCTCATCAGACGGCGAATACTTCCTCCTAGCGCAGCTGATGCTTCTCCTCTATTTCCATGCAGCAGGGTTGGTAGAAAGTGATTGTTAGGCGAGGGAGCGTCACCCCTATCGGTGCATCACCGTTTGATCCTACTAGAGGTCAAGTTACTTGGCCGAACCGGAGAGACTTCGCACAGCTTCTTGCTAGTCAATGTTCTACGCCTGGCTGTGCATGCGCTGTTGCCACGTGTTATTGTGTTATCAGGCTTTAGCCAAGAACCGTCGTTGGGACAATACAGTAGAAATGCTTGGGATGGGAGTTCGCAAACAGCACATCACCCCCCTTCTGCTTTTCCTAAGCCTTCTGTGGCCTGCAGCTCCTACATGCATATACTATTTATACAGATACATGCCTATATATTCTGCAGGATAGGCTTCAGAGCAACTTCACACCCAGGCGTACCCAGTTCCCCCCATATTGCATGCATTTTCGTTGTTGGTGGCAAGTTAACGCTTAATTTGTCCCTAGTAAACAGCTTTTGCTCAAGTAGGACTATAGGCACAGATTCAATAAATACATGCTACAGACATCGGGCTGATCGAACGACCATGCAAACTCGTGCTGCATCACTGCCCACAGGTAATGACAAGCAGTTGAATCTGATGAATGACCGGGCAAAGCAGCAGAATTTGTGTTCCAGGTCTGTATATTATCATCAACTAGAATAGAACCGACACCCGAATTTACCCCCCCCTTGTTCAAAAAACCTTGCTTGAGGAGCACGCTTGTGCGTGGAGGGTTTAACATGCGATGACATATATTCGGCTTATTCATATGAGCAAATACGTAGAGCCTTTTGGTGACCATAGTGCGAAAATTGGACGTCAGCTCTTCTGGACCTCTCCGTGGCCGTGGCTGTGCGCTCCGTCGCGCGCCGCTCTCGTCGGGTCTTTCTCTGTCAGTTGCCGAGACTTGCTGTTGCCCTTGCATCATCGACGTATTGATGAGACTCATTAAAGCGGTAGAATAGGAGTTTTTTTTTGTTACCTTTGCAAAATAGGGTGCCTTGCAACAGGAAGCATCGGCATCGTTTACATCATTTTCAGAAGGGTTTCAGGCAGTTCGTGCCTATCAGCAAAATGGCGGTGAGCGCCCAGGAAGATTGAGGCAGCGAATACCCAATAAGCTAAATATCTCTCAGTAGACCTTGAAATGCTTCTCCTAGCCAGTTCTACTGGAGCATGCGCGGTCGGGGCAACGCACACCGTCGTCTTACGCCTCGGCAGCGCCTTTGCTGGCTTGCTACGGGAGCAGTCCTCTTGTCTTTGCAATGTATTTCTTGTTGTATTACAATTTGCCAAATGTGTCTTTTTGCTACTAGGTTTAGGCCGTTCTGGATGCCCAGTTCATCTTCAGTTGGGTGGGTTGGCTAGGGCAGTGTATTTTGTTTCGGAAGAAGCCTTTTCCTTTTGGTCTGATGCATGCGTTGTTGCAGGGCTTAAACAGAAAATACTCGAAGAAAATTGAAGCATTTGATCGGAACATCACAAAGAGAGGGCAGGTCTCCGAAAGCAAACAAAAAAGGGGAAAGGGCTACCCTGTTGGCCCCATTGTCTTGGGCCTCTTCCTATTCGTAGTCGTGGGGTCTGCAATCATACAAATCATCAGCTCCGCTCAAAGGGGCGCCCCTCTACCGTAGTGGCATGTGTCTAGGTGCTCAGCTTCACGGTATCAGTCTGGCGATCCCTTTTTCTTCGCCAGACGTATGCCGTACCACTGATTGCGTACCGTGAAAGAACGCGCAGTGAGGGCTGATTTCGCATTTGCTGGTGCGAGCCAGGCTGTGCATAGTCGCAAAGTTTTTCAAAGTTGGTAGTCAAAAAACTTTCGATTAGATACAGACTGGACGGTCTCGGTTTTCGGCTGAGCTTTCCTGCAGCCGCTACCAAGCCCTAAATAGGTTTGAAGGTGTAGTTTTTGAGGGTGAAAAGGAGCAAGCTGCTGCTACTCTTGGGGATCCGCGCTACTTGGGCAGCGGGGCCTCCTCCAGAGAGCAAATGCTGAAAATATTCCCCAGTGCCATGTGAGGAAATGATTCTGTTTGTGCACATACATGAAGCAGCATTAGATACTAAAGCCAACGCTCCGCCCATGGGCGAGGCAAGCATGCTTGCATACATGCCTTTGTAAGTGCCGTTTATATATGGAATTGGTTCGTCTGTGCATTTAGAAGAAGCTCGCGGAGGCATGCGGGGGCGTGCACTTTTGTCAGGGGGTTCTCGTCAACAACTGAGCAGATTATTCACACAACAGAGTACAGGGGTGCAGAGCATGGTGTTGTTCACTGAATGCATGGCCTCCCTGATGTGTGCTGGAATGTGCTGCGAACCCAACTGGGGAATGAGAGTAGCTGCGGGTGCAGGCACCCCCGTGTGGTGCTTTTCACCTAATGGTAGTGTTCCCTCCGTACCAGGTGGCTGTACAGATTCAACTAAAAAGCAGTACATAAATGTGTCGGCGACGATGTCCCAAACCGAGAAGGAGTGCATGGCAATCATAAAGCTTGTGGCGGCCGTGAAGATAGACACGCAGAGCGGAGCTGCCACGAAGGACGATGAAGTAATTGCTGAATATTTCTCCGCAGCAGTTAGCGTCTAACGCGGACACACACAGAATCAGGTTCCCTTTACATTATGAGAGCCCAGTAATATGTTCATTTCGATGGGTACCTACGTTTTAAGCTCCCTTATTGTTAGCGAACTTACGGAGTATATCATGATCCCAATCAGAAGAGAAATGAACAGGGAGCCGATTGCAGACGCAATTGCTACGACCTGAGCATACGCCCATAGAGGACAACAGGCGCATACGCGGACGTGCAGACAGCTCATAGCATTATGCACTTATTGTCAAACACTTATGCAGGGGGCAGCACATGATATCGGCACTTCACTCACCCCATGCAAATATGTCGCAGGCGACCTTGCTTGATTCAGACGGGTGTGGGACTTGTCCATAGCTGGGAAGAAAGGCTTGGAGGATATAGACATCTAATGAACAAAATAGCAACCCGCCACAACCACCAGTACATGCACTCCACTCGTACAGCCTGAACGTGCAAGTATGTACAGTCTGGGGATAGCCTTTGGCACAATAGTTACTTACCTCGATGTACCCTGAAGAGGTGAACCTATCAACGACAAATGCCAGCGGGCTTATAATATTCCCTAGATTCGCAGATACATTCCAGAAAAATGCGGAGCAAGAAACTATCCAATGCCTCTCGTGATGGAGTACAAATCTCTAGTAGAAGGCGTGCGCGTGCAGCAAGGAGCGTTAATTGTGCATGCACTGAGAGGCAATAACGCTCACGAAAACTGTCCCTCAAGCTTTGAACAACGGGTGAATCTTCAGTTGAGGCCAAGTGCTTGGTCGCTGCCCACGCGAATAGCAGCCGGATGGGTCGCGTTACCCCCATCACAAGGCCGCCGACTGCGAAACTTCCCAAGTGGTGAATAGAACCAAGTCCTATTGCCACGAGGGGAGGAAACCATCCCGCGTCTCTCTCATCTGCTCCTTCTGGAGGTGAGAAGTACCACACCGTCGCCGTGTACGAAATTACGAAGTGTGCGAATGCCATCAGGGCCTCTACCAACCAAAACAGAGCCAGCCACCAAAGTGCTCCGAAAAATATAAACCGAACGTCCCACACAAACTCCCGGTGCAATGGAAGGATCCCAATGTCGCCGTTTTGCTCCAAACCCATTGGAATCTGCGACGGACACAACAGCGGGGTCCGTGCGGTCAGAAGTTGAAATAGGGAACATTTCTGGATCATACTGGAACTGTTTCGAGGTGTTCTGAGCACACTAAGACTGGCGGCAACGTAAAAACACTCAGCTTCTCACCTCCGTCCCTCCGACTTTCCCAGCAGACGCCATATAGACGTAAGACCAAAGCCACAGCCCAACCCAGACAATGGTGGCTGAAGGCCACACGACACAAATATGAGAACTCAACTGGTGGAGTAGGGGAAGTAACTGAAGCAAACTGAAGAGCAGGGGTTTGGGGAGTCATGCGATGTGCCTGCTTATCAAAACACTTCGTACGGTGCGTGCGTTCTGCAGGCAAATGGGAAGCCACTCAACAAAGGGTTTACCCGCGGAAAAGAACAGAGGGGTAAGGAACACCTGCTGCATATCTCCTAGAGCCTGCGATGTGCACTCCATCACGCGAAGAGCAGTCCCAACAGAACGACGAGCCACGACCAGAGCCGCCAGAAGGAAGCAGCCAATGGCCAGAAGCGCAAATCCCACCTGAAATCAAGTCAAGGGAAGGGGAGTAAATATGAAATGTGTAGTAGACAAACGCAGCAACAGCGCGGGAATAAGGAGGGGTGAGCAAATGAGGTACAGCTGTATGCATTTAAATTTAATGCAGAGATGACAGAACGATTGAGATGGCCAGTAAGGAAGACACAATGAAGGGACAAGACTACTTACAAACATGGCTAATGTGTAGTCAAGAGAGAAGAAGTTGCCTTTGTCTTGGTCGAGTACACCGGAGAAACCGCTTCTTATAAGAACTCCCCCTGCCAGGAAAGCCAAGCCGATGCTCCCGGCAGCTGCAGAGCCGAACAGGAGTCCTGGAGAGAGTCGCATGGAAGCGGAGAAAATGATGGAAACAAAAACCGCCAAGAATAAGTACCCAAAGACACAGCCCCAGGAGTTGACGAAGGAACCAATGGCGAACTGCATCTGACGGAATGTGTTGTTCAGCGCTGGAACGAGCTGCGAGCGCAGCGAAGGATCGAGAGGAATGCAGTATGCGTCTGCCATGAGGGTAGCGGCGTATGCAGGAGAAAGCAGCAGATATTCTGCTGTAATGGCAGAAGTTCTAGCGGAATCGATGCTGGTCTCTCTTATTGGAGTTGGTATCGTAAGGCCGTTCTCCACGTCCTCCTCAGTGGGGCACTTGGCCACGCACCGCGCATCGCTTATCATGATGGAGGCAAAGGACTCGCGAGGGTCGAGTGGATAGTACAAATACGGCAGGTCGCGGACCTCAGGGTCTACCCCGCATGTCTTCCCTTGGTAGTTCATCCCTTTGTACAACCGCGCCGGACTCCCCTCCGTGAATGCCAACATCACGAAAAAGGAGCAGAAAAGCATAAATACAGAAAAGGCCACAAGCCAGTTTTGGTCCGTTACGCGACGTTTCGGCTCATTTTCAGGGTTCGTCACCGTTCCCGTTGAAGCATTGCCAGGTCCACCGTACGTTGTGTCCTGCACGACAGTGGCTGGAGAGGATACAAGAGCGCCCAGACACTCTAGGTTAAATGCATTTGCCACAACAAACAGTGCACTGAAGCTACCAGAAGGATCTGAAGGGACTCTGTCTCAGTATGCTCGGGGGAATCAAATTGCGCATAAGTGCAGTGAGTGCTACACATGCGTACGAACCTGGGAGTTGCGACGGACCATCATGTGGGTGGAAGGATCCCGCAACTGGGTATCCCTGAGGCCCCATCCCGAAGGGTGAAGAGGAGTAATCATCCGGCGACCCAGATGTTTGCATTTTTCAGCTGCAGATACACGGAAGGCGACGGACAACTCCCTACTCAAATGATGCAACCGGCTCCACTCACCCTTCATCCCAGAGCCCCTGGTCAGACAACCGAGAGAATCGGTGGGTTCTTTGTAAGGCCAAAGACCTCTAAAAGATCCTAATGAAAGAGGGAAATGGAAAGAGCTACGGCATATGTCCGAAGCAGAAGGAGCCAAGCAGGACAGCCAGTGCGACCCTGTTACCACTCCGCCTTGGTTGACTATACAACTAGTCAAGTATATACATGCCCTTAGAAAATATCTATGGATATAATTTATCAGTTTAGAGTCGACAAACTCGATCTGCTGTTGCACTTGGCGTTCGGCTCGAGGGCCCCCCCCTGCTGTCCCCTGAAATGTGCTGTCAGCCTTCCCCCAAGTTACCTGTGGTTCCTTCCTATTGCAAATACGTAACGAAGGACAGCAGGGCACCAGCTTCACAAGACTGCGGAGTTGACGCCGTCCTGTGCAATCCAGCAAAAGTCGTCGACGGTGGCTGTCGGCCGCGCCTTCCAACGTGCGGCGCCCTCGAGCAGCCGAGGGGAAATTTTGTCAGAAATGTCTACTAAACCGCTGCATAAAGATCCCGATTTTAAACAAGAAAAATCGACAGGGCTTCGTTCCACTCCACGGAGAGCCCGAAGCTTCCTTTGCTGCCAAGGAGGACTGGTCGCCTCACGGCCGCTAGCCCACGCACAGCTGTCAACAACTGACTGAGGTAGACGTGAAAACCGTCGACACGCTGTAGAATAAAAAGGAACTTGACGAATATTTTAGGGACCTTTTAGCATTATGTTCCCTAATTGTAACACATCACGCTATATTTCCACCTGTGCTGCTTTATGGTCCTGTCAACGCCCAGCGACCGCACGCGTGCTGCGAAGAGGTTAACAGCGCTGCTGCATAGCTCGGAGGTGTTACCTCCATCAGTTTTTAATATTTGTGTTCATTTTTAGGGTACCTTAGACATCATGAGCTTTGCCAGGATTCCCCTCGGGACGCCTGCAGTCGGCGGCACCGCCGACGTCCAGGATCGTGGCTCGCCGTGTTGCTATGAAGTCTTATTTCTGAAGGTTCTACACTCCACACTAGACACAGGCAGGCTCTGTGTACAATGAATAAGAGCGACAACTTTTTCTGGTTCTTCTGCTTCACTGGAGCCCTCGGCCGGGTGGCTAGAGCTGTTCGTAAGCAATTGCATTGCAGGACCTACCATCGGGAACTAGATCTCCAAACCATTTGGTTTAATTCTTACGCTTTGACAGTTTTAAAGTTGATGAAGTTTGAGAGCCTATGTCAACATGTGCATGCAGGTAGATATAGGGAACCGTCAATGTAAAACGGAGAATTACGACTGTACCAAACTCACTTCGCAGGGATAGAAGTTCCAAAGCAGCAGCCAATATCTCGTCCTATCTCCATAGATCTTGAGCACAGCTGTCTACTTGGCTAAATTCGGACAGGAGGAACCGTGCTATGAGCTACAACAAGCCGTACTGGAACTCACGCAACGCGTCACAAGTTGCAGTAAACGGTGTGGCACCCATAGTACACATGCAAACATACCACAATGTTCTTTCCCTTTTTGCAAAAATGCCACTAAAACGTCTGTGTGCAATTACTAGGGTCGAAATAGGCCAACTGTACTGGCTTAGACAGGGAGGAACCATCATTGACACGGCATGTTCCGTTAGCGTCCCCATCCTTCCGGCCCTTTGGTCGCTCCGCCAACAGTAAAACCCCTCGTATACTTGGTTTCCCAACGAGGCTTTGCCGCCCCGAGGGAAAGTAAAGGGGCCTGGAGAGGGTGTAGAACATTTGAGACCGAAGGAAAAGAAAAATGCAAAACGAAGCGTAGAAGGCCAGCAGCATCTGCCGGCGCTGCGTATTCTTGTTATATTTTCTATCGCATATAATTGTGCATCAAGCCTGTGCTGTTGGAAACGCACTGGAATTATAAGGCCCAGTGTCCTCCGTATCGCTCTGGGAAGCCGCTTCTCAATGCGAGCATCCCAACGCAAGCGTATATGTTGTAAGCCGCCTCCGAATGGTAACACCGACAATTATATGAGGGGGCTGATATGGAGAGATCATCAGAGGAGCAAAACCATAAAAGGTAAAATCCGTGAGTGTTTCTGGTTGCTGCATCGTGCAAGACTTAGGAAAAGCGTTAATCTTAACGGAAAGAGCAAGGGTGCGACTGCACGTACATGAAAAGACGTTATCCCTTCTCCACACGTGACAGAACAAGTAGACATAGCCAAACTGTATTATGCCCTCTTCATGAGAATTTTAATGACGGCCCCTGCAGAGTAGTGGAGGATACGTACAGTACATCGAATAGGCACCAATCAGAGACCCATTCTGCATTTCGGTCTCGTTCCCATTAGAAGTAATCTTCTCATTGTATGTGATCACTGCTCGTCATTACACTTGTGCCCAACATCTCGGTGTCTTCCAGTTGCTCCCCGGTATTGAGGTTTCCCACAGTCGTGTTATGGTTGTCCCTGAGTTGTGTCATTGACTCGCGGCAGAAGGCTCTGCCGAACTTGTCTAATAGTCAGGTCTGGAAGATCTACTTCTTTGCCTTTGCATCACTACTAACAAAAAAAAAGATTGCAAAACGCCTGCTGTCGCTGGGCTCAACCAGGGGACGGAGAGGCACGTTTTCAGAGTCTGTGCACAACAACAGAAACTTCTACCAGTCTTTGAGTAAACGCGCGGATTGGGGACTTAATGGAATGTATATGACGACTTATGACAGAGGAAAGAAAGGAAGGAAATATCTCTTTGCCCCTGTCCCGGTGATGGGTCAGTGCCTGATTCGCAGTGCCCGCTTCACAGCCGAGCATGCTTTACTTAAATACCTAAATTCTCAACAGAGTTGGCCATAAGAATCCTTACTGGATACCATTATCGTGCCTACACGTCTAATCACGAAAATGCGAATGGCAACTGCATTTCTTCTTGTGCATGTTGGCGACAAAAATAAAGATCTATAGAGGCAAGAAACATATATATACTGCCGCATTTTTGCAGTGACCGTCTTTTCCGTATCTGGATAGCCAACAAGAGCGTAAGCAAGACATGCTTCATGACTTGTATCCAGCTGGATAGGAAGTAAGAATTGAGCTTAATTCAACTCAACGAGCTCCTACTGTCTAATCTCCTTCCCATAAGAGGGCAGACGGTGGTCTTCGTCAATTTTCCAAGTATCCAAAAGAATATTATCAGCCTTTTTCTGCTCTTGCCCAATGGAGACTGAGCAGAGTGTTGGATACATTCAGAATAGTTTTTTGTACGTATGTATATTTTTAAGTACATTCGTTACTCCTCACGGCTGTGCAGTGAGGTGAGGTGAGGTTCGTTGCTCGTACCTACACTCGCCGACCTATCCGGTGCTACCTGGTGTGACATGAAGCGAAGATCGTACCCGAAGACTATTGTGAGCTGCAGAGGAGCCAACATGCTAAGAATGAGTTTCGTAGAAACATCGGGTCCCCTTTCCCAGCCTCCACGGGTTCCTTGACTATTGGCTTAAGCGCCTGCAGCTGCAGGAGAGGAGGCTGTTTACACATGAGTTGCCACGAGCCTTACTTCAACTCATGATGAAGAATAGCGCCATATACACCTACAAAAAGGGTCTTTTTTTGACTTTTTACAGTACCTGTTCATAAAGTTGCTGAGATGTTTTCCTACTGTACAGCTTCTATGCTACTGCTAAGTAAGGGTCCATGCGACTAATGCACACAAGCTTCCCTACATCGGTGATTCTATGCATGCAGAATCGCCACTCCCTTCAGCCTTCGTGTTGAGGGCACCTAGAGACTGGAGATGATGGCGTATACTACAGGGGGAACGTTTTACCTCTACTGTTTATCTAGAACACCTGGTAACAGTGTGCTGCTACGGTCATGTACACTTCATTGGATAACCGCACCCTTGGAGCACACACTAAATACTACTCCCACTGGAAGGCAGCCCCAGCTGCAAGCATACGTAAAATACTTGCGCACTAGGGTGTATACAACACAGACAGCACCACGTAGTATACGCTAAGCATCTGCTCTATCGCGCATGTACGCGCAAACTCCGGACAGTTAATGCTATGAGTAACACAATGCCAACCATCATAGAGCTAGGGAAGTCGTGATGCGTCAGCAGTGTAACGAAGGATGTGAATACCTTAAAGAATATTGAAAAGGTAGGCAACAAGGAGATATGCGCACTACGGCTGCACTTTTCTTACGCGTGTGCGCTTGCATTAGTAATCGTTACCCACTGAGGGAAGCAGTTAGGTGTCTAGACAGTGACGTTGACCTCTTTGTGTGTGTTATTTGTATTTTGAATTAAAAACGTGCATTAGGGTATATGGAGAAGCCTTAGCTTGTAGATTGAACAAAGATACATATAAAGACGACGGGTGTGGGGGAGTCCGAGGTCCCAGGGTGTTGGGGTGTATGCACAAATAATGTTTGTTGTTGTTCTTGATTTAATTGAATTATTTAAGATATTTAAATATTAAATGGTAAGAAAAAAAAAGTGTACAAAAAATATACGTGCAAGGAAGCTTAACAGCAGCACAGCACCAACAGAAGCTGCAGCAGCACAACAGGAGCCCCCACTGAAAGCCCGATTGCTGCTGCTTGTTTGCTGTTTGTGCTTAACGTTGTTTTATTGTTTAAAGTATTTTAAGGTTACTTTATTTCTTTAGGGTTTTTTTTTTGCCGAATAGGCGTAGTTGGAGGCGCCCCGTCGTGGCTTTCCTTCATAGAGCACAACGGGCTGGGCTGCCTGTGACTACGTGTGTGTTATTTTCCCTTCTTTCTTTTCTTACCGTATATATTCACTTATTCTTATTAATTCATCACCATGGCGGTCTTAGGTATTGATTTAGGTACACAGAATAGTGTACTTGCCACCATTAATAGGGGCGCCGTCTCTGTTATACGCACCGAACTTGCAGATCGTCTTACTCCCTCTCTTGTCCTCTTCTCTCAAGGACACCGATTAATGGGCGATCATGCAGCCCCATTGGTACGTGCATGCAGCCCTTAACATCAGCCCCCACTAATCTTATACACAGACACCTCTTTATTCCTTCCTGTCTCTCTGTCCCTACTACATTCAGAAGCAGCAGAAGCAGCAGCAACAACAACAGAAGCAGCAGCAGCAACAGCAGCAGCAGCGGGAGCAGCACCGACAGCACCATAAACAGCACTCGTGAAGCAGGAAAACAGCAAGATGATGCCTGCACATTTCTGTGACTGTTAGCTACCAATTAGTTCCTTATGTATATGTTGCTCTATTTCTTCTTTTTCCCTTTATGTGTATGGCAAGGAAGGATTAACAATAATATTATCTTCTTCTTCTTATAAATACATTCTCTTTATTTGAATTTACGGTGTATCTTTGTCGTGTACTACCTACTTAGGGTTTAGGGTTAGGGTTTAGGGTTTAGGGTTTAGTGGTAACACACGATTGTTATAGAGGAGGAGTATTTAGGGGTAAATAAGCACTTATTGTACGTCATTTTTTCTCATTTTTTCTATTTTTATTCATTTAATTATAATAAATAATATAATAATAATTATTTTCTTCTTTTTTTCTTATTAATTAGGTAAGAAGTCAAGCAAAATCGTGCTGCAGAGGGTTCAAGAATCTATTAGGAGAAATGTACGCGGACTCCCCTCTAGTTGAACGCGAAAAAAAATTCCAATTGGCAGAAATTGCGGAGGCGGAGGGGGGAGTAGCTGGCTATAAAGTACGTCCTTTTTTTATTTTATTTTATTCTATTTATTTATTTATTTATTTATATTTATTTATTTGTTTATTAGTTATTTATTTTATTTAGCTGTTTATTACTGTGTTTATATCTTTTTCTTCCTTTTTATTCGTTCTTGTTTCCTCTTTTTCCTCTTTTGTTCTTATCTTGTTCTTAACTCCCTTTCTTTTCTTCCTTATTCCCCCATCTTTCCTATTTATACAATTAATTACCTACTATTGTTGTTATTGTTGTTGTTGCTTTTGCTGTTGCTGTTGCTGTTGTTGCTGCAGGTACGTATAGGGGAGAAGGAGGAGGTAGTGAGTGCTGTACGTATATGTGCAGCATTTTTAACAAAATTACGTCATATAGCAGAAACAAATACACAAAGAAAAGTAGGGGAAGTTGTTATTTCTTGTCCTTCTTGGTTTAGACAACAAAATAGACAAGCGCTCCTTGATGCTGCAGAGATTGCAGGACTTAATTGTCTAAGAGTTATTAGCGATATGACTGCAAGTAAGTATAATTTAATTAAATTAATTAATTAAATTAATTAATTAATTAATTTATTTATTTATTTTATTTTATTGTGTTGTATTGTGCATGCTTCTTCTTTTGGTGTGTTTGTTGTTTATGCGTTTGTTTGTTTTGCTGCTGTTTTTCTTCTGCTTTGCATGCATGCATGCATACTTGTATTTGTTGCTCTTTTTATGTTTGCTTGTTTGTTTATTTATTTTAATTCTTTTTATTTATTTAATTATTCCTTTTCTTTCTTTTAGTCTTATTGGTCAGTTATTTATTTGCATCTCTGCATGTATTCATCCATGCATGCATATTCGTATGTTTATTGTTCGCGTACTTTTTCTTTCTCCCTTTCCCCTTATTTTAGCACATTAACGATTTATAAATAAATAAATAAATAAATAAATAAATAAATAAGTATAATTAATTAATTAATTAATTAATATATTTATTTATATTTATGTATGTGTTTCCTGTTGCAGCTGCATTAGACTATGGTTTATACCGTCGTAATGATTTTACAGAGAAAGCAACATATGTAGTATTTATATCTATAGGACATTCATGTACATCTTGTTGTATTTGTTCATTTAATTCATTAGGTTGTGAATTATTAGCAGAAATATCTAATTATTCATTAGGAGGAAGAGATATTGATCTACTTATTTCTGAACATTTTGCAAAAATACACCAAAAACAATACGGAGAAAATCCTCTTGAACATATTAAGGCTAGACTTAAGTAAGTTATTTATTTATTTATTTATTTATTTAGTTTATTTTATTTATTTATTTATTCTTTTTATTCTTCTTTTTATTCTTGTTGTTATTCTTTTTTTTTTCTGCTTTTTTTCT